AGAGTAATCTCCCCTTCCTCTCACTAACTCTCCTTTCATTCATTTAGTGCTGTTGTTATTATTATTATTATTATTATCATTATCATTACCATTACTGCGACTTTGATTTCCCGTCTTTCCTTTAGTACTATTATTCTGCTGATTATCATCATCGTCTTCTTTTCATTCTTTCCCTTCCTTTCTCCCCCCCCATCTGTTTCTCCAGCGCCGGTGCTTCGTTGACGTAGCCCATCTTTCAACGCCTTTCTACGTCAACGAGCCGTTGGGACTTGCCAATTCATCGCTCAGCCTCTCTCTCCTTGCATCCCATCCCCTCCCACGGTCGCGCCCTATCCAGGTACTTCCAACCGCCGCTCCACCATAACAACCCACCCCCTCCCCCTCTCCACGGCCGTTTTCTCACTTGACATCCCTGTCTTAGAACTCGTCGCTCGCTCCTTGCCGCCTCTACGCTCGTTATCGCTTTGTTTTCTGGAGACTTTTCGTGAGGGGTTGCTGTTGGTTTCTCATCAACCACGCCCCCCTGCCGCTCTTTGAACCCGCTTTGTTTATACCGAACTCCCGCTGTTGGTGCGCGCAAACCGATCCATCAGCTGTCAGTGCAGTGCTAGGGCTTGTTGTGGTCGAGACGTTTAATCGGGGAGTTTCGCGACCCGCTTCTATCTCAGCCGAGTTCCTCTTTATTTGTCGACTCTAGAGTTGCGACTGCCTCCCCAGCCTTCGACCGATTCAGGATATCGTTATCATTCGCACAATCGTTCTGTTGAGATTGATTCGCATCAAGTGATTGGAAAGTGGCAAGGTGGATACAAAAAGTCCCGGGTGAGAGTCATCTATATCGCTCGGTAATCAGCCTACCGATTTCCCGCCAGCCACCGACCCCATGCATCAGCAATATCGACGATTGGTTCCGATTTCCGACGTTTGAACGCTTTGCACATTGGGATATTTGATTTGGAGGGTTATACCTGAGCCTTTGCTCTGTCCATTCTTTTCAGCACCGCTACGGTCTTTTGGACCATCTAACCGCTCTTTATCGCCTATCATTGCTATACAATCATTCGAATCAACATGCTTGCGCCAACGACCTCACTGTTGGCAGCGTTCTTGTCCTTGGGTGGTCTCGAACTCGTCGCGGCCCAGGATGCAGCCCAGGCCCAGGAATTGAGAGCGCAACACTATTTCCTGAAGCGTTCTGAGACAAATGTTAGCCCCGGTGTTTCCTCCCAGCCTGTTACACCGGTCGAGTTGACCACCAGGTCCGAAACAAATGCGGTTGACCCTGCTCTCACCTCGGCAGAAGAACACACCCCGCTCATGGACTCTTCCCCTGGTGTCATCGTTGTTCCTGTGACCCTTTCAGTGGACGCCAATGGTGTTACGCACACGATTGTGGGCACAGCACCATATGTTCCTGGTGCTTCTACATCCACTAGTTCTACCGTGGAGCGTGTAGAAAGTACTCCAGCTGCGGCATCCGCGACGACGACGGCAGGCTCGACCACCGCAGGGACTGACTCAACTACGACCGAGTCCGAAAAGCATACTTCTACAAGCAACACTGAGACGCCCACTTCTACAACCGAGTCTAAGAAGCACACCTCTACATCGTCAGCCGCTGTTGAGACCATCCCTTCTTCATCAGCAGCAGCAGCTGCTACAACTACCCGCACTTCGATTTCCGACTCCTTGGAGAGCTTCATCTCCAGTTTACTTGGGTCCGGTGCAAGCACTACCGCAGCTGCCACTACAACCAGCCCTACGTCGCAGGCCGAGTCTAGCTCTGCAACGTCCACTCCCGTATCGAGCTCTGCTGCGGCCATCGTAGACGTCCATACAAGCAAGAGCTCCACGAGCGAGAGCTCTACGTCTCCCAGCTCCACAAGCGAAACTGCTACTCAAAGTTCTACAGCTCAGGGATCGACGACCCAGAGTTCTTCTACCCATGTCATTCAGGCCCAGAGCTCTTCGAACCCCGTCTCTTCGACTGCAATTGCGACCGCAGAGTCCTCCACGGAGGCTTCGAAGTCGGAGTCTGCCACTCATACCTCGAAAGCGGAGAGTTCAACTCAACTCATCTCAAGCCAGAGCACTTCCGCCCTGAGCTCTTCCGCTCAGGTACCTCTGGCTGAGACTACTTCGAAATCAGACTCGTCAAGTCGGAGCCTGTCGAGTCCAAGCTCTTCAAGTCAGGTTACCTCTATCCAAGTAACATCCAGCCAAGCCGCGGCTAGCCAGGCCACCTCTGTCCAGGCCACCTCTAGCCAAGCCATGTCGAGCCAGGCCACCTCTAGCCAGGCCACCTCTAGCCAGGCCACCTCTAGCCAGGCCACCTCTAGCCAGGCCACCTCTAGCCAGGCCACCTCTAGCCAGGCCACCTCTAGCCAGGCCACCTCTAGCCAGGCCACCTCTAGCCAGGCCACCTCTAGCCAGGCCACCTCTAGTCAGGTCACCTCTAGTCAGGTCACCTCCTCAAGCGTGGCATCCCAGACTACTGGGGCGGTGTCCTCGAGCCTTATACCCATTGCGTCTCAAGACGTGACTTCCACTGCATCCCCGAGTTCGTCAGGTGGTTTGCTCGCATTTATCACAGATATGTTGACCTCTAGCTCCAATACTGCTACCTCCACTGGATCTAGCTCAGTTATTAGCAAGAGTGCAAGTGACTCTGTTGATTCCAGTGCTTTCCCTACAATCTCGGTCAGCGTCCCTGTGGTGACCCCTGCATCATCATCTTCGGGATCCGTCAATATAATTCCTGGTCTTCTGAGCACACTACTGGGCACCAGCTCAGAATCAGCGCCTGAGACTTCAAGCATGGCGAGCCTGGGTTTGGGTGTCTCCGCCACTTCCACGGCTCTTATTCCTGCAGCGTCCAGCGAATCCCAAAGCTCCGCTCCCGGAGCCTCGACCCCTCTCGTCAGTGGTGGTATTATCATCTTGCCCACTGCGACTGAAACTACTTCAGGTTCCCTGTCAGGGTCTGCTTCAACAGGTCTTTTCGGATCCACATCCGAAACCGCCGGATTGACCTCTGCATTGGCTTCTGGATCTGCAGGTGTTATCCCTACCTCGGACGCAGGTGCTATATCTGGCTCCGCAGGCGTTATTCCCACGTCGGTCTCTGGTTCTGCGACTGGGTCGGTAGGTGTTATTCCTACCTCAGTGTCTGGATCTGTCTCTGGCTCCGCAGGCGTCATTCCCACCGTCTCTGGATCTGCGTCTGGATCTGCGTCTGGATCTGCAGGTGTTATTCCTACCTCAGACGCAGGTTCTCTTTCAGGCTCTGCAGGCGTCATTCCCACGTCACTCTCGGGCTCTGCTTCTGGTTCTGCAGGAGTTATTCCCACATCGGTCTCAGGCTCTGCTTCTGGCTCTACAGGCGTTATTCCCACGTCGCTCTCGGGCTCTACTTCGGGCTCTGCAGTAGTTATTCCTACTGCGGCATCTGGATCCACAGGACTTTTCCCCACGACTGCTTCTGGAATTTCTTCAGAATTCCCTTCGGGATCTGCCGGACTTATTCCAACTGCAGGATCCGTCTCATCTGGGTCTGTCTCTCTGACTACCATCTCAGGACCTGGCACCTCGATCGCCTTGATCACTTCCACTCAAGAGCCATCGGGTGTGGCATCGGCAACGCCGACAAGCGCTCTATCTACCAGCACTAGCAAGGAAACGCCATTGACCACAGAACTGCCAACTACGACGACGACCCAGGCCGCCGAGACCACCCTCACCCCAACCTCGACCTCGACCACCTCCGATTCCGATGACTATCTGCCATCGAGCATCCTGGTGGTTGAGCCTACGACTACGACATCGAAAAGCACGGGCACGGCTACTCATGCGGCTACTACCACCACTGCTTCCGCTCAGCTTCCTGGGTCGATCTCTCCCGCCGGTGGCCTTCCCGAGAAGCCGGCGAACGACACCCTGATTCAGATCGGTTTCAACGGTAAACTGCGCTACAGCTTTGTAGCCACGACGCCTTTGTCTTCCTCTCAGATCTTCATGTATGTGCCGGAAGGCCTCGGCTACGCGTTGGGGCTCAATAACAGTGAGGTGGTCATGTATGACATCCAACCGTACGACAACTCGGCAAGCACCGGATACATTGCTACCGTTGCCCTGGCATACATCCCGTCGGACGATGTTGACACGCTGAGGAAGATGCTTCACAACCCCATCTCGAAACTCTATGAGCAGCCCAACGAGACAGTGAAGACATTGATGTCAATGATCGACCCTTCTATTCCTCTTCTGGTGGGCCAGTCGGGCTCTTCCGGCAGCAGCTCATCCAGCGACGGTGGATCGGGAAGTAGCAGCAGCAACGGGGATGGAAGCGACAGTGGCTACGATCAAGGCGATGCGGGTACTAGTTCATCCGGCACAACCAAGGCCAGCGCTGTTGGTATCGGATGCGGTGCTGTGGCTGGTGCAGCAGCATACGGCGCTGGTATGTTTTGGGTTGCGCGTCGGTACCGGAAGAAGCGTCAGTTGCACCAACGCTCGCCCTCGAGCGCCGACCAGATGAGCGAAGGCCGCGGTGGTGGGTCAGTCCTTGCTGCCGGTGGCCGTCTCTCCCGCAACAGTCAAAATAGCCGCGGCACCGGCCGGACCCAGATGATCAGCGCGCCTGTGATGGCCGAGAATTCGCTCGGCTGGAACTAAGCCGGGCGCCCATCAGTTGTTTCACATAAAGTTTGGATCGTGTATTTTGTTCAATGCTAGAAAGGGCCAAAATATAAGCCGGAGCCACGGCGAAAAGCTGCCGACAGCTTCCTAGGGGCGTTGCTTTTCCAACTGGCCGCTAATCTGCGTGGAATACCAAGCGATGTGATCGATTCTGCCATTTTCCTAACTGTATTTCACATGATCTTGCCATGCCATTGCGTCCCGTTTCCCGGCATCTGTCTTGTTTATTTATATTATTCTCTTCTTATTCCCCACACGTTTCTGCCATTTCCCTTTCCTCTTATCCTTCTTACTCTCCTTATGGTGACACAGACCTGCCATCACAATCATTTTTACCTTTCTTCTCTCTTTTTCAGGAGCTCATCCTGTCTCCTGACTTACTTCCTATGCTTCTTAATGGTTGGGTGGTAGGTATCTGTGACGAGTGACGCCGTGCTATACTCTCCTACCCTGTTACTCTTTGTCCTATCTCTCTCACACATTCTCTCTGGTCCGTCCTGTTTGAATCTTTATTTGTACAGATGTATATTTCCAGTAGATCGATGGACCCGCCGGGTGGGATCATCCGGTGGAGCTGAATGAAATGTTCCAATGAGGTGGTTCAACGTAAACTATCACGTACTAGATAAATTGTGTCGGATGAATTGGATATGTGGGGATGTAAAATATTTACTTTAGATGGTGTGATCTTATTGGATGGGATCGGAAATTAAAGTGTGTTTAGTCATTTTTGGGGTGGTAGGGACTAAGTAGTTTCGTGCCAGGCGTAAGTGTTCTCGAGCCCCTCAACCAATGCTCCGATATAGTAACCTTATGAAAATGATGATGATGATGCCTGGCTAAACGACAAAGGAACTACAAGATAAGAAAATAAACCGCTAACTGATAAGTATATACAGTACAGAACAGAATGTAGTGGAGAGAAGGGCAAATGTCTGGTCCACCCGTCATTGAAGAACAGAAGAAAAACGAGATGGCGTTCTAATCAGTCTTTCTTTTCTTTCGAGTGCGAGCCCAGCCCGAGCAGAGCCAGTGGGCCGGTCTCGCCCCGTTGCTCGCGCTCGTGCTTCCGGTGCTCCTTGGCCCGGCGCCGTTCTTCCTTGTACTCTTCCCAGGAGAGATTGGCAGCAGCAGCGATGTTGGCGTCGGAGCCCATGGCCTCATGATTGCTTTTCTCGCCCTGCACCTTTATGAAGTGGCTCAGAGAGGTGGCCTCGTCGTGAGGGATCTGCACAGTACGGGGCAAAGGACGGACGGCGTCTTCACCGGCATAGGCCCGGATTCCAGTGCGGAACGCCCATTCGACTGCCTCTTCGACGGGTTCGTCGAAAATGTACGGGAGGAAGGGAACGACGGAGAGACCGAGCTAATGCATGTTAGCGTCCATGTTAAGAGTGTTTGATGAAATGGAACTCACCCCGATGGGCGCCCAGGTACGGAAGAAAACGCTCCCGGAGTTCTTCAACATCCGGCCAGAATACTTGACCACGGAGTGGATGGTGAAGGCCGGAAGACCCATACTGGCGATGCTCTGGAAAACGGCTCGCTGGGCCATCACCATGCGGTAGTCTTCGGCCAGGGGAACTTGGGTAGTGGGCCATGGCATGAGGGTGTCGCCGCCTGTGAGGGAGCCGCTGATGTTGCCGGTTACCATGCCCTTGGCGATTTTGTCATGGGTCAGGTCGCTGGCATCCTTGTACGCCTCGCAGGGAGGTGCCAGGACGCGGCGATTGCGCAGGTAGGCCTTGTAGCCTTCGTGAGCGACATCGCCGATCAGGTAAGTCCAAGAGATACCGTAGGCTGAACGGACGAGCCAAGGGTGGGCAACCGGGCGGAAAGACTCGCCAATGTCGGAGGTATAGGCGACATAGCGGTGGGCGGAGAGGAGGATCGTGCGGAGACGGTTGGCGTACCCGGCGTAGCGGTAGGGGGTTTCGGTGGAATCGACCGAGCTGGAGAGGGAGTTAGTGAGTTGATACCAATGCTAGACTACTAGCAAATCGCTAATAGTCGACAACGGTGGATGAGAGCGGGTGGCAGTCCTCCGGCTGGCTGGCTGGCTGGCTGGGCTGGCCTTGATTTTGACTGCTTGCGGGGAGAAATTGCGGGGAGACGCGGAGACGCCCATGCCTCGTGTGACCGACCGGCGATGCTGCGAAGCACCCGGCGAAGGAACAGGGTCAGACGTACTAGGAGGAATAGATGTCATCGTAGAAACCGTCGTCGCGGTCGGCCAGCTTTTGTAGCTGTGGAGGAAGCTTCTCGCGAGGAATGGGCTCTTGGGCCTCCTCGGGCGTGTCGTCGTGATGCTTCTTCCAGAACATGATGTGGGCAGAGGTGGATAACGGCTGAGGGGTGAGGAAGAAGAAAGTCGAGAGACCTTAGAAAGAGGATGAGTGAAGCGAGGAATGGAGGAAGTCAGTCAATCAAGGGGGAGAAAGTTGGTGGTGACTTCAGGCAAAGAGCTACTAGGTAGATAGTAGATAGTAGATAGTAGATAGTAGCTAAGTAGCAAGAGCTACAAGCAATCCATGGACTCGTGGATCTTATAGCCCGGCCATTCATTGCAGCACAACCGTAGGCGGCAGCCGGCCAGCAGCAACCCAGCTCATCATAGCCGGGGCAATCTCCACGTCGCTCCAGGGAAGATTTCACTTCCCCCGAGGTTCGGATGGGAGGAATCTCCTGCGGCGGCTCACGCTGCGGCGATGGGCACCGCCACGGCATGATCTCATGTTGGTTAGGGAGTGGCCTAAGCGGGGTTTGGAAATAAACATCAGAACTGTCATTACTGCTCGATGGCGCCCGACAAGCTGCGAGAATGGGCGCATCTGCTCTGCTCTGGTGCTGCGTCATACCATATCCCGTGATGCTTTCCCGGCCCTCACGTGTCTCGGGCACTTCCGGGACATCACGTGGAGTGCAGCTGTGCATGTGATCTCGTGACCCCTTGTCCCCGGGTGCTGACTCACCTCTGACTCAACCCTTTTCAACACTTGCTGAGTCATTGTTCAGTCAGCAGCCACGCCAGGCCCAAACAGGCAAGGACCACAGCCGCAACTTCCATCGCAGCCGTCCAACGACTGATTCCCGCAGGACCTAGCATCGCACCGCTACATCCGCCGCTGTGACCTCACCGTTCTCCATTGAACTCTCGCCTCCAATCCGTCATCATGGTCGTCTACTACCAGATCGCCGGCAAGCAGATCGGCTCCCACGTCGTACGTCTCCGTCCCACCGTGTCCCAACCTCCCCTGTCCCAGACCAATCTCTGCCGAGGTCTCAACATCGGCCGACCGGGCACCTCCCAGCTGGGTTGAACCTCTCTGACTGACTGCTCGATTGATTCTAGCTCGCCATGGGCGTTCTAGGTGCTCTCTTCGGTGGTGTTGGTCTCGCTACCCGTGGTGGCAGTCAGCCCAAGCCTGCCGCCCCTCCCATCCAGGCTTCCTCCAAGGATGAGGAGACCTTCATTCAGTACGTTCTTGACCGCCGTGTCTGATACTTGTCTGGCAGAATACAGTAAAGGACAAGTATGGGTTTGGAACTCGGGCTAACGTCTTGCTACAGGGACTTCCTGAAACAGATGAACGGAGAGGACAAAAAGAAGGACCATTAGAATACCGCTTTAATACGGGAATGAGTCGAGGACTATGAAATGAATATGCTCGAAAAATGGGTCATTGGCCGGATTGATCTTGATTCTCCGTGACGGGTCGAGCAATGTCCTTGAAATCTTGCCCTGCTGGAACGGCCTGGCGGTTCCAGGGAGGTGTGAATCTGTACATATAGAGTATACACCCTGAACGTTTGTTCTCCAACTTGCACTTGCCGGTGTGGAAGAGAATGATAGACGAATCTGTAGGCGATGATAGATGGGTGTAGAAAAGTATGTAGGGGGCCCGTAACTGCAGAGCCAGCAAAACAAAACAAAAGCACTTACCTATGCTACCAGAGACAAACAAGACCACCCGAACAAACAACTACACTACAACTTCTCCCTCAACCTTATAATCCAAAGCTACTACATACCTTCGTGCCTCTCTCTGTACAGAGCACCTGTCACACAATGAGACCAGTCACCTGACTACGCCCATCGATCTCTCCATCGATCTTCTCCATCCACCCAAACCCATCACCACCACCAACCCATCGACACCCACACCATCACCATGAAACCCATCCCCTTCCCCATCGCCCTCAACATCGGCACCGACATCGTCCACCTCCCGCGAATCACCAACCTCCTCAACCGCCCCAGCTACTTCACCCGCTTCACGCGCCGCATCCTGCACGCCGACGAACAACGAGACTTTCGCGCCCGCTTCTCCCTCCCTCATCCCCCACCCGCCTCCTCATCCACATCCTCTTCCTCACCACCATCACTATCCTCCCGACCGCCGCCGCCGCCACCCAGCAGTATAACTCCCAATATGGTACGATGGCTAGCGGGCCGGTTTGCAGCCAAAGAGGCAGCGCGGAAAGCGGCGCCTCTTGGAGCGGCGCATATTAGTTGGAAGGAGGTGGTGGTTACGGTGGGGGAGGGGGGAGGCCGGAGGTGGTATATTTGGATGGGATTGGAGAAGGGAGGGGAGGGGGAGGGAGAAGGTACAGGAGGGCGAGTAGGGAAGTTGTCGATTTCGCATGATGGGGAGTATGTTGTTGCTATGGTTGTTGCGGCGGGTTGAGGGGGATATAAGATAGAAAGGGGGGAGGGGTGTTTAATGTGAGGGAGGGTGTTTTTGGGGTGTAGAGGTGAGGGTGGATATTTGGAGTTTATGGTTGGTTGGTTTAGGGATTGAGGGGATTGACGGGGTTGAGGGGTTTGTGCTGGGTTGGGTTGGGTCGGGTTAACTTGATCTGGGATCGTGAGAGAGTCATTATCTGGAGGTTGTCGTTGGGTTGAGGGGGTTGGTTGGGCTATGCCTGTTGATGCATGTGAAAGATGAACTGCTGAGATGGTGGGGGTGGAGCTAGCTGGCTAGCTACGTGAACACGAGGACTGTAGCAATAGGTATATATTATCTAGGTTAATAAATTGTGACATTGTGAGTAGATATTACTCGTTATGTAGCTGGTCATCTCATATCGTCATCTGGTCGGTTGATGTCGGCGAGCGCCGGTGCTAGAACAGAACACTCCCGCAACACGCTTCTACACACTTCTTCAAGCCTCCTCTGCATCCGACCCCCTCTGATCCAGGATCACGTTCCATCAACCGCTTCTCTGTCTGGTCTGGCTGCAATCAGCCTGAATCCCACTAGGCCTACCTAGCTGCTCCCCCCTGGACACCGACCACCATCCCTCCATCGCGGGGTAAATCAGCCGCAGTACGCATATCACCGCATCATCCATTCTTCACCCCATACATGCATGCAACATCCTCACTAACCCACCTCTCCAGATGCCTTTCACCCATCACAGTCACTCGGGGCAATTCTGCCCTGGCCACGCCAAAGACTCTCTGGAGGAGATCATCCAGCTCGCGATAGCCAAGAGATTCCACACCTTCTGCCTGACCGAACACATGCCCCGGCATGAAGAAGATTTCTACCCTGAAGAAGTGCCCCACCCTCTCTCATGGCGACTGACCTCTGCCCAAGTGCAACGTATTCACTAACCAACCCACTCAGATCGAAGCTGGCAACACCCTGGCCAGCCACGTGGCCAACGAAGCCGCTTACTTCGCCGAAGCCACACGCCTGCGGACCAAATACGCCGATCAGATTAAGATCCTGATCGGGTTCGAGATTGACTGGATCCGGCCGGGCTCGCGCACCCTGATCGATGAGTCCCTCGCCCGGCACCCGTTCGAGTTCTTCATGGGCTCCGTGCACCATACGCTGACGGTGCCGATTGACTATGACCGGGTGCTGTACGAGAAGGCGCGCGAGCTGGCGGGTGGCACGGACGAGCAGCTGTTCGAGGCGTACTTTGACGAGCAGCTGGATATGCTGCAGCAGGTGAAGCCGGTGGTGGTGGGGCATTTTGATCTGATCCGGTTGAAGAGCGATGACCCCGAGCGGAGCTTTACGGAGTATCCACGGGTGTGGGCGAAGATTCTACGGAACTTGGACTACGTGGCTGGGTATGGAGGGTTATTGGAGTTGAATTCGGCGGCGTTGAGGAAGGGGATGAGTGAGCCGTATCCGAAGGGGGAGATTTGCAAGGTAGGTTAGATGTTGTTGGGGGGTTTACATTGGGAGAGATAATCAGGACGGGGCTGATTCGTTGATAGGAATTCCTGGCTCGGGGCGGACGGTTCTGTCTGTCGGATGATAGTCATGGGCTGGAGCAGGTCGGGTTGAACTTCCACCGCGTGCTGCCGTTCATGGAGCAGGTGGGTATCTCAACGGTGCATTATCTGGAGCTGGGGGAGGGGGATGCGGCCGTTGATCAACGGTTTCCTCGGACGCAGATCCGGTCGGTGGCATTGGCGGAGGTGAAGGAGATGGCCTTCTGGACGCAGGATGGAGCCACGACGCGGTGAGTGACAGGTGCAGGTGGTGGCACATCACATGCATGCATGCAGTGACAGCTGGTATTGCTTTTTTCCTGTGTGTCGAGCGAAGGAATGCATATGATGGATGAAGGATGAAGGATGAAGGATAGCCGCTTTCTGTATATCTACTAGATAGATAGCACCACCCGAACCAGCCAGAGAGAGGGCCGAGGACTGACTGACTCTCTCTCTGCGACGATCATCCGTTGGCAGGGCGCCCGATGGTCGGCCAGGTGCAGTCCATCAATAATGGGCGGCAGTGGCGGCACCGGAGCTGCATGATGCCACGAGGCGAGTCTATCATAGGGTGCGATGAGTGCGACGAGGGCGACGAGGATTAATAACAGATGTCAGATGGAGCACAGTACACAGTGCATAGTACGTAGAATGGCGGAAGCAGTGATCGAGGGAGAGGGAGGAACAGCACCAGAACAGCGCCAGTTCCGCGCCAAGCGAACCCACAATCAATGAATCATCCATCACCTCGCAGCTGCACCAGTTGCACCAGCAGCAGCATCGCCACTCCACTGCACCGCACCGCATGTAGAAGCCATCACATACGAGGGGAATCCTAGAAAAGAATCCTCCCATTGCCGCCGTAAATACCATCCATCCAGTAAGTGATCCGACAGCCAGAACCCAGGCTGGTCTCGATCGAACTATAAATCCTTCCTTCCCCCGCCCCCACTTGGCCGATTCTTTTTCTTCGCCTTCGTTCTTCCAGTCTTCTCCTCTTCTCCTCTTCTCCTCTTCTCTCCCCTCATCTCCATCTCCATCTCCTCACCGCCGTATCTCCGTTTACAATCTCTCCATCATTCACAATGGGCGTCACCAAGACCACTCTCGTTGAAGGCAACGGCCAGCAGTACCCCAAGAAGGGCGATGTTGTGTCCATCCACTACACTGGCTGCCTCCTTGATGCCTCCCAGCCCAACAAGATGGGTAAACAGTATGTCCTTAATCTCCGCCATGAACCATTCAGATGCATATTTCTATCCTATGCGCACTGCACCACACCATGACATCAAACCAAACAAACAAGCAAACACGCAAACAAGCAAACTGACATCATATCCCAACAGGTTTGACAGCTCCCGTGGCCGTGGCGTCTTCAAGACCTCCATCGGTACCGGCCGTGTCATCAAGGGTTTGCTTCTCTATTCCCCTCCTCAACCCTTCTGGTCTAATTCATACGAATCTAGGCTGGGATGAGGGTGTCCCCCAGATGAGCGTTGGCGAGAAGGCCATCCTCGAAATTTCTCCGTGAGTCATTCATTCCCGATCCATCAATCGATCCTTCTAGTTTTCTCCAACAACATACTAATAATACAATCCAGTGACTACGGCTACGGTAACCAGGGTTTCCCCGGCCTGATCCCTCCCCAGTCCACCCTTGTTTTGTAAGTCTTACCCTGCAGCTATCTATTTACCCCTAGTTATGTGTAATTTAGATGTGATACTAACTGACTGTATCTAGCGAGGTTGAGCTCATGGGCATTAACTAAGCTTTCTGCTCTGCTGTGCTCTGTTTGGGATCGAACTTGAAAATGAAAAACGGCGGATCTTGTCGATTTACTTAGATCATTATTGTCGTCATTATCAATGAAGTGTAATGTGTCTGTCGCCGGGATTGAAACCGGTTGACGATTGGGGAATTTCCTATGTTTGTAGTGTGTACTGTAGGGAGGAGGGACTGGGTAGAGGGTAATGGTGGTCTGGTTATCTGATCGATTGATCTAATCGTAAAACGTGAAGAAATGAAACCGGGGTCTTTATCACATGATATTCAATCAACTAATCCAACCCCTTGTCCAACATTCCCCTACCTTGTACCTTACTAGTAGGTAATTCCCTCCCCCCCCCGGCCCCTTCCAACCAATTTAGACCCCACACACGTCAGAAGCTCCTCACCAGACCAAAGGAGATAACTCCCGGTCACAAGAGTCCTTGGAATGCTAAGTAAATCCCATCAACACTTAGATACTACTTACTACCCCTACCTAACAATCGTGTTAATATACTCAATCCCCTCAGCCCGGAACGTATCCTCCTCAACATAACTCTCAGTCCTAGGCACCCGGAAGACAAAGTTCGATGGGTCGGACGGGTCGTATTTCGGCCATTGTGGGATATCAGACACTATTGACAATTAGCCACTACCACCACCACCACTGTGTTCATATAGCAAGGGGATATATATACGCACCCCCATGTCCATTCGGATCCAAATCCGTCGCAAAAGCCGTCCACATCCGGGCTGCCAGATTACCAAGGGCAAGACGCGCGGGATCGCTACCCAACGCGGTGATGTTTTGGACGGGATTGGCGAAGATGAAGGGGATCTTTGTGGGTAGGTAAGTATTGAGATAGTTGGTTAGGTGGGTGGTGTGCTCACCTCTGCGAAATGCTCCACGCCTATCACGGACGTATCGTTCAAGGCTGCCACATCCCAGCGGTAGGCATACACGTTCTCTTCATACTTGACCATGTTCTGTCCTAGGAGTCGTCGCGGAGCGAACATGCAGATGTCTCCTGCCATTGACTCGTAGCGTTTATATTCATATCCGCGAGCGGGCCAGGTCACGTTGCCCCAGCCGTAGGGACAGCTCAGAGCGGAGATGTTGGGGTACAGGCCGAGGATGGTGGTTGCTTCGTCTTGGTTGAGGTTCCAGCGTTTGGATGCTGTGTGTACGTACATGTTTGTGGTTAGATAGGGGGTGTTGGTAGGAATGGCGGGTGGTTTAGGGGGTGGGGACTCACCCGTCAACTGCTGTATGCACTCTTCGTCGGTGTTCGTCCCTGTCGTGCCGAAACTGACGCCCTCGTCGGTGTTGGTGCCGTGGAGGATGGGCACTTTAGCGAAGCGGCCCTCAGTGATGCTGATCTGGGGGTATTCTTTGAGAAAGATTCCGTCGATTGTGCCGAACCATTCTAGTCCGTTGTAGGCGACGGCGTAGAGGGAGTCGAAGGGAACTTCGCGAAGGCATTGGAGGGTGTCTGTGGCTGTGGTGCAGCTGGATTGGTGTCAGTTGGTAAGTTGGTTGTCTTAATGTGGTGGTAACGTACTTGGTTGCATTCACGATCTGGTCATACATGGGCTGGTACCAGTCCGTGCCATTCCACGGAGGCCCAACGGCATTTCCGGATTCCATGATGGCTGCGCGAATTAGATTGATATGAGAGGTATGAGATGCATATGCACATACCGGCTCGGAAGAGACCCTCGTTGTCGCCATCATTGGTAACCAAGTGGGCTCCGACACTATAGGCACCTCTGTATTCAGGAGTCAGATGTGTTGGTATATGTTCTGCTCTGTCTGCTAGACTCACGCCGACTCTCCCCAGATCGTGATCTTCTCCGGGTCTCCCCCAAACGCCTCGATGTTCTGCTTGACCCAGTGCAAGGCGACGCGCTGGTCACGAAGACCTAGATTCGTGTTTCCCGAAGCCTAGAGCAAGTCAGAATGGCGCTACCGACTAAGTAGAAGCTGGAGTGATACGTACCATGACTTCCTCGGAGTTGAGGAACCCAAAAGCCGCAACGCGATAATTGATCGATACTCCCAGCACAGGCTTATCGTTCAAAGCTCCTTGATGAAGGATATAGCTCAAGTTGTACCTAACATGCGTCAGCACATCACCAAACCAAACAAGCCCATGGCAATATTCTCACCTCGGATCCGCCGTCGCTCCCTCCATCCATCCACCCCCGAAGATCCAAATCATCACTGGCAACAACTCATCCGAGTCCCTCTTCGGACGGACAACATTCAGATTCATACAGTTCTCACCAAACTTGGCCCAGCCCAGCTCCGCCAGCTTTACATTATCAGACCCGTATCCGGGACAGTCATACCCATACTCGGTAGCATTGTAGAGCACGGCACCCGACGCATCCACACCGGACTCGTAAAGCCCTGAGTCACTATCACTGGCATTGTAGGCAGTCTTGAGCGTCGAAGGGGTAAATCGGACCGGTTCATCTGCAAACTTGATCCCCAAGAATAACTCCTGGTCGAATTCCGGCAAGGAGCGTCCAACGAAGATAGTATTGTTGAGAGTAACCGACGGAACCGAGGACGAATCGCTCCCACCATCCCGGTTGACAATGTGGCGCTCACCCGGAAGAGCAGAAACCGCCGCGATCAAGCCGAGCCAAAAGGCCCCGGAAACGAAGTTCCTTGCCATGATCACAGTCGGCAATGGTTCCAAGTCAGACAATGTAGATAGCAGGAGCTTGCAACCCCCCGCCTGGCTCAGGAGAAGAAAAAAGGCCACCCTCTCAACCCCTTCAAGCTAATATAATCCATATGCTAGGCATTGCTGCTAGATAAATAGCGCCCAGACGCTATTTTTCCGTGGCGAATCCATCTGACTCCATCCTGCATAAAGCCGATGCTTGAGTTGCGAGGCTCGCTAACCCCGAGAATGCAACTGGAATTGATTGACTCAGGGATGTACCTCGGAGTTGCTGGAGATGCATGTACCCCAGGTTCTTCCAAGTTAGTACCATGCATTGATATTTGGTAGAGGCGGGGGGGGAATGCAGGTTATAGGTGGAAGTGGGCGATGAAGAGCCAAGCCGCTGCGGCCGAGTTTCTCCGTCCCCAAGTGGGATCAGGACCCTGTTATTGGTCTCGGCGCTAAGGATTCGAGCCATTTATATTGGCTCGTCAATTGCTTTTTCCCTACTTGGGAAGACTTAATATGAATGTTTCGGATTGGGTGGAGATCTGCCAGATGGGAGCAATATCCATTCAGCAGATCCATCCTGAGATAGTACTATGAGCCATTTCTCACAGACAGCGGGTGGCCTATGTATAAACATATGTTGTATTATTCTAGCCTATCGTCCACAACCACCACCGCCATCGGGGTATAGCTGAGACCCATAGTGCCGTCTAGTTATCGATCAATGCCACCGGGCACCGTTCTAAGTACAGAAACCAAGACTCACAAGATCCCTAACACCAAGCAGTCAGCCACATCAATTACAGTAATAAGACGACGCATGCCCGTTGCGCCGTGCTATGCTTCAAGTGCACGCGGTATTTGGTATCGCGAAAGTTAAATACCTGATCGACAGCAGCTGGCCTTGCCGTCGACCCAAACAGGAAAAATAAGTATTAAGAAGCAGAAGGAGGACGTAGCCCGGCAGGATAGTATTCACCCATCAATCATCCTTCGCCCGGTCCCCTCCAGAACGAGTCCGGCTCGTCCCAGGTGAAGGGCTAAGAAAACGTCCCCGCAGGGCTGTTCCATCGTGAAGACTTGACCCCGACCGTAGCAGATCGGGTTTCCACCGGGGTTCGGATACCACATTCGAGGAGCTTCGAGACTCTAACCCGTCGTTCAACTCGATCAGGTCCCCGTTGCCTCGTCGCCCAATCGCTTGCGCTGGATCGTCCTTCGGCGAACTTTGCGGCTGTTGCAACTCGTTCAAACTCGCCTTGGCCCGAGTCGTCATCTTCCGGACCCAGGACTCAACTGCCCCACCAAGATGGTCGAGGCCGGTTGGCGTGTTCGCTGCTGCTGTTGACGTACTCTCCGAGGAGCTTTCGAAATCCGGCGGATGCGCCACGGGAGCAAGATTCGGCAAATGCTGAGCAAAGAATTTGCTCAGCCCATCCATGGCGGGTCCTGGAGCCGTCGAGTCATGATCGAGGGTACCAACACCAGGCCCGGACAGTTGGATGCCGCTGCGCTGGCGTTGATGGCGAACACCAGGCTTGGTTTTCGAAGAGGTGCGTGATGCAGACGAGTCTGCATGCGGCCGACTCCAGGCGGGAATGGCAGGCTGTGCGAATGCTGGCTCAACTGGCGAAGACGACGAGGAAACAGTCGTGCCTCCTCGACCGGACACTGGAGACGGCACCGAGTCGGTATACGCTAGAGATTTCCGCCGCGTTCGCGGGAAAAAGCCCAATGTCCTTCGGGGGACACGTCCAATTTCCACTGGTGCAGGAAAACCCTCAATATGCACCCACGACTCGTGTTTCCAGGTTCGATCACCCTCGAACTCTGCTGCCGGAGTTGCAGGCGTTAACGCCTCAACGGGCCCGGACGACGAAGCAGGGGCTATGGAGCTGCCGCTCAGGTCCTCCAAAGACTCACGCTTCAGGCAACCCTCGCCCATAAGATCCTCTTCTATTCTAGGCCGAATAGGCCGTCCTTTGACCGAGCAGGAGTCGACCGGCAGAAGGACCGTTTTGCGGCCTTGAATGCTATCGCTAGGCCAAAATCCGTTGGCCTTGCGGAACACCGCAGGTTGGCAACCATATCGTATCGTAACCCCGGTGATAGTGTCGGTGGCTTGTACGTGGTGGATATATGCTAAAGCGTCCTCGTCGTGTTCGGGGTCAACCGTCGAATGACCCGTCCGGTCGCTAGAGTCCCGCCGCTTGTGCCGGGCAGTGGTGCTCCAAGCCGGACCTGTATCGGCCAGCAACAGCGCTTCCCTCTTCTTTGCTTGCACCAACGCCTGTCTCTCCTCTTGGGTTCCGCTTCCAATTTCCGGGGTGGATGGGGCAGAAGGACCCCATGTTGAAGGTGCCGACGATGGTGTAGGTAGTCTCGGATAAGCATCCGGGCGTGAAGGTTTTCTCGCATGCGTCTTAGTGGTTCCATTGGTGGCCGGTCGTGCGATATCGCTCCCTAAAACTGACGAGGCCAAACTCTGGAGCGACGTCCATGATACATCCAAGAAGTCTTCGGCAACTCGCGACTTAGCAAACTTTATTCAGCACTCCCCATTATGACAAAACATACCTAGAGAACCATTTCCTTTGCTACGGCTGGCAGCCTCGGTGGCTCGAGAGGGATGTCTCATGGGTATGGGGGACACTCCGCGGGATGGGTTAGGTGATGGCGTAGCACCGCGGGCGCGAACAGCGGAGGTATCGGGGGATAACATCGACGACAGCCCGGAGGACTGCATTTGTCTCCCATTTTCGTCGACATCATCATCGGTAAACGATATCAGCCGACGGGTACGCGATCGCACGGTGGAGGTGGATCTCCGGCTGGTATTTGTCGTGCTCGAGGTCCCAAGGCTAAAGAGGTCGGCAAAGCCGCCGTTGGAACTCATCCCTGGCGACAAGGACGATAAGATAGATTGGAGGGGGGACGGGTGTCGTCAGGTTACCGGCAGGAGCTCAGGGTTTGCGTGTGAGATCGCCCAGGCACAAATTGCCATCGGAGGTCTCTACGACAGACCATTCGTCATCCGGGCTCTGTAATTATCGCATCCGTGTCCTGAAGCTCGGGGCTAGCACGGGATCTAACAACCGATAATATCACCTGTGTTTCGAGTAGATGAAACGGGGGGGGGCACAACCCAAGTCGCACGATTCGAAAGGTCTAATCCAGGGGCAAGACCAAGAGCTGGGGCAGACTTGGGGAGGTTGGGAGGGAGGAGGAGGAGGAGGCGCGGGATGGAGGAAGAGGGAGAAGTATGGAGTTTAGCCTCCTGTGATGACGACTCAAGTCGGCAGATCAGACGGCGGCAGGGCGGGGTGGCAGTCTCATGCTCTGCTCGGGGCGAGGTGAGAGAAGCAACCGGAGATTTGCGATGTTCCCGATGAATGCTGCAGGTGGGAGTAACGATTGAAGCGATTGAAGCGAAGAGAATTCGATCGGCAAGAAGGTTTCCCAGCTGAAGGCAGGCCGCCTGGTGCATTACCTCGCTGTAACAACGCTGCCTCTTGACGTCGGCCGGTGGCGTACCGGTACGTACCGTATGGGAATACCACGGATCGGCGGCGATGCCTTCTTGGCCCCGTCCGTCGCGCCCACCGGCCACGTATTTAACTTAACATACATCTACTTTATACAGGACAGCTCGAGTGGTGAAATTTATATCCGGATTTCGTCAGCGGGTATATCGAGGTCAGCCGTTCCATCATGCAGGTACTCGATGCACCCCGGTTGGAGGCGTAAGCCCCATACAAATCAGAGCCATTATATCCGAAAGTATATCCACAAGAGAATGAAAGCAATTCATACAACATCCAAGAAGGCGGAGGCCATCTACTCAGGCGGTTCTGCCATCTCCGCGGGTGTTCGTGCTTCAGCTTCAGATGCTGCTTCGGACTCGGTGCTCCATTCCTTCTCCGAGTTGGCTTTGTTCTGTAGCTGGGCGGGTGGAGGGATGACCCGGACCCCCCCAGCGCGCGTAAAGAAGTCTTCCGTACGGAGACCGCGCACTTCTTTGGGATCGACCGCTGTCATCTTGAGCCCGTCCGCCTTTTTCTGGCGGATAAGTTCGCGCACCGGCACCATGGCGGCATCTCGACAGGCCTCCTTAATATCACTCCCTGACATACCCGCCATGGCCTTGACAAGATACTGGAGGTCAAAGTTATTCCGATCAACTTTGGTGTCCTTGAGGATTAGGCTGAGGATCCGAAGCCGCTGTGCTGCAGGGGGGAGAGAGACGGGAAACTTCTTAGGCATCCGTCGGAGGATGGCCTCATCGATATCTCCCATGCGATTAGTGGCGCCCAGGACGACCACTCGTTGGGGCTCGCCCATCGAGTTTGCTGAAGTAAGACCATCCCAGTGGGTCATGAACTCTGCCTTGACCATCCCACTGGCCTCGTGCTCCCCGCTTCGTCGTGTTCCCAGTACGGCATCGATTTCATCAATAAAGACGATCGAGGGCTGCAACTTCCTGGCAAGCGAAAATACAGCATTGACCAGTTTATTGGAATCACCGTACCACTTCTCGGTCAGTGTAGAGATGTGTAAGTTGATGAAGCATGCCCCGCTCTCATGGGCGAGCGCTTTAGCAAGCATGGTCTTTCCGCATCCAGGCGGCCCGTACAGAAGGACACCAGATGGCGCCGTGAGGAGCGATGACGTTGAAGCGTAGAGGTGAGGCATCGTAAGAGGATATATGACCGATTCTTTCAACTCCTCGATGATCTCATCCAGACCTCCGATGTTCTCAAATGACACCGAAATGTCATCTGGAGCGACTACATCCATGGCGATAGCCTGCTCATACTGGTTGAGGACTAGATCACCCCTCTTTTGCCGGCGCCCACCTTTTCCTCCGCGACGCGGTGAATCTTCATCTGACTCTTCGTCTCCTCCGTCGAGTTTCCGTAGAATTGCGGCCGATTTACGCCGTTGTTCTTCTTTCTTCTTACTCTCGGGGTCAAAGTCAAGGCGGGATAGGAGGTATCTAATAAGGAAGTATGCTGATGCCGACTGATAACAACGGTTAGTCGCAACACGGGTTTAAGAGCGTTTTGGAACTTACAGTGCCCGCAACCATCACCAATTCCTGCAAGAACTGCTGCCATCGGGGACCGCGAGCTGAAGCCATGACGACGAAATGGCGAAACAAAAACGACCGGTCACTTAGATTGTCCCCAAAACAGAAAGCGTATAAGTCCCCCGAAACAACGTCCGGTAGCAAAGGCCCCAGGTCCAGCTGCGGCAAGAAGTTGGATCAAACCGGTCGGGGCGGCCGTCGGAGACTGCCAGAGCAACTGTGGCGCGGATCGGTCGGAGACGTGGCTTTGCCGACGGCGTCACATGTTCCCCTGCTACAATGTTGCTGTTTGCAGGCTCGGAGCACAACTTGGTGATACAATTACTGCGTACGGAGTGCGGAGTATGGAGTACATACTACACTTTCATATCCCATTCTTTATCCACTCTGACAGTCTGGCCGGGTCCGGCGATGAGAAAATGATGTACTCGGGAAGAGAGTGCTCTGTTAGGAAGTGCTCTGTCAGCAAGTAGATAAAGGAAGCTGTTACGTACACCCATATTTTGTTCCGGGTCACCGAGGGTCCACCGCCCAAAGAGGCTTAGCCTGATCAGATGACCAACTTTTACCGCTACACCCAAAAGAGAAACTAGCACCTGTTTAGATCTTATACTGTTTTTGAACGATTCAGCCTCCGGTGAGGCAGCCAGCCCGGCCACCCGGTTAAACGCCTGACTGGCCACCTTGCCTGGCTGAATTCAATATATATAGACTGTATTGGCTCGTAGAGCCAACATGATGTCCATAATATCATCCATTTTAGCATTTAAAAAGCGCGATTTTAGTAGTGTAAAAGTAGGTGTTTTAATACAGGCTTCTATGTTGTGAAGTCGCGGGGTCGTGGGGGACCGCGCATATTACATACCATACAAAAAATGACTGCTACTTTGTCAGGTGACGGGGCTATACCATTTTCGAAGGCGCTATTCCGTTTGCGGCGCTTATGTAAGAGACCCTCGGTGACCCGGAACAAAATTTGGGTGTACGTAACATCTTCCTAGATAAAGGAGAAGGCCCCGAATCAAATTACTAGTAGCGATGAGGCGCTAACATGGTCGATGCGCGATCGCAGTATTGCAGTTTTATAGAGATTAGTTGCGCCCGCAAAGAAAAACCGCTGAAGGAATGGGAAGTCGAGATGATTAGTCTGAAATCGCAAGTTGAGGCGACTAAAAGCCAGCTCCTCTCAGTACATACACAAAGTACAAAGTATTATTGATATTAGGACTATGAACAGAGATTGCTGCAGATTATAGGGAGTGAAACTATGACTAGCATGGTAGCAATAGAAGTAAGTTCCTTATGCACTGTAACAATGATTATCCATGTCTTATGTATAGTAAATCTTCACCCCATGTTAGAGATTCTTCGAATATCATCGGTTAACTTTAAATCTGCCGAATTCCACTTTATTCTATTCTTTTGATATTCTTTCTAAATGTTTCACTATGAATACTACCTTTGCTTGCTAGTAAGTATCTACATCGTATACCATATCTGATCATTGATGTGCTGGCCAAGTAGTAAAGTAAAGTACATGATGACTTAGATGATTCCATTAGTTATCACTAATGGGAATCCTTCTACGTATCTATCTATCTATCTATCTACACCCTGTTCTACGGAGTATATTGTGCTAAATATGGAATCAAGGGGTTATCCGTCACTTTCAGGGTGCTGCGCCCGAGGACCTTGCGGCCAGCCGTAGCCCCGTCCATGGTGAATCGGTGGTCCCCGATTGGCTGCGGGTCTTCCCCAAGTTCCCCAATCCAGCCACGCGGAAAAGTGCTGCCAGGCTGCTAATTCAGTGCTAAGCACTCTCCAAATTCACCTGAACCTACCTCTCCCTGAGCTCGATGCGAGGAAGCGGTTGCATCGGCCTACCTCGCCGTCTTCCTTCTTCTCTTTCTTCGTTGTATCTATTGCTTGGCCTAATGGTTTTCTTACGTTCTCGAGACTCAATTTCACTCCTTTAGTTTACCAACCCTTTCCCCGAGCCCGATCTCCTGTACCGGAAATCATGGCGCGTCTCGGCCGCGTAGGGTTCCTCACCCTCGCGGTGGTGTTTCACCTAATTTACGCCTATTCGATCTTCGATATATACTTTGTCAGCCCGATCGTTAGTGGTATGAAATCGTTTCGTGTCGAACGAGAATCCGATGCCGCTGCTCCCGCCAAACGTCTCGTTCTGTTCGTTGCCGATGGCTTGCGTGCCGATAAAGCCTTCCAGGCATTGCCTGACCCCGACGACACCACCGGAGAGGATACGGAGCCGATCTACCTGGCACCTTTCATTCGGTCTCGAGTACTCTCCCACGGCACTTTCGGGATTTCCCATACCCGAGTTCCTACTGAATCGCGGCCTGGCCACGTTGCGCTTATCGCGGGGTTGTATGAGGATGTGTCGGCGGTAACAACAGGATGGAAGCTGAACCCGGTAAATTTCGACAGCGTTTTCAATCGCAGCCGGCATACGTGGAGCTGGGGGAGCCCGGATATTCTTCTTATGTTCCAAGAAGGTGCAGTTCCCGGAAGGGTTGACGCGGACACGTACGGAGAAGAGGCGGAAGACTTTTCATCTGACGCAACACTGCTGGACACCTGGGTTTTCGATAAAGTGAAGGAATTGTTTGCTTCCGCTAAAACAGATCCCGAGTTAAATGCGAAATTGCGCGAAGACAAGTTGGTGTTCTTCCTGCACCTCCTCGGGCTCGATACGACGGGTCATGGGTATCGTCCATATTCGAAAGAATATCTGCGTAATATCAAGCTGGTGGACAAAGGGGTGCAGGAAATAACGCAGTTGGTGGAGGAGTTCTATGAGGATGATGAAACAGCTTTCGTTTTTACGGCCGACCACGGAATGAGCGATTGGGGTAGTCATGGCGATGGCCATCCCGACAATACGAGGACACCACTCGTGGTATGGGGTTCTGGTATAGCTGGTCCTAGGTATACCCAGGAAGGAATTCCAACTGGTCATGAGGATGGTGTTTCGTCCGACTGGGGCTTTGACAACATTCGGCGGAATGATGTCGCGCAGGCTGATGTCGCAGCCCTGATGGCATACCTGACTGGGCTTGACTTTCCTACTAATTCGGTGGGTGAGCTACCTTTGGAATTTTTGGATGCCAGTCCCAAGGATAAAGCACTTGCCGCGCTGGCCAATACTCAGGCGGTCTTGGAGATGTACCGTGTGAAGGAGGAGCAAAAAAAGGCCACCCTGCTTCGGTATAAGCCCTTTGAGCCTCTGGCCGATCACGGTCAGACCTCAGTCGATGAACACCTTCAGGAGATAGAGGCTAAGATAGCAATCGGCTTTTACGACGAATCCATCGCAATGTCGTCTGCTCTACTGGCGAATGCTTTGGAAGGCCTGCGCTACTTACAGACATATGACTGGCTTTTTCTCAGAACTGTTGTGACATTGGGCTACCTGGGCTGGATTGCATATGCTTTAACCACTGTTATTGACTTGCATGTCCTTCATGGCACGTCCGACTCGAACCGAACTGTCTTCAGCACTTCATTTTTCTCGTCTATTCTCGTCGCACTTTTTTCTGTCTTTCTCTTCCAGCGCTCCTCGTGGCGGTACTATTTCTATGGGGTCTTCCCGGTCTTTTTCTGGGAAGAGGTATTCGTTCGACGAAAGGCTTTGATTGCTGGCCGTGAGATACTCATGAGTCATGTCCATTCGGCGAGTGGATATGTCGCATTTGGATTCCAGTCATTGGTTTTTGTAGGCGTATTGGAGGCCCTAGTATGTTGCCATTCTCTAAAGGACTGGAGGGATTGGCTAACGGTTGCTTATAGGTACAATCTTACTTTCACCGCGAGATTTATACTGTTTGCTTCGTCTTGGGCGCTTTTTGGCCCTTGTTCTATGGAGCAAGATTCGTTAAGAGGCACACGCTACTTTCTCTTTCATGGGCCATCGGCTGTCTCTTAATGAGTAGCTTCACTTTGCTCCCGGCAAACAAAGTCGAAGATATCGACCTGATGTATGTTTCCTGGCGCATATCAATGACTTGGTGGCCTTGACTAATCGAATTTGAAGAACCTGGAGTGGCCTGTTGATGTTCTTCACCGGACTGTTATACTTGCTTTTTGAGGATTACGTCCTGGGACGAAAGTCCTCGGCACAGTCGTCAATTGCTATTTCTAGCTGCGGCGCACGCACGATCATGGGCACGCAGGTATGTGTGAATCTCTCGACATAAGGACAACTTACTGATTCCAAGTAGCTGGGCATGGTCTTGCTTGCCTTGATCGTTACGAGATCCAGTGCAACGTCTCTTCAAGCTAAACAAGGACTACCGTTCGGCAATCAAGTGGTCGGTTGGTTCGTTCTGGGTAAGTGTTCAATATGAATCGGCGACTAGATCTGTCTACGGTCCATTCCCTATCATCGAATTGTTTAGAATATATTGAAACAACATTCCCAGCTAATATACTATGCCAGTTGCATCTCTTCTCCTTCCGTTCCTCTACCGACTATATTCGAATAGTCATTACCTGCATCGCTTGATGGTTCTCTTCTTAACATTCTCCCCGACGTTTATCATCCTCACCATCTCTTACGAGGGTCTCTTTTATTTCGTCTTTTGTATGACCTTGGCCACTTGGGTCCGGCTGGAGCATGCCATATATGTCTATACTGCAGCCACGGGAGATGGCGCCGCAATTCCGAAGAAGACGGGCACGGAAGCAACGGCCGTTGTTGAAGGCCAGGCTTACCGCTACCGGACACTCGGCGTTTCAGATGCGCGTGTTGCTTTATTTTTCTTCTTCCTCCTTCAATCCGCCTTTTTCAGCACGGGGAACATCGCGTCAATCTCCTCGTTCTCGTTGGAGAGTGTTTGCCGGCTCATTCCGATCTTTAGCCCGTTCAGTCAGGGCGCTTTGCTGATCCTGAAGATTCTCATTCCATTCGCACTCATCAGCGCCAACCTGGGTATTCTTAATCGCCGGTTGGAGGTGGCTCCCAGCGCTTTGTTCATGGTTGTGATGTCGATCTCGGACATTATGACGTTGAACTTCTTCTACATGGTCCGGGACGAGGGCTCCTGGTTGGATATTGGCACGACGATTAGCCACTTCTGCATTGCCAGCTTCCTGTGCACGTTCGTGGCCGGACTGGAGTTTATTAGCGAGGTGATGATCAGTGGAGTAGACTTTGGCCCCCGGGCAACAGCATTTGGAGCCGCTGTTGTCGAAGCTGTCAATGGGTCAGTGGAGACTGACACCAGTGGGAAGTCGGGCGGTACAGATGGTCGCGCAACCTAATAGATCCCCAGAGTGCGCGACTTTAACGGCGACGACGCGCCGGAAAGCTCCACCAGGAGTTGTAATGAATTTTGTACATGTGTGATATAGTTAGATACGTGCATTGGACTAATATACGCTACTCCAGATGAGGCGTATGTCCCGGACAGTCCGAATTTTGGATTGCTGGATGCCGGCGTCGCAGGTCGTACCTGGGTGGTAACGACAGGTCCTGGCGTTCTCCCTGCGCTTCTAGTTTACGTTTTGCTTCCCTGTGCTTTCCCCGTCTTGCATTGATTGTGGATTCATGGGTTGGTATGGCGGGCCCAGCCGAGGTTTCACAAGCCAAATATGACGCTATCAAGCTTTCTGGGGGCAGGCCGTCTAGATCCGAGAGGGCAAGCTAGGATCGCTCCGCGTCGAGGGCCTCCACCCAATGCGCCCCCCTGCATGGCTGGCAGTGACAGGAGGCCAAGACAAGGGCTGGGTTGCGGGGAAGCCGCCGTCCGCATGAAGGCCGAGTCAGACACGATGGATCGAGTCCCTCGTGAGAAACTTACTGGATGGCCTTCGGTGATATCGGGGTTCGCGGGCGGGGGGAAGAACCCCGAGGGCGCTCAGAACGGCATGGACTGCGAAGGATGGGCGGTTGGGATTTCCCATTGGTTTGGGAGGGTCGTGATTCTCTGACCGGGATTCTCCTGCATTAACCTGAAGACACGCAATGAGGGGGTTGCTGTAGGTTTAGGGCCTACGATGTATGTTGGCTCATGTGGGATTGATTCCCCATGATTGAATAATCCCTCACGGACGAGTGGGTGATATTCATTAATAAGGCACCGTCTGGAGAAAACTAGACAGGGATGTTATTGTTGGTGGTGGTGGTGGTGGTGGTGGTGTTGTTGTACAAAACTAAGTTGGACGCCCACGGGGAACGGGGGCCCTAATCAGTAGCACGAGAACCAATATTTGTGGTCAGATGAGTTGGACCCAAAAACTGGAACTGGTTTAACGGCTTAGGTACTCAAAGGGTGAACTTAGAGCCGCGGAAGCGAGGGAGCTTGGGGAGCTTTCCATGACTAACCCACTCCGTACTATATTTGGGTTTCAGCAAGTCGCCCGTATCTAGATAGTCAGCACTTTTCCTATCTACTAGTAGTTCATCCATCTGCAATGGCTATTTTTTTCTCGTCCTTTTTATTTCCGCGAACGATGCACAAGGGGGCATAAGCGGAATTCTAATGACGAAGAACAAGCCGGCGGACTCCACTTGTGGAGTGGAAAAAGAAAATCAACAAAGAAGCTTAAAAACCACGGGAGAATGCAGTACCTATTATTATTATTAATGGAACATTCAAGTGTCTTACAGTAGTGCGGAGTGATGGAGCCGCTGCAGAACAGGATATTTGTATCTAGATACATCAAAGGATGATGAATCTGAATAGTAGATAGTACTAGAAATCCCTTGTCTGGGATGGTACGGGAAACATCCAGAGTAAATATCCATTCGGGGGGGGGTACATACTCATTACTTAGTATAGTACCTATACCTACTACTATTTAGTAGTACTAGCCCCTATCGTCATCTGTCATGGTCTCATGATACTACTACTTACACAGTAGTACTTAACTGACTGCACTCTCCTCTGGCTTTATCAATCCACAATAATCCACAATAATCCTCACAGGATCAACCCGTACCTGAACCGTGTCTGTCGGGTCGAGCAAGGCCTGATGGACCCTGGCTGGATCCCCTAAAGGCCTTGGCCCGACCGTAATTTCTGGACCGACGACAGGGAACGAAGCAATACTAAGCACCTTTCTCCACAGTCCGGCTTCCCCCCTTCTGCCTGGAAGTAAGCCAGTTGCAGAGTAACCAGACTGGTCGTTGTCCCCGACTCTCTGACGCCACCCTGCAGGGCCTGTCTGTTTCTACGTTCTGCTGGAGATGCTCCTCCGGTGGTTTTCCCTCTGCAATTCGCAAGTTCGCCAGTCGCAACGGAAAAGTGATCGCCTGGCGGGTTCCTGAAGCCATCCATCCATTGCCTTCTCCTGGGACCTATTCCGGCAATTTTTCTCCCCTGCCCCTCCTGGTCCATCTCATTGATTGATTGACTGAATTGATCTTCTCGGCGCCCGTCGTCGTCGTTGTTGTCGTTCCTCTCCTCCTCCCTCCTCCCCTGTGACCTCCGCCAGACTCCATCGATCGCATCCATCGGTCGGGTGGCGTCGAGTTCCTCTCCCCTCCTGCTCCATCGCCTGGCTAGGTGCTTTACCTGTTCCCGTTCCGTGCTTCTGCCAGTCTGGGAGCTGTTCCAGACGTTTTAGAAAAAGCAATCCACAACTCACCACTGCCTCTCACATTACCATCTTTACTTTTTCCCTGGGCCTGCCCTCGCCTTTTCCTTTCCTGCCGTCTGACGTATTTTCCTCTTTTTTTCCCTTTTTACCGATTCTCGAGTCCTAAATCTTAACGAATTCCGCGAACCTATCTTTTACGGCCCTTGCTGCTCCAGACCCTTTCTTTGTCGCAAAGTCTCTCTGGATGGGTACCTGGTGGCCATGAGCACTGCAGAAAACCACACAGATCCAACAGCCTCCAAAACCAGCCCAGCCCCAAGTACAGCGGGCTCTACGGGAACTTCTGGTATTACTGTGCGCACGGGATCCAACGGACACATGAGTTTCAGAAGGTGAGTGGTGACAGTTCGGTCGTTGCTTTTGTCCGTTTGCGCTCGCGGGGCTGTGGTGAGGATGAAGCGCCTGAACGCCAGGCGCAGACCCCCAATCCCCGATCGGGGTGGCTACCGGACAAAAAGTATAGTATCAAATTTGGTCGAGAACTTATAGAAGCTAATCGGCTTTATCTAATCTCCTTCTCTCACAGACAACGTGCGTCGCGTGCTTGTGAGGTACGTCTTGCTTCCTGCGAGGTCGCGTTTGTGCTGGGAGCCTCGGCACCTCGGCTCATGCGCAGCTTGTTCCCTCCCTCCCTGTCCGCCCGCAGACTATGCGGCCGCGCCCTCCCCTCCCCTCCCTCAATGACAAGGGCAATACAACCACCCTTCTTCATTTATAGAACTTGCTTTGGCTAATATTCTTTTTTTGCGCCCGTGAAGACATGCCATGCTCGAAAAGTGAGTTCCCTTTTTTTTTTTTTTTTTTTGAAACACCCCGTTCCCACCCGGATGTATGCCTCCGTCCGCGTTTGGCAGTGCGCTCGTGATTTCGATGCCTGAACGAGCTTGCTAATCATTCCACTCCAATGGCCAGGTTCGCTGCGATGCTGCCAGCTTAGGTGTGCCATGCACCAACTGCGTGGCGTTCTCGATAGAGTGCAGGATCCCTACGCCGAAACGTAAGAAGAACCAAACCAAATCGAAAGATAATACAAGCGGGTATGCCTCCCAGTGTCCCTTCCGCTGTCAGGGTAGAACTCTACTGACAATGTCTTTTTCTTGTCTTATCAGAGGGGAAGAAGTCGAAGAGAAATCGCCACCGAGAAAACCGGAGCCACCAGCAATAGAGAGCGGCAAGGATGCCTTCGGTTATCAAAGCAATCGAATGGCTGTCGACGGTATGCCGGTTACTACCCTCACAGAAACACAGGCCGCTCAACAAGCGTCCCATAATTCAATGTATGCCCAGTTTATGAAGCCGAAATTTGCGCGCGCCCCGATAAAGGAGCCTGGAAGAGTTGCCTATCTTGGCGAGTCGTCAAACCTATCGCTCCTCGTCCAAGACCGCCATGGGACTACCGATGTCGTACACTACCCTCTGCCTCCTAACATGGGAGGCACGCCCGCTAGGCTGACAGACCTGGACAGCTTGGAGTTAGATATTCTTCACCAACGCGGTGCCTTCCTACTGCCGCCAAAGCCCCTGTGTGATGAGCTGGTTGAAGCGTACTTCAAATGGGTTGCTCCCGTGGTGCCTATCGTTAATCGTAGCCGCTTTTTGCGGCAATATCGGGATCCAAAAAACCCTCCGTCTTTGCTTCTCCTCCAAGCCATTCTTCTGGCGGGTTCGCGAGTCTGTACAAACCAGCAACTGATGGATGCCAGCGGTTCAACCACGCCAGCTGCCATGACGTTCTATAAACGGGCAAAAGCACTATATGATGCCAATTATGAGGATGATCGCGTCACTATTGTCCAAGCACTGGTTCTTCTAGGCTGGTACTGGGAAGGGCCTGAAGGTAGGCATAGTTGCAACTTGCAACTCCTGCCCTTGAGCCCCAGGGGAGCTTTGCTAATGTGGCTTAGATGTTACCAAGAATGTGTTTTACTGGACAAGAGTGGCAATGGTCGTGGCTCAGGGTTCGGGTATGCATCGAAGGTATGAGTGCCTTTTAGCACATTCTACACAAAGGAATACCAATTAATGCCGCCGCAGCGTGGAATCTTCCCAGCTTAGCAAGCCCGATAAAAGGTTATGGAAGCGAATTTGGTGGACTCTATTCACGAGGGACCGATCGGTGGCTGTCGCCCTCGGTCGGCCCATCGGCATCAACACCGACGATTCGGATGTTGGAATGTTGACCGAGGATGATTTCGTTGAAGACGAGATCGACATGGTTGCGGAGTATCCGTCCGACCCGGTACATGTACAGTTCTTCCTTCAATACGTCAAGCTCTGCGAGATCATGGGCTTGGTTCTCTCTCAGCAGTACTCTGTGGCCTCGAAGTCTAGACGCATGAATGCTATGGATCTCACCCACTCGGATATGGCCTTAGCAGACTGGCTCCAGAACTGTCCCAAGGAGGTGTGTTGGCAACGGCAACGGCATCACTTCTGGGCAGCTCTTCTTCATGCCAATTATTAGTGGGTTATGCAGACCGATGATTCGTATCGTTTTTGCGCTAACTTGATCCAAAGCACAACGCTCTGTCTCCTGCATCGAGCACACATGCCGCCTGCGTCTTCTGTTTCAAGCAATTATCGCGTGGAAGAAATGGCGTACCCATCGCGAACCATTGCATTTCAGGCAGCCGGAATGATCACCTCGATTGTTGAGAACCTACAAAATCATCAAGAAATCAGATATGCGCCTGCTTTCATGTAAGATGATGCATCTCTGCATAGTGCCTATACCCCGCTGACTCCCAGCACAGTGTTTACAGCTTATTCTCGGCTTTGATTATGCATGTCTACCAAATGCGATCTTCCGTTCCCTCGATTGTGGCTACCTGCCAGGAACGAATCAATATCTGCATGCAGGCTCTCAAGGACGTGTCGAAAGTCTGGCTCGTAGCCAAGATGGTGCATACGTTATTCGAATCCATTCTCGGAAATAAAGTCCTGGAAGAACGCCTTCAGAAAGCTGCGGGCAGAAGACATCAGCGAGTACGGCCCGAGACGATGCAACAGCCGCCTGCGAGGAGACCTGAACCCCCGAAGCGCAAATTCGACGAGATGGAATTTGGTCTGCCCAATGGAGGAGGCCCCACACCGCCGGTATCTTACGAACGATCTCGTCCTCAAACGCCTGCTGTCACCCCCTCAAGGGAAATGCAGCCTCCTGGTTTAAGCCTGCCCCAAGGCTCCCCCCCAGCTCCAGGAGGGCCAGGAGTCTCTCGCGGAAATACGCGCCCAACGACCCCTTTCAACCAGTTTTCCTTACCCGCGACGCCACCCGATCTATTCCTTGTTACGCGCACCTCTCCCAACCTTTCCCCGTCCCTCTGGGAAAACTTTCAGCCGGACCAATTATTCCCTGATGGCACAGCGTTCTTCCCAGAATTAACGTCTCCCCAACCAAACGCGGTTGATCCGCAACTCCAGATGCAGTCTCAGCTACCGACTCAGAACATGGACCAACGGCCAATCATTCCCCAACAGATGGCAGCGCGCGGAAGTCTTTCCGCCGCTCAGGGTAGCCCGGAGGTTATGTCTACTCTGGCACCTGGAATCGGTCTGCCGGGTCAGCAACCACAGCAGGTGTTTGGGTTAGAGAACCAGCAAGGCTGGCCAATGCAGAACTTGGACGCCGCTTTGGGTGGGGCGACGATGGACGCTGCGAGCCAGGATGACAACTGGAGTAGTAGCTCACGGAGCGGGCCGACAGCTCCAACCACTCTCAATGTGGAGGACTGGTAAGTTGATTTCTGCTACTTGGACTGAGGCCTTCAGCGAGTATAGGTGTATACGAATACTAACCGACGCTTTTGTTTTAGGTTCCAATTCTTCGGCATTAACGGTAGTTTTGGCGACCTGGCGACCTAAGCGGTGTTGTGCTTATAAATATCTTCTGGGATTTGACATGGCATGGGCGGTCATTTGATGGATGTACGGTTGTACTGGGCTGAATCACCAATACCACGTCAAGGTGATTCTCGCAAGGGTGTAGCATGCATGTTATGTATTTGATTGGGTACAGTGGATCTCATATTCAGATCTCCCTGGTTGTTGGAGATATGGGTTAGTGTCATTCCTTGGGACGGGGTGAGGAGCATTGGGCGAATGCGCCCTACATTCATGTGTATAATGACCTCAGTAGCAGATTTCAAATTGATGCAATCTGCTTTGCACTATAGTAGTAGGTAATTATTTCGAGCCCTCTGGGCAGTAGACCGCTTGCTCCATTCTCGTACACCCGGCGATGGCATGCCTCAGGCGCCGCATGAGTCAGTGGCAGGACGTCTCCCGACTGGGCCTAGTGGATGACGACATCGCGGCACGGCCGGTTCAACCAATGACAGGACGCGGGATCTGGGGCCATCCTTACCAACTCGGGCAATCGCCAATGCTGACTACGACTCGGGGTGACTCTTCTGGGGAAGACAATAATTTCGCCCTTTTCCATACCAGCACCTTTGTTATCCCATCGTTCTTTGGCAATCCCATTTTTGTTCAGCCATTGTCTTTGCTTTAAGCTTCGATTCTATCTGCTCTCACGTCCTGTGGTGTCCATCGCCTCTCCCTGACCCTTTCCATCGCCTCTTACCATCCCCCCGCTGTTCCGTCCCCGCAGCGATGTCGGCCTCAGGATCCGGCAATGATGCCGCGGTGAAGAAGGCCTTTCCTCGTGTCGACCTCGAAGGACACGATCTTCCTCCATCCCCCGCTCCCTCTAGCCCTCATGCTGGTAGACGCTACAACATTGCCACTGAGCTAGTCTATACGGAAGGAAATGATCAGTACAATGCCAGCAGCGTTCCGATCTATCAGGTACCGATCAATTCCCCCGGGTTTTTCATTTTACTTTTTCAATTGCCCGGGTTACACCGTCGGACATGGGCGACTAAGATGTGGAGAGAGAGAGCTAATTGATGTGTCTGTAGAGCGCTACGTTCAAACAGACTTCCGGTGGCGGAGGCGGCGAATATGACTACACTCGCTCTGGAAACCCTACCCGGACGCACCTTGAGCGACACCTCGCCAAGATCATGTCAGCCCAGCGGGCTCTAGTGGTGTCCTCCGGTATGGCTGCTTTGGACGTGATTTCCCGCCTTCTTCGTCCTGGTGATGAAGTGGTGACTGGCGACGACCTCTACGGTGGCACGAATCGCCTCCTGAAGTATTTGTCCACGAACGGCGGCATCATCGTTCATCATGTCGATACTACAGTTCCCGAGAAAGTGCGCGAGATTCTCACCTCAAAGACAGCCATGGTCTTGCTCGAGACGCCGACCAACCCACTCATCAAGATCGTGGATATTCCCCAGATTGCCGCGGCTGCCCACGAAGCGAACCCCAATTGCGTTGTGTCTGTCGACAACACCATGATGTCTCCTCTTCTGCTCAACCCTCTCGAGCTCGGTGCTGATGTTGTGTACGAGAGTGGTACCAAGTACCTTTCCGGTCATCACGATCTCATGGCGGGTGTGATTGCAGTTAACGACATGGCTCTCGGCGAGCGGTTGTACTTCACAATCAACGCTTCCGGCTGCGGTCTGTCGCCCTTCGACTCATGGCTGTTGCTGCGTGGTGTGAAGACCCTCAAGGTTCGGATGGACCAACAGCAGACCAACGCACAGCGCATTGCCGAGTTTCTTGAAAACCACGGCTTCAAGGTGCGGTACCCTGGTCTGCGGTCGCACCCACAATATGAGCTCCACCACTCCATGGCCCGGGGCTCGGGAGCCGTGCTTTCGTTCGAGACAGGGGATGTGGGAGTGAGCGAGCGCATTGTCGAGAGCGCCAAGCTGTGGGCTATCAGTGTGAGCTTTGGTTGTGTCAACAGCTTGATCAGTATGCCGTGCCGGATGAGCCATGCCAGCATTGACGAGAAGACGAGACGGGAGCGTGCGATGCCCGAGGATCTTATTAGGCTGTGTGTGGGTATTGAAGATGCGGATGATCTCATTGATGACTTGCAGCGGGCGGTAAGTTTTTCTATTTCTATTTTTTTCCCTTCTATCTTCTCCCCTCTTTTGGGTGCACTTTGGAGCTAATATTGAGGTATAGCTGGTACAAGCTGGGTCTGTCAATGTCACGCTGGACGATTTCCAGGCGAACTCGGCCAACTAAGCTACGTATGGTATTTATATCTATACTCTCTCTGTAATTGAGGCATTGAGTGAATGCTGAGGTCATGATTAAAAGAGACGATTATCATTTGGCGTTTGGGAGCATTTATCTATCATGTGTGTAAAAATCGGGAATGAAACGTTAGAATCCAACAATTAGCCGACGCGCGAGTTGGTATTATTTGGTAGAAGTGGAAAGCCGTCGGCAGATTGGCAGAAGGATCGGCCGGCATCGGAGGGCAGTTCCGAGGGGTTTGCAAAAGCTTCCCAACTCATTGGCCGGGCGATTCTCGTCCGCTGCAAGTCCGCGCCCGCCGTCGCCATTAATTAATCGCGATTAATCTGATGTGATCTCTCTCTTCTCCATGCCTGGCGTGAGGCTAACTGCAAGCTACCTACCACCACGATGGGCATCTGAGCCGTCGGGCTTCCTTACCTTAATCCCTCACTGACGCTTCTTCTCCGAGTCAGACCTCTTCGCCATCTCTTCGCCCGCGCCTATCTGGATGACGTTATTTTAGCGATCGCAGTTACATCCCTTCGTCCCCTGCAATCCTCTCTCCGATTGTCTCTTCCTCTTTTCTTTCTCTTTCTTTCTTATCTATCTCCATCCCCGACCGGCGACCATGCCTCGGAATGCGCTCTCCCCCGAAGCGCCTCTCACCATGTCGACAATTTCTGAGCAATCCATATCGACCGATTGGAACACCAACCGTTTAGGAGCGCGACTGGGAGTCGACGTTGCCAGCGCGGCGACAGCAGGAGCCTTGACATGCCCGGTCATCACGGTCATCGACCGGTATGCTATAGCTCACTCGATCCTAACCTGCCGCGAAGAAAAACTGACCGAATCGTTGTCCAGTGCGATCATTGAGAAAGCAGCAAAAGGCGTTTCTATCCGCCAGACCATCACCTCCTGCTTCCGATCCATGCTCACGAAACCGGGGGGCTTTTTCCTCAGCACTCCGTTCCTCCTCATCTACACGCTCTACACGTCCACCTACCTCACCGCGAACACGATTGACACCTTCACTTCCACCATGCGCAACAAGCCCTTCGAGACTGTCTTCCCAGGCACCGCCAAGTTCCTCACCACAACCGCAGTGAACATGGGCATATGTGTATATAAGGACGCCAGGTTCGCGCGGATCTTCGGCGCATCCTCCCCTCCTACATCAGCTTCCGCATCTCCGTCTGCGCCACCGTCACAATCTGCACCCGCGTCCGCGTCCACGTCCACGTCCGCCCCAGCCTCCTGTCACCCCTCGGGCGCCGCGAAAGTCCCCAAGATTTCCTACTCTCTTTTCTGTCTGCGCGATAGCATCACCATCTTCGCTTCCTTCAACATCCCCGCGCTCGTCGCTCCCTCCATCCCGGATACCATTGCCGCCACCCCCGGAATGAAAGCCGCCCTCGCGCAGTTCTCCTGTCCCGCTCTGATGCAGTTCGTCAGCACGCCTATGCACCTGCTCGGCCTGGATCTGTATAACCGACAGCCGCCTGGAGGTTTAGGTTGGCGCGAGCGCGCCTCGCGCATTCGACGCGACTACGTCCCGAGTTGCTTTGCGCGCATGGGCAAGATCGTTCCCGCGTACGGCGTGGGCGGTGTTGTCAATGTCCGGATGAGAGCTTCTCTGATGGAGTATCTGGAGGGGAAGAAGAATTAATCCCTTCTTTCCTCACTCACCCTCACTATCTACTACTTTCTATCCCCTCTCAATTTCCAACATATGATCCTTGGATCTTGTTGAGGTACATACAACATTCATAGACAGAGCACGCACATCTCTGCTATTTTCCCATTCTTATTTATACACTCATCCCACTCTCCACTCATAGAGACGTTACAGATTCCTTCCGGGCTGGCGTTTTTTTTTGTTTGTTTGTTGTCCCTTTTTCGGATCGGTGTTCTGGTATAGATCTAGAGTTGTTTGTTGGCCCTAGCTAATGTTTGGTTGATGATGAGATGTGCTTGTTCCTTTGTCCGTTTGCTTGACATCGGTTTTGGTTAGATTGTATCTCTTGTGATTGATGATGACCACCTGGGCTTTTGCTGCTCAGTGCACCTGCCTTCCTTTTCGGGGGCTCGGGTTCGATGGAACCTTGATTTTATTCTTCTTCTTCTTTGTTGCTGGTTGTTTTTGTTGGATCGCTTGTCTAGATGATATATCGATCTTTCTTGACCGTTGAATCGTATGTGATGTGATACTATGAGGATTATGCTCGTTTTTGGTAGGGTTGTCTATTAGTTTAGATGGGGGGAGAACGTGTATTATTTGTCAAGTATGTTGTCTGAGGAAAATTATATAGATGGTTTCCATCTTCATAGAAGGGAAGAAGTATCAAGACGAAAGGAGAGTATTTATGTACTGTCGCGCTTTTTAATTACAGGCAGGCCAGGGTAAGGCAAACAAGACGTCTGTGTATACTAACCAAATGCCGAGGATATCCAGATGTTATAAATTGTAATATTTACCACCTATTCACCGGTTAGGTTAAACTATATTTTCCATCGGACAGGGATCCATGAGGTAAAGAGGCAAGGGGAGGGCTCACGAAAACGGTTCCGTATGCAGATATACCTCCTCCACGGAGGAGCCTTTGCGGATCACCTGGCTTTGCGCCTCCGCGGCCGCGTTCTGGACATCGTGGATCATGGACGCCGGTCCACATGTGAAGATGGCGATGTGGCGCGCCGTGGGTGATGTTGTGCTGGCGGTGATGATGCCTGAGATGTCGGGTCGGCTCCCTACCTGGACCGTGTCTGGGTTTATGTCTGTCTGGGATGGGACGCCGTGGATGGAGTCTGGAGATCTCCCCTTTTCGCCTGAGGAAAGTAGGAGAGGGGAGCCGGACGCTGGGGTGGAAAGTTGAGTTGTCGAGGTGATGTAGATGGATAGGGAGATTTTGTCGTCGGGGATGCTGTAGGCTGCAAGTTTGGAGTTGATTGCTTCGCGGTACCAGTCTGCTAGGGTATGGGTTCGGGTTGCGAAATAGAGTTGGATCGTTGGGGTGGGTTTGGTAGGCTGTTGGCGGTATGCTCTGAGTGCTTCTTCGAGGATTGGGAGGGAGAAGCCGCCGCCTGTGCCACCGGTGATGAGGATGAGAGTATCGAATCGTGAGATATCGGTGGATTTGGATATACCGCCGTATGGACCTTCGAGGAACACGGTTTCGGATGAGTTAGGTTTCTCGAGGGCGGTGTTGCCCAGACTGGCTGTTAGTCCTCGGCGTGGCTTGATGTAGAAGGTGATTTCTGGCGCTTTGCCGGTTTGTTTGGGGCCGTGGTAGAGAGAGCAGATGGTGAATGGGTGGGTACTGAAGCAGTGGATGCCTTGCTGAAGGCTGAGGAACCGGACGAAGACGTGTTGGCCTGGGCGCCATGTCATGATGGTGGGGATCCTGATCCGGACGAGACCGCAGGGGAGATACTCGATTATGGCTGTGTGGCGGCCGTGCATGAAGTAGGTGCGAACGTTGGATATACAGAGACTGAGGAGGTAGATGGCTCCGGTGGCGATGAAGTAGTCCCTGATGGTGTGAGCTTGGCAGGATGATATGAGATTCGTGGGGAGCTTACCATGAAGTCAGACGGAAGTCACAGTGGAAGAAGAAGAATATGATGAAAAGCAAAGCGGCGAGAAAGTGGGTGGCTTTGAAAAATTCGTAGAAACGGTTCCTGTAGGGGTCAGCTTGCTTGTTCGGCGATTGGTCTAGACAGTCTTGCCTGATAGCTGGCAATGACATGAGTGTCAAGTATGCCTGCGGAATCAAAGCAGCAACTCCGGTCCAGTATGTCACTTCGGTTTTCCACTGCTCGACCATATCACCTTTATCAATGTGATATACTATGAAAGGAAACGTATGTATGAGCGCCAGGACAAACATAGCGTAGCTGGTCCAGTGGTGAAAGACCTGAGCAGTCAGCTTATGTCTCATTGTATTGGCGGTAGACATACTTGAAGCTTCTCATGAGGCACTCCGGTCAATGCTGAGATAAGATTGGTTTTCGCACTCAGTGCCCTAATCAAAGTTAGCAACCAGCGATACCGTCGTTAGCCTCGAAGTCACTGACAAGACAAATGGGAGCAAAGCCAACGCCATCCATCCGCTTCTCGTCGCAATCGGCGGACTACCTCCATAAGAGACTGTTGCCGTATTGGGCCAGTAGTAAGGCCGGGGCCCCAGGGTCATGGCTTTCAACAGTTAGCCAAAGCTGCAATTCCTCAAAATTGGGTGAACAAACCGAAGAAGAATACTGCTCCTATCAGCACCAGGAGAAGGACTCCCAGCGAATAGGTGCAGGAACGCAACACGGGTAGTTGGAAGCATTTGTAGACCAGATATCTCCCTGCTGCTGTTGATTTTCGCCAGACAGCAGACCTCTTGAATGAGATGGGGCTGTGCTTGGAAATCAGGTGCAGTATAGTGAAAACCCCGACAGTTGCACATAAGAAGTATATAGTATTCAAAGCGTAGACATGGTCAGATTGGTACCTATTGACAGCGCCATTAACATCAAATTGGCCACACATGGGAATGGAGAGGGATACCAGTATCTCCAATGCCCGTGGCGATAGGCACACTGTTCTGGTGTCAAGGTGCAATCATCTGCTCGAGAGGAATGTAGCATAACCGGTTGGTCCAGCCATGGAAGCCCCATGTTGAAAGACTATTGTGCAAAGACGCCAGTAGACTGGGTTCTGTACAACAATGCTCGGTATGACTACTACATCCACAACGTGGTTCTAGAAGCCGGGTTGTTGATTATTCTATGTGAGGCCATGTGTCCAAAGGTGTAGGTTTTGAACAAACCAGGCAGAAGCCCTAAGAGCGAAGCGATGTAACAACATGGCCCAGCGCTATTCCTGATGGACTGACAATCATCATCTATGGTACGAATCCCTGGGCCTTCCGATCTGGCGGAAGCAGCAGCCCTGTCCAGCGACATGTTGTTGTCCTGTAACAACGGGTTGCTCATTGGCTGGAAGGTGCTCACAATTGAGCAGATTTCTCTGTCTAGCGCGGAATGTATACGCATGCGGGGCGTGCTGGTGGACTACTATCTGATCGTCCTTTCCTACTAGTAATAGACTTAGCATAACCTGCCTGTTGGCCTGGTGAGTGGAATGAATGAGTAGTGACCAGGTCCTTTCCTGATTTTCCCAGCCGGTCTGTTTTCACGGGCTGGTGAGCATGTTTGCGCAGGATAACTACTAGATTAAGTGTGGGTTTCTGATGCATCGGACTCATCTCGCACCAATGACAGATGCCCGAATAGTGGAGTCCCCATGAGAGGCCAAATTGAAGACAAATGGAGATTGAAACGGCGTCATTGAGTAGCTAAGGATGGAAGTCGAGGGGTGGGAAGTGAAACGAAGGAATGCAACGTCGCGAAGGGAGACCATCGTTTGCGTCCCCGATCAGGCCTAGTGTGGATCCGTGACCGGGAGCGCCGCGAAGAATCCCGCCGCCGCCTCATCGTTTCCTGCTTGGACTTTGCCAGTAGTATGCATCATCTCGTTGCTCTTGTTGCCCCACAGCACATGGTCCTTGAGCGCTTGATATCCGCCCCGGAGACTGTCCGCTTTGATCCCCTTGGCTCGCAGCACGCTGGTGGCTACCCGTGCCGTGTCTCCATTGTAACAGATCACTAGGACATGATGGGCGTTCAATTTACCAAGTACTTCCTCGTTGCTGAACAATGCTTCTAGCTCCAGCCACTGCGCCTCCAACACGCCCGGCTCAGTGAACGGCTTGGGCGTATGAGAGTCCAGGCTTTGCAGGGGAATGCTCACTGATCCGGGAAGGTTCCAAGTGGCAAAGTCCGCCGCTGTTCTCAAGTCCAAGACGTAGCACAGATGTCGGAGCACCATGCCGCTCAAGAGGTCCGGTGAAAAGCACCGGGGAGATTCATAATACTGGGTGAACAAAACTACGGGGCTTCTTTCCCAGCTCTCATCATATCGGTAGAGATCAACGCAAGCAAGCCTCTGAAAGAAGGGTGTTAGAATCACCTCAGCCTTTGGGTTAAAGATCATTAACCTACCTGATTCTGAACCGGAGGAAACTTCTCGGGGCCTAGCTTCTCAAAATACTCGCCAATGTATTGATATGGCAGGTCGCAACAGAGGAAGACGCAGTGAACGGAGCCATCTGGTCCCACCAATTGTGACAGCGTACCGGCATGTTTCCGTTTCTCTAGCATCTGAAAGAGGCCCTTCAAATTAAACCCGGATGACGGCCCACAGACGATCCCATCCCGACACAAGTTCAAGGATAAGGAGTATGAGTCATGCGAATTGACTTCTTCCAGAGCATCCAGCGCATCCTTCCAGGGGAACTCCACTGGCTTCATTAGGGCAAATGACCGTGGTCCTGGGACTCGGTCCCCTGGTGCAGTGCATACACCAAGCCGTAGCACAGACGGCTTGGCCCCTTTGAAGTAAGTCCCCAGTCCGGTCATTGTTCCGGATGTGCCCATACCCGCACAAATGACATTGATCTCCGGGAGTTGCTTGAGTATCTGGGGGCCAGTCCAGCGGATGTGTGCATGCCAGTTATCATCGTTCTCATACTGGTTTGGGTTAACAATATCATCAGACCGCGTTGCCATTGCCCGGGCAATCTGGATACCCCCGCGCTCGTCATATGGCTCGGGTTGAGACGGGCCACCGAACAGAGTGATGCCAAGGCCAAAAAACTGCATCAGTCGTAGCTTGGCCTCGCTGGTCTTGTTACTCAAGAAGGCCCGTGTGTCGCCAATGCCGTGCATCACACGAGCGATCATAGACATTGAAATCACGGTGGATCCCGAGCTGTATTCGACAATTGTCTTCGTCCTGCCCGGCACCACAGTGGACTCAAGCATATTCATCGCTAATTCTGTCAGTGCCAGTGCCAGTGCCAGCCACCAAAGTTTCTCCCACTGAGAGCAGACATACCTGGCATGGCTTTCACATTGTTTGCCGGGTGCATGGTCATCATTTTTGCATAGATCCGTACGCCATCCTGGTGATATGGATTCAATCGCTCGGGCAGCTCCACCAGCGGCAAAGGAGGCTGGCAGTCGGGATCAAAGTATTTCTTGAGCGCATCCGGGCCAAAGTATACATTATGTTCGTTAACGTTGGCCATGATGTCAGAACTCGAACAATATGGCGAGTATTGATGGCCATATGAGCAAGCCAGCATGGAGGGGCAGGAGCATCAAATTATAGGGCTCTGCTGGAAAGGGTGCGGTGACCCCTCACTGCACCAGATGTGCTTTTCCTGGCTCCAGAAATTGCATTCGGCGCATGATTCTGACGACCAACTAATACATCATGGTGTAAGAATCCGCTTCAGGCAGTTCCTCGTCTCGCATTGAGCAGGTGCTGATGTGGGTGGCGTGAATCTCGACTCATTCGTCGGTAGCGTCTTGCATACAGGACAACACTCGGACAATCGATATCTTGCAGATGTCGCTTTTGGGGTCTAACTTAATTGGGGTCTACACGTAGATGGAGCCATTATGTTTTGCGGGCTATTCATCCACGAAGAACAAAATGTCTCAGCGTGGATACAACAAGAAAGATCGCCACGGGATCGAGAGGGGAATACGTACTCCAACGATCTACATTGAAGATAACGAGGGTTTTTGAGCAGGTTTTGGTCGATCGTTTCCCTCTAACCCTAACCGGCGTTGGGTTGGCTTCTGCAGACGAGATACCGTCTGTTCCATGTGCTACTTGACTATTCTGATTGCAGCTATACGAGGCATCGCTTATCAGTTAGTACGATTCCGGGTTTGCAGCCTTGATTCGGTCATGCAAATCGTGGCTTAGATTTATAGCGTCGCATTCACAGTGCCGTGACTCGGCATTTTATCTTAATTGACCCTTTCGGTTGCTCCTAGTCAGGTTTCTATTCATTATACTACCAACAGAAGGAGCAGAAAATGTCCAGAACTTTGCTTGGCAACGGTCCCAACCAGGCTGACCCCTTGACTGCCTCTCAAGTTATCACAGAGCCTGGCAGAGAAGAAGCGAAAGCAGCTGCGCCGCATGTCTTCAATGAACAAACCAACTATGTTCCAAAGAGCACCATTATCATGGTAGGCCATTATAGAATGGATCTTGAGGAATCAGTATTCTGACTTATGGAACGGATCTTCCTGGCGTGCGCGGCAGTCGATCTGGTAGCAGTGATGGACCAGACCACTCTGGCAGGAAGTTTGTCCATCATCGGAAAATCCCTGAACGCTAGCAACCAGACATCCTGGATATCCGGGGGATACTTTCTGTATGTCAGGCTCGGCTACCGAAGGATACGCCAATTACTAACGCAATGCAGCACCTCAACCTGCTTCCAACTCTTATACGGACGGCTGTCCGATATCTGGTCCCGGAAATATGTCCTATTTGTGGGCTTTGGCATCACCTTCATCGGATTGTTAGCATCATCTCTGGCCCAGACAGCTACCCAATTGATCATTTTCCGTGCATTTACTGGCATTGGCGGCGGCGGACTCATGTCCGTCGCACAGATGATTGTCAGTGATGTGGTTCCACTCCGCGAGCGAGGTAAATACCAAGGCATTCTCGGGGCCGTGGTGGCAATAGGCAATGGAATCGGCCCAGTAATTGGGGGAGCTCTCGCTTCCGTATCCCACGACTCATGGCGGTGGATCTTCCGGCTGATGCTGCCACTCACGGTCATTGCAACTCTAGCTGTGATGTTCTTCATGCCTTTGCGAAAGGTCACCGGCGAGTGGAAAGCAAAATTGAAGGCGATCGACTTCTTCGGTGCGCTCTTAGCTCTGGGAGGTACAGCTCTGCTCATGCTCGGACTGACCTGGGGCGGCAGCGAGTATCCCTGGAAATCAGCGCATGTTATTGCAACCATCATCGTTGGGTTTGCCGTGTGTGTAACGTTCATGATGTGGCAGTGGAAAGGCGCTCCATATCCTCTAGTGCCCATACATATGTTCAAATCTCGCATTGTCAACGGCGCATGCTTAACCATGTTCATCAATGGTTGGAACTTGATGGTGCAGCTCTATTACATCCCCACATTTTATGAACTGGTATTCAATTACTCAACCACCAAATCCGCTGCAATGCTATTACCAATCACCCTGGTGCAGAGTGAGTCGCATCTTCCATCCTTCCCCTTCTCCTCCAGTCCATCATGCTCACTCAACACTCCAGCTTTTAGCAGTACCGTCTCCGGTCTGATCGTGCACTGGGTCGGCAGATATAGAGAACCCATCCTCTTCGGTTGGATGGTCTGGGCTGTCGGACTGGGCCTGATCTCAACCCTAGACAAAACAGCTGGTCTAGGTAAACAGGTCGGATATGGCATTCTGACTGGTATAGGCACAGGAAGCACCCTACAGCCGTAAGACACTCCACTCCATTCAGTCCACCACAGACGCAATCACTCACAAATTCCCAGCGCCCTAATCGCAGTACAAGCCGGTGTCGAACGACGTGACATGGCCATAGTGACTTCATTCCGGAAGTAAGCTTAACCCCAACATTCTCTCATTCTCATCCCAAATCCTCACTCACCCTAACTCCCAACCAACAGCTTCATCCGAAACCTAGGCGGAACCCTCGGCCTCGCAATTGCCGGAACAATCATGTACGTCCAACCTTCCGTCCAACCCCCCACACCAATCACCCCAACATAACATAAACACAAACTAACCAACCCCAACCCCAGAAATAACCTCATCTCAACCGCCATCTCCACCCTCAACCTAACCCCCACCGAACAGCAATCCTTCCTCTCCAGTCCCAGCAAATATCTCTCCCAGCTACCAACAGAGGAAGCAGAACAGGTCCGCGCCCTACTCATCCCCACGTATCGAAAAGGCTTCCGGATTGTATTCACTGCCAATGCAACCCTTGCAGCGCTGGCGTTCCTCCTCGCGGTTGGATTGATTCCGCAGGTGACGCTGGAGCGGGCGGATGATGAGCGGTTGAGGGAGCAGGCGAGGCGTAGGGTTGAGGGGGAGATTGAAGAGTAGTGGTTCGAAGAGGGTTAAGACATGAGGAGCGAGTATGTGTCGTGTACCTGCGTGCCTATTGTAGATTTTTTTTTTCCTGACAGGGGATCTAGTGACATTCGTTGTTGTGATATCTGGATTTTAGCTGTGTTTCAAAGAACGGTATACTCTGGTTAGAATATTACAAGACAATCAATCAATATCGGTAAGTTATAAATCTTTATTGCTCCGGTTCCTGAGCTTTAGCCCTACCCGTATTTTGTTGGGTACAGTGCATTAGATGTCGTCTCTGGCGTACATAGATACGATACGATACAAGAATTTACCATAGCTTCTGACCAAATTGAGAAGACAAAGGTCATAATAAAGTAAAGTATTTAATCATCCCAGAGAATCAGAGAATTGACCTACCTGCCTACCAACCAACCAAACCATTCTCAATAATCCATCCAAGAATTTTAATTCTCCCACTCATCCCATATAGCAGGAGGAAAGGAAAGGAAAGTCGTGCAATCGTCACATCATCAAAACAGTCCAATCCAGTCGTTCTTTCTTATCCAATCCAGGAGGAACAAATTAACCAATCGATCTCTGTATGATTTATTTTGAACGGCCGAATCATTCGATCCTTGAGAACAAACACCCGTCCAAATTACGCCAAAGGAAGAGAGGATGAGTGGGGATGGGAGGAGAGAGGGGGTTTATATCTCGTCGATCACAATGATCCGTTCCACGACCCAATCTACCAAGGTCTGACCTTCGAGCTTCCATCGGCCATCGCGCCAGACTTCATCTAACCAGTAGGACCAGCCCTTGCCTTGGTGGTGAAGAATCAACCGTCCACTGCCGCGGCGTTTGCCTTCTGATGCGGAGAAGTCGTTGTTGACGCGGAGAGTGCCGATTCCGACGCCGGCGGTGCCCTGGCGGGCGTGCCATTCGCGTTCGGCTTTCTCGCCGGCGCGACGCGCCACGGCTTCCTCATCTTCGTCTTGGTATAGTTCGCATTTGTTGCATTCCGTGCAGTGCGAGCCGGGGTTGATACGAAAGTGCTCGCAGAAGTGCTTGTAGCCTTCCATTTCCTCGAACTCGTCTTCATCAGCAAATTCGTCGTCGTTGCCGTCGAGTCCGGCGGGCCCGGCAGCGGGATCGAGGTTTTCTACGAGGTTTACTCGACGGCGCGGTCGAGGACGGCCTCGGCGGTTAGCTGGCTTTATTGGAGCGCCGAGGGCCTTGCGGCAAAGATAGCACATGGAGTAGCCACAGACGCAGGTTAGCTTGTTACAGCCGGATGACTTTACGAACGAGAGGCCGCAGCGGGGGCAGGTACGCTTCACGGCGGCGGTTCGCGCGGCCTCGACGGTGGCCCGCAGGTCGAGGAGGAGTGGCTCGTGACAGACATGCGGATCACGCCACGGCTTTTGGCAGGTGATGCAGCTGACCCGTCGACAGGCCGGGTGCGCGCAGGTGAATCGTTTGGCCCGGATCTTGAGGCAGAGGTTGAGGAGGGCGTTGTCGAAGATGGTGGTCACAGCAGAAGGGTCTAGAAGATAAAGTATGGTTACAGGAATAATAAGTAGGGGTATCAAATCGAGTAAGAAGATGGTGATCAAAAGGCTGGAAATGAGCCCGTCTCGGCGAAAGCGCCAGGCAAGGCCATCGGCAGAGGGATGGTAGACAGGGTCCACTTCGGCGTACGAGCAAAAGGGGCATCGAATGAGCTTCAGCTGGGATTTGAGTAAAACTTCTGAGGCCAGTCGCGTCTCGAACTTGGAATATGTCTCAAGCCCAGCCTTATCGAGCAGGATAGCCCGTTTGACGATCTCTGTGTTTAGGGACCCGTGGCAGCTGTCATGGCCGAACGGCGCCAGGCATTTCAAGGTTGACTTTTCAACATCTACCGATTTAGCCCAGCCCTGACCAAACAAGGCCTCGTGAATCGTTCGCCGGATGCAACCGTAACAGATAATGTGCGCGTTGTCCGAGCATGTCGAAATCTGCTCAAAGGTCACGTCGGCCAAACAGCACTCGCACTCATAAACGGCATCAACTGCCTTGGCTTCGGTCTCGTTCAGCTCCTCCGCCAGCTTCAGGTCCCTTTGTTCCCCCTCTTCCCGCTTCGTTCGAAGTAGCGGCGCCAGCAAGATCTCATGGAGTTCTCGATCCAACTCTTGGCACCCGGTCTTCTTCAACCGCGGAACCAAGTCACCGTCTGTATGACGCTGCCACACGATCAGCGGATGTTCGTTCCTGTCTTTGTTACGCTTAAAAGAAGGCAAGATATTGTTGAAGGTCGCGCGCCAAGTTCTCCGAGAGAGATCGAGTAGAGTCGGACGGGCTCGTATGTAACAGAAATTCACCTCTGCCAGCACTGCCTCCACTGTACTCTTACTCAGACCACTAAACTCCTTCGTAAGAGCCATCTTGACGGCAGCTTTATATTCGTGTGACCGGAACAGCTCGTCAGGGGGAACCAAAAGCTCATGGTCGTTGTGTTGGGTGATAACTTCGCCATCGCTCTCCGAGCCCCCGGCATCGGCTGACATGTTCCATCGCCCTGCTACCCATTCCTCTTTGTGACGAAGCAACTGCTCGACGCAGACATGAAGACGGCTCTGTCCATCAAATCGGACAAGGAGTTCTCGGAACACCTCGACACGAATATCGGGAAAGATTCGAGCCAGGGTCTGCAGGGCATGGTTTAACTCTTCCTGCTCTCGTTTCTGGTCCTCGGAGGTGGGGTTCAAGGCGGCGATGGAGCGAGTTCGGGAAGTGATGCCGAAGGGGTTGTTGCGGAGAGCCTCGCTGATGGTGGTGGAGTGGCTGCCATCGCTGGAACGAAGCGGGGGGGCGGTGGTGGTGGTGGATCTAGAGAAGCTAGGGACAGACAGGGAGAGCACCATCGTTGCACAGACGGAGGGGAGCAAGACTGAGCTTGCTACATGATCGTTGAAGGATAGACGGGGGGGTTGGTCTGGCTAGCAGGGGATGTATCTGCGTATATCAAGCAGATGAAATCACTCCACACTAGTATCGAGGACCAGGCAAGGCGATGAAAGTGAAGGCAGCGCGGGATGCGGTGATGTGAAGGGGAGAGAATGAAATGGTGGATGGGATGAGATGAACATGAGCGGGTTGGTTATTACCTTGAGTTACCATACCTGACGGTCTGACACATCCCGAGCCAGAGCTGCCGCCTGTCCCAACAACCCCCGATCCTCCGCTTCATCATCCCCTCCTCTTCTGCAGGCACCCTCCGTTACTGATTGTCGGAATTTTATGACCTTTCCTCCCTCCTCAAATCAGAGACTCTCCGTTTGGAGATCGTCCGCTCCAAGATCGCTTACTAAGTAGCCTCGGAAGGGGTTTTGGAATATACATTTTTTTTTGTAGTTCACTCCAAATGATATTGCTTATTTCGACAGAACAATTTCATACCGCTTATGTACATACACATTCTGATGAATCAGATTCGTCCGGACCATCGTTCCGCTGTTTTACAACTTAGCCTTGGCGCCCTCCAACAGTTCTGCCCCGGCCCCCGTGATGGCCGGCTTGCCTGTCTCCACCACTGTTGTCTGGAAGAGAACCACATTGCCCTCCTTCCACATCTCTGTCTTCAGGGTCTGGCCAGGCAGCACCACTCCGGAGAAGCGAACCTTGAGGTTCTTAAAGGCGCCAAACGTGCTGAACACATGCTTGCCAGAGACGCCAAGAGAGCAGAGGCCGTGCAGGATCGGGGTCTTGAACCCACCCACCTTGCTGAACTCGGGGTCAATGTGCAGAGGGTTGCGGTCGCCGTTGAGGCGGTACAACGCAGCCTGGTCTTCCGAGGTCTTCTCCTCGACAACCGCATCGGGCTTGCGCTGAGGGGGCTTGTAGGACGCAACGGCAGCCTTGGGGCGGCGAGCAGTGGGCTTGGGCGATCCGCCAAAGCCGCCGCTGCCACGGATGAACACGGTCGACTCGTTATAGAAGAGCTCCTCTCCAGTGTTCGCATCCTTGGTGGTGTAGCCGGAAACGACCAGGGCTGCATTGCCCTTGTCCACCACGTCGATAAGCTTGGGGTAGGTCAAGGTCTTGGCCGCAGTGGGAATGGGGAACTTGCGGACTTCCATGTACTGCTCGCCATGCAGCAACATCATCGGTGAGTAGTTGGCGACGATGTCTTCCATGTTCCAAGGGTTGGCGGTGTTGAACCAAGGGATCACACCGTACGTGGGCAGAGCCTGGAAGTGCTCGTTGTTCTCGTACACCAGGGGAAGGTCGGTGCGCTTGGCACCCAGGCTGAGGTTGTAGAGGATGATATCACGATCCACGTAGTCGAAGGGCGTTCCTTCCGTAGTGGCTTGCTTGGCCGTCTCGATAGCTTGCAGGATGTCGTTACCGCCATCTCCACCCTTGCGGTTGCTCATGTTGGCCATGATCTTCTCGGAGCCGGCCTGGCCGTCTTCAGGGTGGTCAGTACGACCATCCTCGAAATTGGTGATCGCCTTCCAGTTCTTGAGCACTTCCTCGGGGGTAAGTTTGACGTCGACGGGGAATCCGTGGCCACCCGAACGCTGCCAGCGAGTGCGGGAGAACCATCCGCTGCCACACTCGTACAGGCCCTTGGTAGTAGGCTCCGGCAAGATATCGGAGCAAAGAAGAGCCACCAGGGGAGCCACATAGTCAGGCTTGAATGCCTGGACCATCTCCTCGGGCATGATAGTGCGGGTCATGTTGGTACCAGCATTGGGGGCGATCGTGTTAACCTTGATGTTGTATTTGGCACCCTCGAGAGCCAGTGTGCGGGAGAAACCAAGGATACCGAGTTTCTGATACATAATTAGTACTGCCCAGGCTAGTCTTTCAATACTTGACTTACTGCTGCAGCATAGTTGGCCTGGCCAAAGTTTCCGTAGATACCGCTAGTGCTTGCAGTGTTGACAATGCGACCATACTTCTGCTTGAGCATATAAGGCCAGGCAGCCTTGGTCACCTTGTAGGTGCCACGCAAGTGGACGTTGATAACAGGGTTCCACAGGTCGTCATTCATGTTGTTGAAAGCCTTGTCACGTAGGATACCGGCATTGTTGATCAGGATGTCGATCCGGCCGAATGTGTCAATGGCTGTCTTGACAACATTCTCACCATCTTCGCAGGATGCCTTGTTACCAACGGCCTGGCCACCCATCTTCTTGATTTCCTGGACGACGGGCTCGGGGTCAACAAGATCGTTCACGACGACGGCAGCACCAAGCTTAGCGAAAAGCAGACAGTAGGCACGGCCAAGGCTGTGAAGATGTTAGCAACAGACAGTTTCTCCAATCGTAATGTTTTTCGGTGTCACATACCCATTACCACCACCAGTGACCAGGGCAACCTTGCCCTTGAAGTCGGGTTCCTCACCTCCCTGGGCGCTGGACAATTTCAAGCCATCCTCCAAGAGGGTCATAAAATCAGCGGGCCCCGTGGGATAGCTGGGCTGGGAGAAGTCATTGACATCGTTCCACTTCCTAGCAATGGCGCCAGGAGTCAAAGAAGCATCGGTCTTCAGCAGAGCTCCCTTGGCGCGCTCCCAGCGCAACTTGGCCACATGTCCACCACCGACCTCATAGATGCCCCCAGACTCAGTAGTGTTGGTTGAGTGGACCAAAGCAGCCACCAAGGGAACAACCCAGTCGGGTTTGAGGTTCTCCAGGACCTCCGGGGGCATGACTGTGGCCGTCATGCGGCTAGCGGCTGTTTCGAGTCAGCCACTGCATGGTCAAGGGATCTGACACGACATACCAATCGGCGCAATAACGTTCGCGAGAATGTTGTACTTGGCGCCTTCTTTCGCCAGCGTCTCAGTGAACCCCACCTGACCAAGTTTGGCCGCTTGGTTGATCAGCTAAGCACACCACAGATATCAAGGTACTCGAAGCATACCGGAGTAGTTTGCCTGACCGAAGCTACCGAAAAGACCAGCTGATGAAGCAGTGTTGATAACGCGGCCATACTTTTGTTTCCGGAAGTGAGGCCATGCGGCTCTGGCGCACTGTAGACAACCGAGTCCAGCGTCAGCAACTCAAGAGGCTGAACCAAGAAGCTGTATATTTTCCTGGCCTACCTTGTATGCGCCGTATGTGTGCACTCTGTTGATAAGATCCCAATCTTGGTCTTTCATGTTCTTGAAGCTGACATCCCGCAGGATACCAGCATTGTTGAGGAGAACATCGATGCGGCCAAAGTTCTTGATCGCGGTTTCAATGATAGCTTCACCGTTCTCAACACTGTCGTAGTTTGCTACTGCCTTGCCGCCAGCAGCTCTGATTTCCTCGACAACCACATCGGCAGCCTAGGAAAGACAGTTGGAGTCAGCGAAGATAGACAAAGGCATCGGGGGCATGTGACTAGTGACACCGACCTTGGCCGACTTGCCCTCGCCAGAGTGAGAACCGCCGAGATCGTTGACAACGACATTAGCACCTCTTGAAGCAAAGAAGAGGGCATAAGCCTTGCCCAAGCCACCACCAGCTCCTGTTACAACCACGGTCTGGTTGTCGAAGCGCAGCTCAGACATCTTAGGTAATGTGAAGAGGGAGAGAGGGGATGTCAAGGAATGGAGGAATCGGGGAGAGAGAGAATAGGATCACAATGAAAAAGGGAGATGAGTCGGGGGGTATTATATGGCGCTTAAGTTGAAGAAGAAGTTTCAAGAGGTTGATTGTCTGGGGGAAAAGAAAGGAAGAATCCGGGGGGGTACCACTCTTGATGTTGACCGCGAGCTGGGGAACGGTCGCAGTGCTCGGCAAGGCGGGCGAGGAACCTCGGCATCTTTTGGCTGCTGAAGCTCGGAGGTTTGGCTGCCTGGCGCTAGACCGATCGGGCGTGGCAGATGATGGGCCTTCACATGCCGATGGGGATTATTCTCTGGTCCATGATCTAATCATTCAATCCTAACTTCCAGAGGGACTTTCAAGCTCCCCTGGCTTTCGATTCGGATTATCAGACCGGGGCCCCCTTCTTCTCCGTTCGACTCTTGCTCTGTACACACCCATGGTTTGCGATGGGCCTACGTGTCCCCTCTGAGGCAGTCTTCACAGAATGAAGATGACTGAATGAATGAATGCCCGTGATCGACAAACCTGCATAGACTGTCCATAACTTACAATACAGGCTTTCGAATCCATTGACTTCCTCAGGCCTGTGCTGCCCTGCTGACTCAGACATGTGATTCTCAACCAACGTCATGCCACGTGCTGCCAGTCACTTGATCCTCTTCTAATTCAGTTTGTTCAGTCTATTCAGTCAGTCTAATAGAAGCTATGCATCTTCAAGGGATACAGATCCACCTCCGGAGAACTGTGCTACGTCTCAGTCATGGCGGGGAATACTTCAGCCAAAACAATTGCCCCCAGGTTTTCCCGCTCGGATCACCTCCGAAGCTTAGCAGTAGTAGTCCACTGTATACCATCATCGTAGTCCCTCCATCCATATAAAACCCCAACAACATAAACAAATAGAACGATCTCTTCCTTCCTCCTCCTCCCAAAAGCACCATTCCCACCCCCTAGCCACCCATTATGCCCGAAATCATCGACGACAAATCCCAACACTGCATCCCGTTCCTACTGGAACGCCTAAAAGCCCACCAAGCGCGGCATCCCACCAATACCCCGCCATTCTTCCTCGGTCTGAACGGCGTCCAGGGTGCCGGCAAAACAGTCCTGGTATGTGAGCCGAGGAGCACCACACCCATTGTCAATCGAGAAACAGAAAGAAAGACTAACCAATTCGTCTATCAGGTCTCCACCCTCCAATCCACCCTTCGATCCCCGCCCTACTCCCTCTCCGTGGTCACTCTGTCCCTCGACGACCTCTACCTCACCCACGAGGAACAGCGTAACCTAGCCAAGGCTCATCCCTCGAATCCTCTTCTCCAGCACCGCGGCCAACCTGGGACTCATGATCTAGCGCTAGCAGAAGAGGTGTTTGCTTCTCTGCGGGCGGGTCGTCGCACGGCGGTTCCGGCGTACGATAAGTCCGCGTTTTCGGGACAGGGGAATCGGGTTCCGGGGGAGCAGTGGGAGATTGTGAATCAGGATGGGGAGGAGCAGGTGAAGGTTGTCATCTTCGAGGGGTGGTGTGTTGGGTTCCGAGCGTGGGATGAGGAGGTGTTGCGGGGGAAGTGGGAGGAGGCGGTTCGGCGGAGGGAGCAGGGTGGTGGTTCATATAAGGGGAGATTGGGATTCGTGGAGTTTGAGGATGTCAAGACGGTCAACAATGCGCTGAGGAGATATGATTTGATTACGGAGTGAGTTTATGCGGTTCTGGTATTTGGATTGGATGTGATTGGACGGGGCTAATTGGTTGTGCAGTCAGTTGGATGCTCTGATTCATATGTGAGTGATGAGTGGATGGATTGATGGCTATGCTTGGGATCTGTTGTGCTGATTTTTTTATAGAGATGCGCAGGATCTGCATTTCGTCTATGATTGGCGACAGGAGCAGGAGAGGACACTTCGCGCTGCTAAGGGGACTGGGATGACTGAGGAACAGGTTACTCATTTTGTCAACGGCTGTGAGGGTCATTTATTGGAAGCTTGGGATGATAAGCTGATTGAAGATTTAGATTATCCGTCTTATGAACTTTTCAGCGAAACCCTCCGGCAGGGCGCTTTCAAGCCTGTCCCCCATGCTACTACCGCATCAGCTCCATCGACTGGGTGGGAAGGAAGGCAGCTTCGTTTGGTCGTGGATAAGAACAGAAAAGTTCAAGAGGTCATTCGAATCTAAAGGGTTCATTTGATGATCCCGCGTTGAGGGAATATTGGAGGGATTGCGAGGTCCATATATATATCTCGAGATACGAGTACATATTGCATATTCTAACACCATTAGACTATTCATACAACGAATAGGGATAAAAGGAGACATGAATCAAAAGACCCAAAAGGATAAACTGAACATAACACCCATAGGAATAAAAGCATTCATTGATATTATATTCGAGGTCATGTGCATGTATAGGGATCCTCATCGAACACTTCGCGCCAGGACAACTATCGAGGCCACTAGGCCTACAGAGGAACTGAGTGATTTGAACGAGTGGAGTTCCAAGAACGAACACTGAGAGGCAGCAGCTCGGGATACACATTTACATTGCCAAACTATAGGAAACATATTACAATGCTAGTGACCAAGATCAGGTTGTACGAAGCTTTTGAATTTTTGAACCCAGCTTTTAGACCAGTACCCGCTAACTAGGAAAGTCGGACCTCATTACAACCCGGTACGGACAACCATCACCGAGAATGAATCTAGTTCATCTGGCGGATGAGGCCGTTGATGTTCTCCTCACGGTTACCGTAGTCACCACCCTCGATGAAGTGCTTGAACTTGCGGGTGTGGAAGCCACCAGTGGGGTTGGAGAGCTTGAAGGGCCACAGGAAGTTGTTGGCCTGCTTGAAGTTGGGGCCAACGGTGTAGATCTCGTGGATCAGATCCTCCATGCAGACAATGCCGTACTTGCCGAGGTGCTCCTCAATGATCTGGTTGTCAGTGAGGGCAACACGCTGCTTGTCGACCTTTCCGTAACCGCGCTTGTAGACGAGCTCACGGATGGACTTGAGGTTGGGGTAACCGTAGGCGATGTAGGGGTTGATGATGGTCAACATCTCCTGGGTAGCCTTGGTAAGACGGACGAAGGTACCGTTGTTGATCTGGAGCAGACGGAGCAGCTGGAGGATCTTGCGGGGCTGGGGAGGGATCTTGTTGATACTAGAAAGCTGTTAATACAAGACACTGATGGAGGACATCATCAAGCCTGAACTTACCCCTTGATACGGATGACGAAGACAAGCTTGGGCTCGTCAGCAACGTAGAAGTTACCCTCCTTGCGGGCAACGCGGGCAAGGCGGATCTTCTCGCGCTCAGCATCGCGGTACTCCTTGACGTAGGACTCGGCACGCTTGAAGATGACGGCGCGCTTCTCCTTGTTGGCCTGGATTCATCTGTTAGCAGATGGCCTAATCAAATGACTCAAGAACAAAAATCATTTGAAGCTTCATTTTCAGCCCCGAAAGATGGTTAACGAAGCGACAGCATTGACCGTAGTCTAGTCGCGTGATAGGTTGTTGTCATCACTATAGAAGGAAGAGAAGGAAAAAAAGAAAATCGGTAAACACTTACGGCCTTCTTCTTCTCGGCCTCCTCACGGGCAACAGCGCGAGCCTGCTCCTGGCTCTTGCGCTTCTTGAGGAGGGTCTCGGGGACGAGGACCTGCTCCTGGGTGGGGACAGTGCTGTTAAGGTCAGTATAGTCCGTCCGCATTGGTTACACAATGGACTTTCGCCGAGTGTTAGAATTGCAGCTATAGTGCCACATTCTCGTACTGAAGGCAAATGATAAAAGCACCCGACGACATCCCTTTGATCGGTGAGGTAGGATTTTCACCTGTTAAGCGCACGTTTGGGCCCGCTACTGCTTGTGCATTTCCAGCACAAGGATTGCAAGCCCGCAGCGACAATGACAAGTAAACTATCCTCATCCGACAAAACCCCAAGCATAGCGCTCAGGAAGTGGTATTGACGCCCTTCACCTGGGCCGTGTCCAATTATGGCGCATAGCACACGATGATAGCTGACAACAATCCTTTTGGAGGCGAAGGTTGTAACACCTTCAACCTCAACACCCCAGACCACGCCTCATCCGATCCTCATGTTCCTAATATGTTCTTAGGCGATTCAGGGGAGAGGCGGTCGCGGGAAAGATCGAGCTGGTGCTTAGCGACCGTTTCTGATCGCAGCATCTCCAGCGAGAAAGGACGACTATAACTGAACCTCACAGGCTCGTACAGCGAATCAGCCGCTGGGGATCTCAAAGGGAGTCTCACGTAGCAGTGGAGGCCATTGTGACGGTCCGTAGAGTTCGCGAGTTGGGCGATTTGGCGAAGGCTGTCGTACTGGAAGAAGATCAAGAAGAAAAATCGCTGCAACTTCGAGAAAAATGGGTTGTGTGGGTGGATCTCATGCGCTAAGCCCAAGACGGCTAGCCCAGATGGCCGGCCCATATGCTCTCTTTTGGACTTTTGGTCCGGCCAGCCCTTATCGATACAGGGTATCAACGGGTCAGCTGACCGGCTCCGATAAGCGCCAGTGGCCGCATGACAACATCCGGGCCCTCTCCTACCCCACGCCCTCACTCCCCCCCAAAGGTCAGACTGCAAATCGCCATGGCTACTCGTCGAGGCGTCGGACTTGGCGCCTTTGCCAACCGGACTCAAGCCAGCCAGTTCTTTGCTAGCCATGGCGCCACCCTGCGCTCCTCCCACCTCTCCTCGTTGCAGACGCAGCTGTCTGTATTCCAGTCGTTGCTCCACACCTTCGCGCTGGAACACAGCTCTACGATCAAGTCGAATCCGACGTTTCGAGCGGAGTTTGCCCGTATGTGCAATGCGATTGGGGTCGACCCCCTTGCAGCGAGCAATGTCAAAGGCAAGAACGCGCGGAAAGGATTAGGCGAGATTGGCAGCTTCTGGACTCAGATCATGGGTGGAGACATGAATGACTTCTACTTCGAAGTCGCTGTCCGAGTGGTGGAACTTTGCCGAGCAACCCGAAGCGAGAACGGCGGCTTGATCGGGGTGGAGGAATGCCGGAAAAGAGTAGGCAAAGGCAAGGCTATTGGCAGTGGACTAGAAGTTACAGAGTATGCACGCCTGGCCCATGCAGTAGTGACAGCACTGACCCACGTCATATTCCCCACTATGTAGTGACGATGTTCTTCGGGCTGTTAAGAGTCTCGAGCCGCTTGGCTCGGGGTTCTCGATTATTCGAGTTGGAAGCAAGCAATATATTCGATCGATCCCAAAGGAGCTGAATACAGATCAGGCCACAGTGCTTGAGGTTATCCAGATTCTGGGTTACGTGAGCATATCGATGTTGCAAGTAAACCTTAACTGGGAAAAGGCTCGATCGCAGACCGTTATTGATGATCTTCTAGCAGATGGTCTGGTCTGGATAGATGCTCAAGCGGAAGAAAACGAATACTGGTCCCCTCAAAACCTACTAGATGACAGTGGTTGAGTGCGGCGTTATGTTAGCGAACGCCATTGGGATTAGCACAACATCTTGTCCTCGGCTTATATATCATGACCGAAAAAGCAACACTATAGGGATTCGGGGCTGATACAAGTGTCTATCGGTACTGGATCGTTAAGTCGAATACTCGCCTTAACGTATAAGCCTTGTTAAAAATGGGCCAGACCGAAGCGGATTAGAATATGCAGTGGGCACTTGGCCTAGAGTCCACCATGGCAGAATTGTGGTCTTGTCCGAACCGCGTTGATGGATGACGGCTTGTGGGACTGCGTCTATATGTATATAGTACAAGTCTGCCTCCAACAAGACTGCTATGTTATAGCCGTTTGTATGTTTTCAGCCGGGGGAGGATATCACCGTTGTCTGGGAATCTACTGCCTATACGTGAGAAATCTTGAACTACTCTTTGCACCCTCAATGCACACTTTGAACGTTCACATCTCCGTATTTCCCTCGTTCATTCCAAACGTGATATTCATCTGCGGATAGTAAAATACGATATGCGTGACAGTAGGAAAATCTAAGAAAAGGGCGATAACAGTCGCCCAGCGAGAAAGAAATGACCATAATGGGTAAGAGCACATGGAATCATACGCAGTTAAATTCCAGAAGGAGCATTAGAACCATGAAAAGAAATCAATGCCATTAGATTCAATTTTATGCCTTGATCGCTCCGCCCAATGCACCACCGCCGAACTGCTGTCCACCAGGCCGACGACCCTGCTGGCCACCAGGGAATCTGGGGCCACCACGGGCTTGGCCAGGAGGTCCACGACCACGGCCACCACGGGCGCCGGCGCCCTGATCGCGCTGGAAGGCGTTGGCCATGCCTTGAGTACGCTGCTCGAGAGTCTTTTCGTTGGCCTCCAGAAGGTTCATCGACTTGTCTGCAAGGGTGACGATCTGGGACTGGAGACGCGAGAGCTCAACGCCCTTGCGGAACACAATGGCGTCATTGACCTGGTCGAGAGCAGCTGCCAATTCCTCGTGAGAGATCATACGGCTAATGATGGCGGCGATCTTCTTCTCGGGGAGCTCGAACATGGTAGCCAGAGTGGCGATGGAGAGGCTGTCGTAGAAGGGAGCGTAGGTGAAAAGGTATGTCCTCAATCCCTCCTCCTGGATCTGCTGGGACAACATCTCCTTGATCTTGTCGGGCTGGGGCATCAAATCCCAGATCTTGATCGAGTTGAGCATCTCCGCGGCCTTCTTCCAGTCACCCGCAGCGAGGAACTTGGCACTCATGATGACACCGTCACGGGTGTTTTCGGCGGGGCCGGTGAAGACCTGGCGCTCGTTGTAGTCCAGCATACGACGGAAGGTCTTGGAGATGACACGGCGTTTCATCTCGGGGGAGGACGAGGTCTGAGCCATCAAGGGAACCTCCAAGAACATGCTCGATGTGAGGTAGATGCACTCGAGGAGCTCCAAGTTGATATGCATGTGGAAGGGCAGCTGACGCTGACGCTCCAGGCGCTCCTGTTCAGGCGAAACAGTAGAGTAGCGCTGGAGGATGATACCCTGAGCCAACAGTTCCTTCTGACGTCCACTGCCACAAACCTCAGAGAGAGTGTTCTGAGCCTCGTAGATCAGGCCGGCCCTGAAAGCGCACAGACCGATTTGAACAAGAGTGCGGTTGAAGAGAATCTGGGTGCTAACGTCGAAGTTGGCGATGTTCTCCGTAAGATGGGACATGAGCATCAGGTCACGAGAGCGGTAGTACTGGTCATGCAAGGCAAGGAAGTAGATCTGGCACAGCATAGCACGAGCCCGGATGATACCATCGCTGTTCTTGAACAGGTAGTTGCACAGAGTCTGAACGAGGTTGGTCACATCGCCCGTGTTGGCGCGAGGGGTGATGTTGGTGTCCAACTCCGAGGGAAGAGCCTTCCAGGTACCCTCCTCCAGAATCGTGACAACCTGAGACGGCTTGAAGTAGATGTGCTCCAATCTCCTCATGACCACCCGGTTAAGGCTGTCCTGTCTGGGATCACTCTTCTCAGCCTTGGTAAGACCCTCGACGTACACCTGGGTGCGCACAAGGTTGGTGTACAGCTGCTTCTCATCACCCAGACGGTCGATGTACTCGGCAGTGTGGGGGTCGATGTGCTGCAGGGAACGGGTGAGCTCATCATCCAGTCTCTCGACGTATGAGACAATGCTGCCGGGGATGTGAAGGACCTCGCCGGGAGCGGGCTGGGGCTGCTTCTCATCGTCCTCCCACTCCTCAGCACCCTCAGTAACGACATAGGTGCGGTTGTTCTCGAGAACGGACAGAAGGGTAGCGAACTCTTGTTCGGCGAACTTCCACTGATCGACGGCCATGTAGTTACTGGTGGACGACGAAGTAAGATCGAAACGAGTGGAGATCATGGTCAGGTAGATACGGATGCGCTGGTAGGGGGACTGAGCAACCTCCAGAAGCTTCTCCATGGTCCGGATTTGCTCCAGACGATCCGTGTTCTTCTTTCCGCGGGACTCGACAATGACACGGAGGTGCTTCAGGATGCTCTCGGGGGTGTATTGGAGGGTCTTGCCGCCACGGCCGACGGTTGCGAAACCATCGTCAGTGCTGGCAACTTCAACAGGGGCTTCGATACGCTCGATCTTGGTCAGGCGAGGGGCGGCGGCGACGGGGCGGGCCACTTCCTCCTTGGCGTCCATAAAGGTGTCCTTGTTCTGCCTGTACTTGTCGATCTGAACGGCATAGTCCTTGTTGTTCTTCTTGATACGCTGCTTCACGGCGTTGAATCCCTTGGCGTTGCTGGCGTTCATCTTCTTGTTGCTAGACTTCTGCTTCGACATGGTCTCGTTGACGAAATCCTCCAGGTCCGCGACGGTCTTGACGTAGATTCTAGGGGTAGGGCCGGACTGGACGATCTTGACGATTTGACGGTTCAGCTTGTCGAACTCTATGCACCCATGTTAGTATCGAAGCGCTTCCTCCCCTTTCCCGCGGACCCAGAATCCATCATCTTCACCCCAGGGCCAACGCACCTGTCGAGATGACCGCCCAATCATTGATTTTCTCGGCATTTTCGATCAGCTTCACGGTGTTTTCGAGCTCCTCCAGCCGCTTGTCCTTGGCACTCTTGACGACAGTCACTCGCTCCTCGTCCTCGCTTTCTTCGCTTTCGGAGACATTCTTGATGAAACGGTTGGCACCGGTTTTACCGGCATCCTCGTCCTCGGACGAGGACTCCTCATCCGACTCCTCTTCCTCGCTGGACTCCTCCTCGGACTGCTCCTCCTCCTCGCGATCGGAGTAGACCTCCTCCTCGTCGGAAGAGCTGGACTCGCTGTCACTACCGCCACCGTAGAAGAAACGCGACATGGTTGTGGGTGGGTTTTCAGACGCTCGAGATCGGGGAAAGTCGCGGAAATCTAAGGACGGCGGTCTCTGTCGGCGGCCGGGGGGTAGACGCAGGTGAAAAGGCCGATCGGTCTGGTCTGTTGCCTGGCAGGAAAATCCGTTGTGAGGGTTCGGAGCCGCAGAGGTTGGGCGGGCGCGAGTCACACACGAAATTTAAGCGAGCCGGCGCCTAACCACAACAGGCAGGCGGCAGCTCCGGGACGCGGATGGCTTTGTCCTTTTGGACTCCTCCCCTCCCACTCCAGACTCTTTTGGATCCATGATCCACGGCCTACGACGGTATTGCGGAGCTCCGGTTCCCTTCATACCTACACAGCACACTAGATACGACCCAACTGTTGCAGGGGCCCTTCCCCCACCACCTCCTCCCCTCCTCCCCTCCTCCCGGTACGCATACGTGCTTGGCTCGACTCGTTCGGGTTCATCTAGCAGACACCCCGTGGGGAAAAAAAGGAGAGCAGCCTAGCTTTTCCGGCCCCTCTGACCCGGGCCTCACTTCTCATATTTTGATATCCAAGTTACAGTGATGTGGTTCTTCGAAAAATCGCGCAAAAGAAACAGAACAGAAGAAGAGAAGGACATGTCTTGCATGGCGCATAGCAGTGGCATCTCTGTGCAAATATTCGGTAGAAGGACATGAAATTCAAGAATCAACATATATCGCGGTCTTTCCAAGTACTCCTGGCTATGCTGAAAACAGCCACATACAGACCTAGGAGAATGGACAGGGGAGAATGATAAAATGAGCATGAGCATCGGGAACCCTGCAGCGTTCAACTATAGGGAAAGGTGCACCTATCCTCCGTAGCGGGGTGCGGAAACTCGACGGGTAGTCCACCCGCGTTCACCGCCACGGCGGAGGTCTGACGGTAAATATATCTTGTGGGAAGTTATGCCTCCTGTCGTGCAGGGGGACTTTGTTCCGTCCCGTGCCTACTAACAAGGCAAACTGATTGTCGCAGCACTATGAAAACATAACTCATTCGCATCAGGGACCCATCCAGGTATCGGGAGAAGCTGGTCGGACTGAGCTCGGGATCAAACAGTCTCCCAGATACTAAGCAGACAGGGGAGCTCATATTGGTGTAGCTCTGCGCCCACCTAGCTATGCATGCGTATGCAGCCCATACTTGCTCATAAAAGGAAATGACTTGTCCGTAAGGTCGATGCACCTTGGGGTGCCACCAACCTGCTCCTGACATGCATGCACTCAATGCCACTGGTTTTGGCCCATAAAGCCTTCGCCCCCAAGAACGCCATCTTCAAGGGTCCGAATAAAGTCGCGGTTTCTTGTCCCGCCTGTACGGCTTCCCCGTCGTCTTTGGCCGGCAGAATTGGGGTCGACATACCCATCTGGAGGAGGTGGATAATATGCCGGGCTAGGCTGCAACCGAATAGGTGCATTGGGGTCGAGGTGGCTGGCCACACGTTGGATTGTCGGTGGGATACCTCCCCCCTGAGGGTCCATGGTGGACGCACGCTGCCGCCCAGCTCGAGTTGTCGCTTGCGCGTACAGGCTTTGGGATGGTGCGTATTGTGCTTGGGGCACCTGCCCCGGTATGAGGTTCATCTGATGGCCGTAGGCTGGTGGCTGGGTGGGGTATGGTGGAGGGGCACCTTGTTGGTGACCAGTGAACATGCCGTTGTACATAGGCGGCGGTGGCGGCTGAGCATGTGTGGGCGTATGGAACTGATTCAACTGCATAGCATATGCATTCTGGGCGGCTGATTGAGCATGGGCTGCTTGTGCTGCCCTCTGTTTACTGGCAGCTTCTGCTTGCTGTTGTTGTTGGATTCCAGGAGCAACGGTCTTGTTCAGCGACGAATACTTCAGGTTCATCGGGGGAACAAAAGGTCCCGTGAATTTCTGTTGCGTTATGAAAGGATGCAATTTGGCTTGCTGTGGTGACCAACGCTCGAGGGGGTTGATCGTCAATAAGCCACGAACGAAATCAATGAAAGCCACTCGGTTATTTAATTCTGAAGATAATAGTTAGCAGGTTTATGTATGCTCGATTGGAAATCACCGACCTCGTTCAATTTCTGCCTGCTTCATATTCTTCCTCGGCATGGGATAGCTGCGAATAATCTCTTCCAACGTCGACGCTTGGAAGTACTTCTTGCTCGGCTGTTCTTTTGTGTTGTGCTCTCGAGAATATTGCTCCAGACTCTTTAACCGGTATGTTTTCCGACCGAACTCGTCCTGGGTCTTCTCGAAGAATTCACCTGACTGCTTGCCCATCTCCAGCATCCATGTTGGAGGCAGACCAAGCATTTCTACAATGCGGCAGACCTGGTTGTATTCCGAAGACCCGGGAAATAATGGCAAGCCAAGGAAAAGTTCGACGACAATGCATCCCAGAGACCACATGTCTATCGCAGATGAGTAGCTAACAGGATGTCAGTCAGGCGTGTATAGAGATGGAGAAATCATGTCACGGATAGAGTCCCGGGGGGGAGGGGGGTGGATATGCGTACGGCAAGCCAAGAAGGACCTCTGGTGAGCGGTAAAATCGGGACTGAATATACGTGTAGACGGTCTGTCGCTCGTCACAGGCCGACCCAAAATCAATGACCTTGATGATGGGACTCTCCAAACTGGGAAGAGCACGGAGTCAATATTATAGATATGCTCCAGTTCCGTCAATTACTCACTTTTTCAACAAGATGTTTTCAGGCTTAAGATCGCAGTGGATCAAATGCGCCTTGTTCAGAAGGCTCAGTGCGTTTAGAAGTTGCTGTGCAAATACGCGTACCAAAGTCGTACTCAATCCCCGGAATTGGTTCTGTTTGATTAACTCGTAGAGATTGACACTCAACAATTCGAATACCAAGCACAGATGCTGCCGATGGATAAATGTATCTTTGAGCCGGAGCAAATGATGATCGTCATTTTTATCATATCTGCTATTGAGCTGCGGCGGACATTAGCAGGAGCCAAATAAGGATTGACCATGAAGGACTCACCAGATCTAAGACCGACACCTCCATCATGCTCTGGTTGAAGTAGGCAGTCTTGTTCTTGATGACTTTCACAGCTACTACTTCTCCCGTTTTCAGATTCTGACACTTTACAACCTGGCCGAAAGTTCCTTGACCCAAAACATCAAGGATGAGGTAACGATTCCTAGAAACGATCAGTACGACTGAAGATAACGGAATGAAAGCATCTCCAAAATGTCGTGAAATCTTAACGTACTTATGGCCTGCTTCTTCACTGCCTAATATGTCGTTGACATATAGAATGTAGTCACTATCCTCATTGTCATAGCCATCATTCTTCACGCCTTTGCTGGGCTTGGTAAGGACCCGCCTCGGATTTCTCGAGGACTCATAGTTGAAATTCGGGTTGCATATTCGGTATGTCGCTGGGAGGTGTGTCGTCAACGCTTGAAGAGGCTGCGGATATGTCAATAGGTGCCAGTTGTACAGCCCATAGCTTCGGTATGCTTACGCTAATAAAGCCACCCTCTGGATTCGCGCGTCTGTAAGCTGGCTGCGCATTCATCCGTGGTTGGAGTTCCTGGATGGACTTGATTTTTTGAAACTTTGGTATAGGGCCTCGGCCCGGCTGATGGCTTCCCCCAGATATGGATGCAGAACGAGGCGATCTACCATCTTGCGCAAATGCCGCATTGAGTTGGGAGCCCGCAGAGGGCGGGTAGTACTGGTCGGAACTCATATCGGCGGGCTGTAGAGGGGGGAGTCTAGGGGGCCGTGATGCAGCTGCCACGGAAAATGTTAGTTGCTGTACATTTGACTGTCTGCAAAGATAGATACTCACAGGGTGGTGATTGAAACGCCTGGGGGGGTGAGGCGTAGCTTGAACCCCTTGTCGGCGACCGTCGTGGTTGATTCGGCCCGGGCGGGAAAGCATACGAGTTATGCGATTTCCCCGGACTCGCATTAAATGACAAGGAAGAAGATAAGACATTCATAGGAGAATACCTGCGAGCTGCCGACGACTCCTCAGTTGGAAAGTATTGTGATGAAGGTCGGCTGTGCTGGGTCGGTCTCGTAGAGTATTTGGCACGGTTGTACGGATCCGCATCCTCCATCGTGGTGTCCGCATCGGTGACATAATCCCGACTACGTGGCGTCGCAGCTGGAGACGACGCCATGGAGACGGTTCTGGACGCTGTACCGATCGAAGGTGGTTTGGCCGTAGTGCCGGGGGCCTGGAAAGGCTCGTAGGTGTATCCCACCGGCGGCTGAGAGTGTTGTGGCTGGGCACCGTATTTTGAGGCTAGGTGTTGTGGATTAGACGTCAACCCGTTGTTGAACTGCGCGGGATGCCCCATTAAGGGATCCTGGTAGGGCTGCCACTGCGAATCCATTTCTCCCCTCCCTTATGACGGCGTCTCTGAGTATGTAATGAGAGATCAGATCAGATCGGACATATGATGATCATTTATCACTGTCGACAGCGCACATGCACCACGATCGGGGGTTAGATAGCAGCGGGGACGATAGATGCACGTAGCGCAATCAGGCGGAGACGACGCGGGACACCAACAAGCGATGGTGCAATTCGAAAATCGGGGGAAGACGAAACGGAGGAATTGATGCTAGTTCCAGATTGCGTCGAACCTCATTATTTGAGCAGCAGACTGTTCTGGTGACGAGGGCTCAAGGGGCGAGGGGAGGCGGCCAGTGGATGGACGGGATGGGCGGTCGCAATCCACAATGACGGGTGCGACGCAGCAGCCAATATCGATGCGGCAGCTGACACGCGAAGGGGGTTGGTTGGAAGGAGGATGGCGACTGAACCAACTGTTGGAACTCCCGGGAAAGATGGGAATCCAGACAGCAGTGTACAGTCGAGGACAAAGACCCGAACGGGGGATTGGGGGGGGGGGGGGGGTTGGAATCTGGAAGCAAGTCCAGGTAGACAGTGGGCACTGAGAGAGACCGACTAGTGCGGAGGGGAAGAAAGGAAGAGAGGGAAGGGCAGTAGTGATTTCAGTTCGTGGAGGTGGAGATGGCCCTCTGACGCTGCGCAGAGATCCGGCGTAGGCCTCAGGCTGCCGTTGGGTTGGGGCTTGGAAATGGTGCCGGGAAAGGGCCACCCACGGACCAACCTACGAATTACCTACTACTTACTGTGTATTACTACTATTATTATTATTATTATTATTATTATTATTATTATTATTATTATTATTATTATTATACACAGTACTGATCTCACGACTCGGTGCCCCTCTCGGTATTCCGTGCACGGTAGGATGGATGGCTAGGTAGTAGCTGAGATTGGATCGGCTGCCAGCAGATCGAGGCCACCCCAGTTCGGTTGACAGAAAAAGAAGACAAGCAACAAGGGGAGAGGCAAGCAAGACAGGATAGATTTACTCCGTATTAAATACAACAATGGATGTAGTTCAGGAACATTCCCCTCAAGCCACGCCCCCAGGATTAGAACTGTACTAAATTAATATCCTATCCATCCCATCCCATCCCATCCCGATGTAACTGGGGAATCGATTCCTGGAAATTAATTATCTCATGTCTGTCTGAGGCCCGAGTCTGTTACCTGCCTCTCGACCAGCCTCTTGACGACGATCGCCCTTCATTGGGTATGTAAGACTACCTATCTCCGCCGCCCCTTGGGCATTCAGCACTACTACAATTTCAGTATTTCAGTATACCTGAGCCGGGTCCCAGTAGATAGATACCTTCTGGACGATCGTAAAGAAAGCATTATCCATACTAGACTGATATTACAACTGCCAATTGTCATGTCTCGAGTTCTGTACGACGTCTCCCTCCAATCTACGGATGCACATCATCATCGCCGTTTGCAGCGTGTGCCACCCCCATAATACTTAACTATCGCATTCATTACAAGTCGGAGGATAGCCAGACAAGACCAGGCCCGAGTGCGTATTCCGGTGCTCGATGATTTGTCCCGGAAGAAAGACCCGAGGTGGGCGGGATTCGATTGATGTTATGATTACCTAGTTGATTTGATCTCTCCATCAGCTGGCTGTCATTCTGGAGGTCAACTGAGGCAAACACACGGGCCCCAAAGCCTTCCCGGTGACGTGGGAGGCTACGTGGAGTATGACTAACAGCCGGAAGGCTAGGCACCCACGGCGGTGAGGGCCAGGTTGCAGTCGGTGAAGTCTTTCTGCCGGGCTTATGGTTATCAGTCGTCGCGGTCCTCCGTTTAGATGTCCTCAGTCTTCCAAAATCTAAGATTCTTTTCACTTCCTTAGTCGCAGCCAGGTGTGAGGTATCCAGAGAGTGGCTGTAGTAAATACGCAAGCCTACGTGTCATTGGTCAGTCCTTTTGAGCGCTGGGATTTTCTAGACCTCTGTCGGATCTACTTTTAACTACACATCGGTGACGCCACTTGCTTCTACAATCCTGATATTCTATCGTCCGCACACTTTATACATTCGCCTGATAGTACCCTCTCATCTCTCTGATAATATCTAGAACTCATGGTTATCTAAGTATTATAGCGAAGGATAGTCGAAACGTTGGTGGAAATATACCGACTGCCACCGAAGCTTGATTCTCAATGGCTTTAGACATGATGGATGAGGCAAATATGAAGGAAGGAAATATGACTCCGACTGAGAATAATCCTGTTGAAAGCATGCAAGAAGACAAAAGGCCACAGATACTTGCATCAGACCCGGCAGCAACCCCAAACCAGGGGTTTTTGGTAAACACCGACGAAGCAAGCCGGTTACGAGAATTGCAGGCCGACGTTCGTGAACAGGATGATCTTGAACGAGATATCTCTCGCCAGGTACTTTTGATCGATTGATTTACCATGTCAAAGGCCCGAGTGATGCTGACGAGCATGTCAGGCCGACAAGTTGCTCACGGAACAGGCTGATGAACGGGATATCAAAAGACTGGAGAGAACTACTTTGGAGAAACAGTATGGCCATGATAAAGCCGAAAATCATGCGTGGAACTCACCATCTTACCCAGAAAGCTTGAAACCCAAATTCTGAAATTGCATCAAAGTTTGTCACAACCAGTTGGCACATCTGCGAGAGTTCGTATCAGGAATGAAGTCGAGAAGCTCGAAACCCGCAATGCTGCATTGGCAAATGACCTTATAGAAATTCAGCAAAGGATTGATGACAGGCACCGAGGACAGGAGACTGCTTCTCAGACAACTGGAACTGGCCGGATGCCGAACGAGTCTCGCCGAGATTATCTCATTCGGACTGGAAAGATCACACCCTTTTCTAATATGAGTACTGGGCCAAACCATGGCCCTCTTGCCAGTCTCCAGGATGCCCTCATCGATGCGGAGGACGAACGCGATGAAAAAGAAGCAATAGAACAGGTGAAAAATAGATCGGCGGTTTCACACCGTAACCTTGTGCGGCCAGGATTCGGCTTCGATGAGGTTCCTGACTCCGGTGTGCCAGAAGAGATTTCTGTTTCTCGAGCAACCAAGCGCCGAAAGATAGGCCATGGCTCTCACATAAGTGAGACCCGTGTAGAACAAGAAGTCTTGGATCAAGGCGCACAGGTTCCCGAGGAGGTTCAGTCAGAGGACCAAGACGAATCTGCGAGTTACGTGGAGTCTGAGGAGCAACCATCTTCATCAGAAGATGAAGAAGAGTTTTTACCTGAAGAGAGGCCAAAACGAATTGCGATGCGAGAAAAGGCCCCAAAGCCTTCGAACGAGGTTGAAGATTTTAGCGGGATGGATGATGGGAACGAAAAGCTGTATCAATCCAGGTTCCAATATTGGGTTACCCGAAGGGCAGCTGCTAGGAAGCGAGCTCTTGAAGCAGGCCACGACCCCGAAGTGGATGTCGCTGAAGACTCTGTAGATGGACCTGATCAGGCCGAACAGGAGGAATGGTTCAAGTCTCATCCCACAGTTGCGGACTTGCTGTATGGCAACGGGTATCAGATACCCGGCGACATACACCCTCTTTTGTTTGATTATCAGAAGACCGGAGTGCAGTGGCTATGGGAATTGCAGCAGCAACAGGTAGGTGGCATCATCGGCGACGAGATGGGTCTTGGTAAGACTATTCAAGTTATAGCTTTTCTTGCGGGTCTTCATCATAGCAGAAAATTGACCAGGCCCGTCATTGTCGTATGCCCCGCCACGGTCATGAAGCAGTGGGTTAACGAGTTCCACCGCTGGTGGCCGCCTTTTCGTGTATCTATTCTGCACACGTCCGGTAGCGGAATGGTCAACATCCGGAATGAGAGCAGCAGAGAGGATGCTCTTCTCTCTCAGGAATGGAGCGCCTGCGGTTCCCGCGGCATCCCAACCGGCTCGAAAGCAGCTAGGAGAGTTGTCAAACGTGTGGTAGAGGAAGGGCATGTGCTAGTGACAACATACTCGGGTCTACAAACTTATGCCTCTCTTCTAATTCCGACTGAGTGGGGTTGCGCTGTTCTGGATGAAGGCCACAAAATCCGGAATCCGAATACCTCAATCACTATCCATTGCAAAGAACTTCGGACACCTCACCGTATCATCTTATCGGGAACTCCAATGCAGAACAACCTCACAGAGCTCTGGTCTTTATTCGATTTTGTCTTTCCAATGCGCCTAGGAACCCTGGTGAACTTTCGAAACCGATTCGAGTTCCCCATTCGCCAAGGAGGATACGCGAACGCCTCTAATCTCCAGGTACAAACGGCTGCTAAATGCGCCGAAACTCTCAAAGATGCCATCAGCCCATATCTTTTGCAACGGTTCAAGGTTGATGTCGCAGCCGATTTGCCTAAAAAGAGTGAACAAGTGCTGTTCTGTAAGTTGACGAAGGCGCAGCGACAGGCATACGAGACATTTCTTGGTTCCGAAGAAATGAAATCCATCCTTGGGGGGCGTCGACAGGTTCTATACGGTGTCGATATCCTACGAAAAATCTGCAATCATCCCGATCTACAAAACCACAAGCTGCTGTCCGCAACGGCGGGCTATGGCAGCGGGTCCAAGTCCGGTAAGATGCAAGTCGTCAAGTCGCTATTAGAGCTATGGAAGGATACGGGGCATAAGACTCTGCTATTCACACAGCATCGGATCATGCTGGATATACTCGAGAAATTCGTGAACTCGCTCTCTGGGTTCAACTACCGTCGAATGGATGGTACTACACCCATCCAGCACCGGCAAACCATGGTCGACGAATTTAACAATGACCCAACTCTGCACGTCTTTTTACTGACCACTAAGGTTGGCGGGTTGGGCGTAAACCTAACGGGGGCTGATCGGATTATTATATATGATCCAGACTGGAATCCCTCTACCGATGTGCAGGCGCGGGAGCGAGCATGGAGGCTAGGACAAAAGCGCGAGGTCACCGTCTACCGGCTTATGACCGCTGGGACCATTGAGGAGAAGATCTATCATCGCCAGATCTTCAAGCAGTTCCTCACGAACAAGATCCTGAGAGATCCCAAACAGCGCCAGACTTTCCAAATGAGCGATCTCCATGATCTCTTCTCCTTAGGAGAAGAGAATCAGGGCCCTACGGAGACAAGCAAAATATTCAAAGATGCTGATGTCACTTATGAGAACAGAGGTAGCACATCTCGACTGCCTGGCGCAACAGCTCAAGGACGAGATGCGTCGGATGATCTGCGGGAAGAGAAGAAGGACATCAGCAAAGTGGTTGGTATAGCGGCGGTTGAAAAGTTTCAGGGCGACGAAGAGCAATGGAGCAAACAAAAGAAAGAAACTCCCGGTGTCAACTCCGAGTCTCGCATTATGGAAGGCATATTTGCTCGATCTGGGGTCCATTCGGCCCTAGAGCATGACCAGATCGTGAATGGCAAGCGAGTGGTGCGAGCAGACCCCAAGATAATCGAGGCAGAAGCGAAGAGGGTTGCTGCTGAAGCTGCTGAGGAGTTGCGGCGCGCGGGAGAGGCAGCGCGGGCTGTGCCCATCGGGACACCAACCTGGACCGGCCAATTCGGCCTGGCTGGGAGACCCGAGGAGGCCCCAAGCCGGCCTGCGTTTGGTGGAAGCAGCAGCACAGCCAGACGAGCGATAGCCGGTCCCTCCTCAGCCAGCGTCTTGGCCAACCTCTCCGCGCGCGCACCCTCGTCACGAAGTAGCAGCAACAGCAACAGCCCTGTCCCATCGCGTACACCTAGCGGAGTGGATTTCATAACCATGATCCGAGATTTCATTACGGCCCATGGCGGGGCAGTATTTACTCAAATGTTGATCGATCATTTCAACCGCTACTGCACCACTCCGCAGCGGTCGGCGGAATTCAAGGAAATGCTGAAGACGATTGCCGTGCTGAACAAGGGCGGACGGAACGGGCGCGGCAAATGGTCCTTGAAGCCTGAATATGCTCAAAGAAGATAATCATGCTCTGTCATTCATCTTCTATCGGGCAACTGAACTCGTGCCCAGTCGTTGATATGCCGGTCTTGACTGGGGCGAATGGACATGGGACAACCGTGGATGGTTAGATTAATCGGCTTTGAAGGGATGTGGATTGTGACAAGGGATACCAATGTTTTGGGCGAGCGTGGAGTTGGACTGAAACTGCCGATCCCATTTTCCCTACAATACTGCACGTGTACAATACAGCGGTCATCGATAAATCAATTGGGGAGGGAGATACGACGTAGCCTAACTGTACATGACGTGCACTGACTTTCGGATCTGATCATTGAGACAGCCGAGCGACATCGGCAAGTCCCTCATCTGCCCCAGTTCCCCGGCGAAAGTGATATCGAATCCGTGGAAAGGGCTCGTAATCATGGAGTCGAGCCCATTGTGTGATGTAACGCCGGGTGAACCAAAGAGGCGGCCCGAATGGAACGGGCGATCATGATGTCAGCCATTCGGGCTCCTATGGGGTGCGGAGTACTCAGCCATCGCACAATGGAAACACCTGAGTCCAAGACAAGGGCTTACCGTGTACTGCAGTGTACGGATTACTATCACAGGCCCAAACAGGACGGGGTCATGCAGTCTATCCATCTCCACCTTGGGTGCACATCTAGTACTGTATTCCATACTTCTATAATTATCATGCTCAACGCCCCAAGACGGGCTGTCCCCTGAATATCAGCCACCATTGGGCTCCAATGGGGAGACATGGTTCATATGACGAGGACTAAATTGCCGGGAGATTAAATTCTAGGTGATGACGATACTAGTAGCTGAAGAATCCTGTCCGCTTGCAGTGCTGAAGACATTCCTGTGAGAAAGGGTCCATCGGTCGGGCATTGATTGAGTGATCAGCCGATACCTAGATTAGGATCGGCTGCTTCAAGTTTGAGGGATTGTTGAGGGGACAAAAATAGAAGACGAACAAGTCAGCAATCTGATCCGATCTTAACCGTGCCGGGTAAAGAGAGACAATGAGTGCATGTGCTGCTGATGGTGATGATGTATCGATACCATCCATCTCAAACGTTCGGAGTAGAGAGGACGATGTCTCAGCCTCTCAGCCATGACAAGCCCCGCCATCCTCGTTCATTTCAAATTCAATCCATGATCGATCCCCCGCCTCCATTTCGCGGCGATCCAATCACCCGTTGCTGCTGAATTCGCCGCCCAACGCTGACTGGTCCGGCTAAGCCCATCGGCCGGAGAGGCCAAGCCCAGCCAGCCAATCGGGCCGGGAGGGCGGTCACTCCGAGCACCCCAGTGGGCGGCGCGGTGGAGATGCCCTCCAGTTGTGCCTGCCTCTCTGGGTCGTGGCTGCCAAGTGCGCCTCTCGGCCACTCGTTCTGCCAACTTGAACCACCATCCACCAACCACCAACTGCCCTCCTCCACAGGCCACTTTCTCTACTAGTAGTTTCTCCCCCAGCATTCGTGTGGGTTTCTATTCTCAGGTTGGCTCAAACTTTTCTCTCCTCTCACTGGTGTTTCTCTGATCACCATCCATTGTTCCGGCTTAGGCATTTCGGCGCCGATTTACCGTCCCACCGCTGTAGGTGGATCGTGGTGGCTATTCGATATAAAGACGCAGGGCGTCCCGTCGATTTCAGCCATCATTCATCACGCACCATCCTTCTTTCTCCTATACCCAGGATTGTACTATTTCAGGACCTATCCACGAGCCTATCATCTATCTTGTCCCCCTTCACACCATCTTTCCACCAACACAATTCAGCATGAAGTTCCTCGCCTCCTTCGCTTTGCTGGCGTCCACCGTGGCAGCCGGTCCCATCGCGTACCCTCGCGCGGCCAGCAACGCCACCGGGACCTTCCACCTCAAGACGACCGGTGCTTCCAATGAGGATCACAACAACCTCTACGTCTATGCCTACCACACGGGTGCTGGGTTCAATGATGCCGTGCTCACGTCAGATGTTGGAACGGCCAGCCCGGCGTTCCTGAACGGCACGCACACTCAGTTTGACCTTGGCACCCCCTTCCCCTGGGGATTCAAGATGGGTGCCCAGAACAACTATGCAGGTTAGACTTTTTGTCCCTTTCCCTTGCCATGTTCTGTCTGCCGTGCCACATGGACGACCGGTGAAATTAACTTTGCTTGCAGCCTGGGAGTCCGTCCAGATCAACACTGGATACGGCGACGAAGATTTCTCCATCAGTGGCACCAACTTCGAGTGGTCGGAAGCGAATGGCTTTGGAGGCTGGCTGGGTGAGTGAACTCAAAAACCTTTCGAGTAACCTCGGGACCTGCTACTAATCACGGCTGCTATTTAGTGTGTGATTGGTACCACAACGCACCCCAGCTGTTCTACATCTACAAATACTACCAGCCCGATATTCCTTCCTCTTGCAGCGAGGTTGACCTGACGGCCGAATACACTTCCTAAGAACGATGTCTAGACCCCGCCACTGGCCCTGAGAAGGGCTCGATGACGCGCGTGGCGTGGATGATGATTCATATGACCCGAAGGACTTGGGAGGATACGCCTCTCTCCCAACCCGACACAGATTGGACCCTGTATCAATACGCCTGTGAAACGACCGACGCTAGTAATGTTAATACTAATAATGATGTGTGTGTGAGTGAGATTTGATGACCGGGGGGAGGATTGTGTTGTACGCGAAGCATGTGATGTTGAATAATCAGGAATGCTTTTTCATTTCATCAATTTCTAGAGAAGCTTCTGTTTTCAAAGCATTTGCATTTACACCGTGCTAGAGAGCTAAAATGCTATTTCTTTATCGAAGTGCTTGCTTCCAATCAGGTGTTGCTTGTGGTTTTATCTTAGTGGCCAATAATTGGCAATAGTGGCTGCCGGGGCCCGGTTAGTGTCGCAGATTTGCGGGGGCAGCGGTAGAGATCATACTATCTAGACTAGATAGTAGTACACCGGTGTCACAGTGTCACCGTAGGGATGTCCACTCCGGAAAGAATGCTGGGGCCCGGGGGTCATGATCTCGCTGGATTATTCTATCCGAGGGAAGAGACTATCTACGTGAAACCACCCCCTCGGTCGGGGATGCCTGGTCGATGCCTGGGGGATGCCTGATAGCAGCCTCAGGCGATGGCCCGCCAAAAATAGCGCGGATGTCTCAGGCAATGGCCCGATCAGGCAAGGCGCGGCCACCCGCCTCGAATCGCCCTTTCTTTTGCCTCCGTCGCTCGTCTCTCGCTCTCTGCTCATCGCTGATCCGACGCTGCTTCGGTCGGTCTTCGTTGAAATTCTCCTTCCTTCACTCGCTGTCGGTCGGTCGTTTGCATCTTCTTCATCTTTCTCCCCATCTCTCGGATTGCTGAGATCGACCTGTCCCTGTCACTCGCTTTGTTTACCCCCCAACTTCGACCCTCGTTGGACCCTGCCGAGACTCACCCATCAGACGATCTGCATGTTTCAGTCCCGCTGGCCTGAAAAACACCTTTTTGTGCAGCTCACAGCGCTTCTCCTCGGGCCTTGAGCCGCCATCACGCTATATCGGATTATCCTCGCGATACTTGGGACGTCAGCTTTCGTCGTCCATCCTCCCCGGTCACTGGCACCCCTGTTGCTTTGTTTCAGTCGTTCATCCGGGAGAAAGGGTCCCCGTCGATCGGACCCTGATTTTTGCCAAGGGAGTCAACCGACCCCTCTGCTGTTCTATCAACACAGCCGCATACAAGTCCAATCGCTTTATCCAAAATGCGTTCCATGTCTCGTCTTTTCGTTCTGTGCCTCTTCCTGCTGCTGGGGACGCTCACCACCGCTTGGCCATGGCGCCCACACGGCGAAATGTTGCAACGGGCCGGTTCGTATCCCCATCTCCTGACACGGACACTCGACCTTTTCGCTAGTTCCCTTGACTGACTGACCTGTCAAGATACCACCGCAGCTGAGAGCGCCACCACCGGAGCCGCCGCTACAACTGAGAGTGCATCCAAGACCGACTCAGTGACCAAGGCCGCGTCGGCCACAGGAACTGGCACCTCCGTCACCGGTACCGGTACCGGTACACAGGCTACTACACAAACAGGCACTGCCACAGGGAAGACCAGCACAGGTTCTCATTACACAAATACGTCGTCCATCTCGATCAATCCTGCTGCCGGTGCCGGTGGTATCTCCATGCTCACCCCCACCGAAGGCGCCACATCCTACTATAGAATCGGCGACTATGTGACGTTGGCGTGGAACTACACATCGTTGACTATCAGCCCAACGGCTGTCAATGTCGTAGCTTCGTGCAGTTTGAACAGTGCCACCTACACGATCTCGACCAACATGACCATGGGGCCAACCGGGAAGGTGATCTGGGACACTCGCAAGTACCAGGCCAATGCGACGGTCCCGCTGTTGACGGCTTCGTACACGTTGATCGTTTGGGATGCGAGCAAAGCCCTTACCGAGACGGCGAGTGCCGGCTATCTCAGCGCTGCAAGCGGATACACGTTCGGGATGTACAGCTCGCAGCCGTATACTCCGCTCAACGGTACGTTACCATTTCGTCGAATTGGTTCAACATTCTAACCTCCAATAGGCTTTGTCTGCGCCACATGCAGCAGCGCGTTCTCCGAACTAGAACGCATGGGTCTGAAATTTACCATGGGCATGGTCACCATCACCATTCTATCCTTCACCTGGTTCGCCGGCGGTTCCGGTGTCTTCTCCACATAGGCGTAATCTTTGTGTGACGACGAATATATCTTTTATGCATTAGAATGTTGCATTGAGCTGAGCGAATTCGTTTGAATTATGATGACAGCAATCTATCAGCAAGGGCTTGGTTTGGCGTTTGTGTGTTTCTGACTTTGGCATGTATTGCGGTATAATGGCTGGGACAGTCGCCTTTCTTTCATTCATCGATGTTCTATATGAATTTCAGCAAATAGCGGGATATCAGTGTAATAGTGCATGCGCGGTCACGACATATTGATGGTCTCTTGGTCTCTCCACCTGACTTGTTTATAATGAGCTGATTTCGACTTATACTTTCGAGTGCTGTATAATTACTTAGACAGTCTGTCTGGACCTTACACCTGCCACAGTGTCATGTACCCATATCAGTCTACAAGTACCATGTCTATCATTCACGGATAGTATTTAAACTGAACCCATCCCCTGGAATCCCAGAGGATCCATTATATTCAACATATAACCATACTATCCAACACCGGGAAATCATCCTCATACATCCATATATCTTCACTTCCCACCCTTGAGAAATCCACACAATGTATCTCTATACATCTATGCCAGGGAATGAACTCACTCCTTCAAAACTCCACCACTCTTTTGAATTAAGGATGGAACCTAAATAAAATTCTAGGAGCTAAAATCAAATATAGATTCCTGGTTATCTTCATTTCATAAATGGCATCATATTGTGTACATTCTCCAATCTATTCACTTGAGAACCAATATGAACCAAGGTCACAATGGCATGCATGGCATCCGTTCTCGGTTCGAATCGGACATTAGGACAGGTCTGCTATAGGGATGCTAGATCTGGTGAATGGAGATTATGGCGGTGGTGCATCCTAAACGATCGACCTTCTGGGCAGCCAAAAGTTGTTGTGAAAAGGATTAGGGGGTGAGTGGTGATGGATGTGTTTCTGGTGTAGGCCTGGACTGAATGAGGCCGCTGAGGGAAGATGCTTTTTCACACGGGTATGGTGCGGAATAGAGAGAGAAGGCATAATTTCCAGATGAGGCAGGTTTTTATTCATGGTGATAGATATGGCTTGGTAGATGGTGTGGTATTGCAGGTGCCCTGAGGTGAAATTTTCGCGATGGTATCGTGAGAAGGATAGGGAGGTGTATGATATTCTCAGATGGGCTGAGGTATATGGGAAAAAGTGTCCGGATGTTGATCGAGGAACGATTTAGTGCGAGGGTGAATGTCGGGCCGATAAACAGTGCCCTTTCATACTATCTCTCTCCGTCATGCGATGCAGGTTGGATGATAGGGTTCCCAAATCGGAGTGGCTTGCTGAGGAACAGAGGATGGTTTGCGGATTGTGGGAAGGGTTGCTGCATTGTCGGTCATTTTATTGCATTTCAGACAAGGTGCTTGCTTGATATTTGAGTAGGATGACATCATGTCCTAATGAATAGTCAGCATGTGTCTTTCATCGTGACTAGTATTGGATGAGCGTAGGCGGACTTACCAGTAGATAATACAGGTCCCATTGCCGAGGACGAGAATTCAAGCAATGCACCACCGCGGTCTCGAGTTTCGACGGGGGTTGTCCATGCTGCGTCCTAGCTGAGACCCGCCAGTCAGGTACACCGTTCCCATCCTGTCCTGCAATAGCATCAACCTTGAATGCCATTCCTGCTTTCACAAGCACGACCGTGACGGACGATTCGTTGTGGCTAGGCACAACGCGCACACCGGGCACATTCTTCTGAGTAAAGCCCTCGGCAATCGCTCTCCAGCCACCCTCGGTAGCCTGGATCTTCGAGCGCTCCAGCTCCTCATTGGCTCTCTGCTGCTGCTCATTCTGGATCTGCTCTTCTTTGCGGAGCTCCGCGAGAATCATATCATAGTCTCGCTCCCATTTGCCCGTTGGCTGCAGCATGCGGCCACCGTTTTCTTTGATCTGCGCGTCAATCCGATCCCAGACTGCCTTCATCTCAGGACTGCGCCACATTGACTGAAATTCTTGAACTTCGGAGACACCAGCCCGCGAAGCCTGGGCGAGCTGTTCGTACAGCATTTGCGGCGACTTGGGGGCCGGTCTTCCCGCAGCAGCTTTTGGGTTAACAAGCGGGGCTAGAGGCTCCAGCAGACGCTCAGGGAGTAAAGTCCGAAGTCGGTGGATCTGTCAAGATGTGTTATGTCATGTTTGAGCAAGTGACAAGTTGAAGAAAGAGAATGGTACATACCATGGCCTCCATTTTCTGGAGCTTTGCGAGAGAGGAGACGAGTTGCATTTCGGTATCCCACACATCAGGGTTCGTGTCGTTTACACTGCCGTTGACATTGCCATTCATGCTGTTGGCTCCCCCTGCAGTGAGCTTCGGGTCATTTGATGAATCGGTCATATTAGGCACCACCACTGGCATTCTAGGAAGCCTTTGGCCTTGGTTTGGTGCAGATGCCATATTTAATACCAATAGATGGGCGGATGATAGTAAGAGCGTTGTGTGAGTATTATGAAGTAGAGCCCAGATCGAGCTGAAAATTCAACAAGCTCTTATTCTATAAGCCGACCGACACTCGATCTTCGGATGGTAGAGCAGCACGTGTTTTCAATCCACGTTGATTGATTAACCGTTGCGAGGATGGATCTAATATACGGCCAAGCATGCAGCGAAAGTATCGATCGGTCATATACCTCTAGATGTAAAATGAAGTGATCTCAGACATCCAAGGCCGACTTGGCATGTGGTGTCCGGTCTTGAGACAGGACGTCAACGTCAACAATCGCTAGCGATACATGGAAATGCGGAGGAGGGAATTGTGCCGGCCGGCGTGGGCTGACTCAGCTCAACTGGGTCGTCAGCCACATATCCGCACCGCCACATGAACATGTGGCTTAGAGAAAGAGTGCTGCTGTCCATAGGAAACCTACCGGATAGAAGATGCTAGAAAGATTGATTTCATTATGGGATTCACCTTATGCACCAAAACCGAACTAGGTATTGACATGACAGTCTAGCTACGGCGGCCATCTATGTTGCTATATCATTGGAATAAAATGCCATTCGATTAAGCTTCATACAAATCACACCAGGCGATGGAAAGAGTATCAATAACACAAGACGGGCTAACTGTCAGGGACTTGTCAAGGTTGAAACCTTCGGTCACCGACAATATAGCGCGTGATTAAAAAACAGTTTCAAAGAGTCCCATGATTCGTAAGTTTTAGTATGGCTGGCTGACGCAGCTGTAGTGGATTACTCCATCTCCGATGAATACAGTCGAATATTCACACCGCGGTCATGCGACAATGTGAGACTGGATTGAATGATAGGCTCCATCAAGTCGGGATCGGCATTTTCGATTCTGTCGAACCGTTGCAGCAGTTTGACCAGCGTGTAACTAGCTTCAGTGAGCGCATATTGCTCTGAGAGCACGTTAGTAATGTGATTACTTCATTGTCTTGAAGACAAAGGCAACTTACGGCCAAGACAGATGCGTGGTCCACCGTTGAAAGGCAGGTAATCCCAACCTCGCTTGCTGTTTTCTTCCCAACGTTCTGGCCGAAAGATGTGGGCATCTGGGCCGTATAGGTCGGTCCGGCGATGCATGGCGTACACGCTATATGCGACAAGCTCTCCCTTGCGAACGTAGACGGGGGACTTTTGGTCGGGGCCACCGCCCAATGGTAGTGAAGTATCCTTGACTGCGACGCGGAAGTTGAGAGGCACGGGAGGCAAGAGGCGAAGAACTGGTCATGTTAGAGGACAAATTTGGACTTTGGGGAAGAATGACTTACCTTCGTTCAAGAAATACCGCAGATATGGGGTATCCTTCAGCCTGGCATGTGTGATCTTTCCTTCGGGGCGTTGGGCATCTCCAAACTCCTGGACAATTGTCCGACGAAGTCGGGTCCAGACATTTGGGTGGCGTGCTAGGTAGAAAAAGGCCGAGCTAAGCAGACTGGCAGTAGTGTCGCGGCCAGCCAGGAGGATATTAAGCATATTATCTCTGAGCACTCTCGGATCGTCGTTGTCCGCAGCCAACGCCTCTGCGAAGATATACCTGCCCGCTTCCTTCTTCTCGGGGTGACGCCTCGACTCGAGGGCAAGCTGCACATAATGGTCGACAACCTCGTGTACAAGCCGGCTAGCTTCCTGGAACTCTTTGGGATTGACCATCCAATAGAAAGCCATGGCTCTGGACCTTGATGCTAGGTATTCCTGGGCCAGATTGAATGCCTCGGCGAACCCTTGAGCGCTCCCAACGGCAGACTTTTCCAGAAGACTAGCCTCGGTGGAAGTACGCATCGATCCAACGGATTCGCCAAATAGAAAATGTGTTGCGGAGTCAATCGTCAAGAGAAAAAAGAGCCGCTGGATGTCGAAGCTAGAGCCATCCTTCGGTATCAGGTTGATCATCTTCGAGATGTGGCCGTCCATGAGATCTAGATCAGCAACCTGGTAGTCCGTATCCCGTCAGTACTTGCTTCGTATGATCTGATACTGGGTTGAATCCGACCTGATCACGGGTAAATTGTGGTCTCAGTAAACCGCGTGCATGAGACCAGCCAGCTCCGTCTAGTGTAAAAATCCCATTTCCCAGTAAAGGGTAGAACTCCCGATGCCGGGTCCCTAGGCTGAAATCCTGGAACTGGATTGCCAACACAGCCTTGATATTCTCGGGCTCGATCGTGTTGTGGATGATGAGTCCGCCCAACGCTGTCTGATGGAAGGTAGACCCATACGACTGGTAGTGCTCGGCGATGTATTCAACCCATCGCTTTTCCCGAGCGGCCTTGACGATGCGGATAAAACCCGTGATACCTAAGAAACCTGTAGGGACCACCTTGGAGGGCTGACATCCCAGCGCCTTGGCCTTTTTGCGGTCGCTGTAAGCTTGTTGAAGTGAGCGCAGGACCTTGAAGGTTAGGTATATTGCACCAAGAAGGACAATCGCAGGGACTAGCATGACGCAAATGGGTGTGTGAGAATTTGAATAAAGAGGATGCAGAATCACCAGAAACCAGGTCTTAAGATAGAATTATGAGGTAAGTATGAGTATTTGGACAAACGGCAGGGAAGACGTGGTTCAAACTATGGACAATATATACCCCCGCCGGGTGGCTTCGAATCCATCTGCCTAGATGGCACTTCTGTAGTTGTCCTCGGTCGAAAGGTTTCATGTGAGAGGGAGATGGGAAATAGACATGATGCCCCATAGCCACAACGAACGCGAGGAAACACGGGAAGGGGTGATTCAGTACCGTGAACAATGACGGGGGTGGAAGTGATTGGAAAGAGGGACACTCGGGATCCGGAAAGATCGCAAGCATCTCCCGAAACGGTAAGGCGTTCTGCCCCCAGGATTCGACGCTAAATCACGCCGATCCCCAAACTTCCGAGGCTGCAGGCTCCACTCTGACAACATCCCCCTTCATCCATGTTCCATGGGCCATAGATTCTGATTCTGATTCTGATTCTGATTCTGCTTCTAGGCTCTAGGTAGCCCCTGTTCCTGTGCACTCACTCCTGTCCAAAGCACGGCAGCCATTCCAGCATGGCTGACGTAAAGAGGCCTCGTGATAGCTTACCAGCAGTCGGGGTGGACTGAAAGTCAAAGCAGTGTTCCGAGTTTTCCATAATGTACCCAAAGACCGTGTTCTCGCTTGTCTCAACCCCGCACCCGGGAATCGTGGTCGAAAACTGCACCCCCTGAGGGGCAATATCCTCCGTCGAGAGAATGGACAACGTCCTCCAAGGGTCGAATTCCCCTCCGCTAAAGTAAACATTGGAGGGGCGGATCGTCCAGCCCCCGAACCTTTGGTTGACATCATCCACCAGCGGTTGAGGCGGCAGTAATCCCTTCACGACCGCGCTAGGGAACTGACGGTTACACAATTCCTGCTGGTATTCCAAGGTCTGGTATCGCGACAGCAGCGCGTGTGGTCCGTCATTATTGGCCTGGTAGAAGCCCCATTCGGTGCAGTACTGCCAGGTCCAACTGATGGCTGAGGGATCGCCGTATGGCTTTGAAAAATCGCAATCCAGTGGTGCCGACTCATTAAGGGACCGGCAGTTGGTGTCCATGTTTTCATTCACCAGCTCGGTGAAGACCGGCCATTGTGCCCAGCGTTCAGCAACATATTGGCCGCCATAGAGTGGAGCAAGCCCGTCTGGCCCTGTCGTACCATTCGTCTCGGGGTCAACTTCGAGATACGTGCAGAACGAGCCTAGTCCTCCGGCACCTCCTGACATCCCGTAACTTTGAAAGAAGCCATATATACCCGTTAGAGCTGCAGTGAAATCACCGTTCGAGTTGATTTCGGCGCCGGACCCGAAGAACAGTTGTTTGATGGAGGAGGCGGTCTCTTCGTCCGACAGTTGATCATCGATATAGTCCAAAGCAGCGCGGATATCTTGAGTGCAGTTGGTCCATCCATTGGCGATCATTCCACGATAGACTTGGTCCCAGTACATGGCCATATTGATCCGGGCTTCCACCGGAGCCGACGAGGAAAAGGCAGCATATATGGTCTCCGGATATTCATTGCGAGTCAAGGCAGCGCGAATCCCAGCGTACGAACCGCCCACCATGATCCACGGTGTGCCCTGCGGAGTCAAGTCAATGTCAGGGTATTTCTCGCGGCTGAAGTTGCTGGCAAAGTATGGAAGATCTGCGAGAGCCTGCTTAGTGTTGAGGTATTGAAAGGTCTCCGGTGGTGAATCGTAGGAGATGGGAGCCGGGGTCGACTCTCCATAGTATCTGTTCGCTTGTTAGTGACGCCCGCCTGCTGACTGTACCAAACGAACCTGTGCTCCCAGGCAATTCCCATGGCATCAAGCTCTTCCAATAATCCTCTGAAGAAGGATAACGTGGACGTCAGGTACGCCTGAGCTACTGCGTCCCCGTCCGTCTCCCCTGCGTCGTATACCATGATGGGATTCCCGGGCTTGTAGAACTCATCATTGACCCAAAAACGATTCTCATACGTGCCAGCAGATGAGTTGTCATGGTCAAGAGGGATCTGGGAATGCACAATTAGCATCAACGCACGAAATAAAACCTGGTATCTTCATACGGTGACATATTCAGTTTCTAATGCAGCCGTCATGGCCGAGTGCGAAACTAAAGAATGAATGCTCTGCTGATTATCTATTACAAGGTCGGGGCTCAGACCAAAGTGAGCAAGCGACTGAACTCCCCAACCGAAAGGTGATTTTCCCAGCCCCGAAGCCACAACGGGCCGCGAAAGCAGGAAAGCGCCGATGGCTGCTATCGATGCCGAGTACGAAGGCATACTGTAACTTCGAGAGAACATGAATGAGGTAGATGCAGGTCAGCAGAAAGAAAGAGGATGCCAAATTCCCTGGGTGCTGAAATAGCCATCTTGCCATGAAGGCATTCTTCTGTGCATTTATATACGGGGCATATTTACGATACTATGGGTGAGACGGTTTCGGTCACGAATGTGTCGGACAGCATGAGGTGCTTCGATGGATGCCTACGGACGGTGGATTAAAATCATGTCAGCTCAGCCGAGACATGGCCACATCGTGTGCGGCCAGAAATCTCCGCTGGGTTGGACAACATCCAATTGACGCATTGGGTTGGTGCCTCCGGGCTGTGGCTTCGGGGCGGACGGGAAACCAAAGCTACGGACTCTTCAAGGGCCATCCAGCACGGCGATAGCCGTTTAGCTTGCGGGGTTCCGCTTGCTGAAGATGCCCTGTCGATCTCCATCTGCACAGCATGCAAGGAATGCGCCGCAGGGGCCGGGCCCAGCCCCCATACGGCATTGATGCAAACACCATCTTTTTGCCCCGTAGCCATCATGAGAGCTGGCAAGAAGCGTTTAAAAGGAGTAGATCAATGATCGACTGCCCAGACAATTGAAAGCGCTGGGCTTCTGTTCCGTTTGCCGTCTCCTTCGCCACGAGTGTTGCAGACTGGGGGCGGTGGAGCGAAATTCACCGTAATGAAGTGTAATAGCCGAGTGAGACAAATTCCAGGGGCAGCGTGCATGGTGCACAGAGATCCTTCATCTGAGGCTATTTCTTCCACACCCCCGACCATCCCAGCTTTACTAGTTCGGCCAAGTGAGTGTGGCGTAGCGTGAACAGGGATCATGGATATCCGAGTAAACAGGGGGTAATCTCAGCACGAAAAGGCTGGAAAGAGATGTTGAGAAGGAGATCTGGCCAGTGGCTTTGGGTTATTCTCCGAAGCCATTATCTAGGCTCCCACGAATTTCGCTGGAAGGGTGATTGGTATGCCCGCTGCTGTGGAAGTTTGGCTGTTCTGTAATTCGCGGTCTTCAGACAGGTCAGCACTACTGAAAGATGGAACAATAATCCTGCCAAGGAAGCAAGAACGCACTGGCCGGGCAATGGGAGCAGAAATTAGGGGGAGGCGGAGAGGGAAGCTTTCCCGGTGAAGATGGAAGACAGAATGTGAAAACATGACTGGAATGGCCATTTGGCTTCGGGCGGGAATTTGGCCTCAGGCCGGGGTTTGCATTGCGTTGCATTCCTCCCTGCGCCCGGCGAGCCTCGTTCCGTCCGCATCGTGTCGCTATCCATCTGCCTGACCCATGTTCCTGCATCGGCTTTGACAGGTGGGGCAGTGGCCTCCATCAATCTCTGCGTCAGCGGAGAATTTCAACTTTGAAGAGGTTGGGGCCGCGGCCTCAGGAGCCTCGGGGGTCATTATTATTGTGGAACCCCAGATGTTACAACGGGGTCACCCCTGGGATGCTGCACGGTGCATCCTCGCCCATGCCATCAGAAAGTGTGACAGCTAACGAACACAGCCGATATTGCAATGTCGCCTGAAGCAACTATTAGGCCAGATTTTATGTCTGCAGCTGACAAGCTAGAAACAAAGTTCTAGCTTGCTTCACAAGTCACCTAAAGGCAATGCCACAATGGCTCGGCTTTTGGCAGAAGAGGCGAGCAATTACTAGCAGCAGACCTGGCTATCTCGAAGTACCAGACATTCATCAATCACACACAGTTGGACTGAAGTCCTGCACAGCCTTGGCAGTTGGGAGAATTAAGATGTCCACGGATGACGATTAGCCCACCAACGAGTCATTTGAAACTGTCACTTCAGAAAGGATCGGCGCTGCTCGGGACGAGGTACGGATCACTTGACCCCCCAGGGCATCAGAAGCTCACCTTAAGAGCAACCTGAACTCCTGCCTTCTCGGCTGATCAAGTATGTAGCCAAGTGACCAAATATTATCCGTTCGCACATATCAATCATCCAGTGTGCCGATGTCAAAATACCAACAGAGAGATAGGTGAGGCCTGAAGTAGGGCCTATAGAATTGTGAATCTTGATTTGACTCGTGGACCGGCATTTAGGCTGAACATTGCCGAACTTTCACATCGGGTTTACATATCTAGTGTCTACGCGGAGCAGACTCCGTCCCTCAGCCAAGAAACAAGTCCGTCCACCACTGATGATTCTGGCCAAGCCATGGACGGAGTTCTTCAGCGGAGCCCTCGCAAATGATTATATAGGCAAAGATCGGCAAAGCAGCTTGGACCCTCGCTGTAGCGTTTCCCGAGGGCTGTCAAGATGCCTCCATCATGACAATGAAAGTCGCATCTTTGCTCAGCGCGTTATGCCAGAGATCAATGTTCTTCTTTCAGTGAGCACATTATTCAATACAGTGACAAAATATAATTCTAACTGTTCAGGTATCAGGTACCCTGTCATGGGAGCTCTGACACATTGTCAGATTGCAGGAGGACCGAGCCAAGAAGATTCTCTTGGCTACGGTGATGTGTCTCCAATACAACAAACCCATAACACCGGTAGCTTCGCATTCGCGATGACAGTGATAGTTCAATACCCCATCGCTGATCTTGCAATGACGTCGGCAGTTAGTTTGAAGAGTATCAAGTGATGGGGTCCCTTCATTTATCCTGTCCTCAAGATTGGTGGGCGCCGTTCACTGCCCAAGGCTTGGCCAGGGGCTATGCATGAAGGACACTAGCTGGATGGGTTTGGCTCCATTAGTCTTTAGGATTTTGGCAGCGCTTCGGCTAAGAATATTATTTAAGGGATTGGAAGTACCGCCATTTGCAAATAGCGCAGTTGAGTTACATCGATTCGACTGTATAACTGCAGGATGTTGTCAAGACCTTTGCTTTTATCGCTTCTCTCACTGTCCGCCCAGGTCGTGAATGCGGATTTTGGAATCACGACCAGTGATGATTCCTATGTCATAAATGCCAATTCCCCCAATTCGCTGCAGTTCACAGTGAACCGCGGTAGCTGCGATATTACTTCTATCGTGTATTACGGCTCAGAGCTGCAGTATTCCAGTGTGGGCAGTCATATCGGCTCTGGTCTGGGGACTGCGACAGTTTCTGCCACTCAGGATGGTGGGTACGAAAGTTCAAATTGGGAGAGTAGAGCTGACAAGCTTACTGCGGACAGGCGACTATATCAAAGTGACCTGTGAAACTGACACGTTGACTCAATATATGGTGGTTCACAATGGGGACCCTATCATACACATGGCAACCTACATCACAGCAGGTGAGTGCATTCCAGAGTTATCAGTAGCTATATCTGATCATCTAATGCCAGAACCATCCATCGGCGAACTGCGTTTCATTGCTCGGCTCAACTCAGACTTGCTGCCCAATGAGGAGCCATTCGGAGATGTCTCCAACACCGCTAATGGGGAGGCCATTGAAGGATCTGATGTGGTAAGACTGATCAAATTGCTTGAAGACAGCGCTAATCGACGGCAAGTTTCTGGTGGATGGAGAAACTCGTAGCAAGTTCTATTCCAGCCAGCGTTTCATCGACGACCAACGGCACTGTAAGAGCCTTGGCAATGACCGGTGGGATGATGCTAACCTAGCAAGGCATTGCGGGTGATGCGCACCGCGTTTGCATGATCCTGAATCAGTACGAAAGCTCTTCTGGTGGCCCGTTCCATAGGTAATTGCCTCTCTGCACCTACGAGACCATACTTATGATGGTAGGGATATCAACTCCAACAACGGAGGCAGTTACAATGCCCTCTACTGGTACATGGTATGTGTCTTTCCTCAAGCATGCGAATTAGCATAAATAACAAAACAGAATTCGGGCCATGTTCAAACCGAGTCCTACCGCATGGGCCTTCACGGGCCCTATTCGATGTACTTTAGCCGCAGCGGCACCCCCAGCACCGACATTGATACATCCTTCTTCGCAGATCTCGACATCAAGGGTTATGTAGCTGAGACAGGCAGGGGAACAGTGTCGGGAACAGCATCTGGTGCTGATTCAAACTTTGACTGGGTTGTTCATTGGTGCGCTTCTGCTCTAACCAATCGACCCTGCTAACCCGTGCAGGTACAATGACGACGCACAGTACTGGACATACACCTCGTCCGGTGGTAGCTTCACCTCTCCAGCCATGAAGCCCGGAACATACACCATGGTCTACTACCAAGGCGAGTACGCGGTTGCCGAAAGTTCCGTCACGGTCACCGCAGGCTCGAGCACCAGCAAGGACATTTCCGGATCAGTCTCGACAGGAACCACTATCTTCAAGATTGGCGACTGGGACGGACAGTACGTCCACCGTCCCCTATCTACACATAAACACATTTCTAACACTAGCGATGCAGGCCAACTGGTTTCCGCAACGCCGGAAACCAGCTCCGGATGCACCCATCCGACTCCCGAATGTCCTCCTGGGGCCCACTAACCTACACCGTGGGCAGTTCCTCCCTGACTGACTTTCCCATGGCGATCTTCAAGGACACCTACAGCCCCGTGACGATTAAGTTCACTGCAACGTCGTCTCAGACGGGAGCAGCGACGCTCCGCATCGGAACCACGCTGTCCTTTGCAGGAGGCCGTCCTCAAGCCACGGTACGGTCCCACCTGTTCTTTTCTGCTTCCCCGAGACTGATAAGATCCTACCAGATCAATTCTTACAAAGGATCTGCTCCATCTGCGCCTACAAATCTGAACTCTCGCGGGGTTACCCGTGGTGCATACAGAGGATACGGGGAGGTTTATGATGTGTCCATTCCATTGGGAACGATCGTGGAGGGCACGAATACGGTACGTTATTTGGTCACAGTGTCAGGAGCATGCTAATCATATATAGATCACGATCGATGTCATTTCTGGTAGTTCTGGAGATGAATTTTTGAGTCCGAACTTTGTAAGTGCATTCGCTACTATGATATAGGATGATGTTAGCTGACGAGAGGATGCAGATCTTTGACTGTGTGGAGCTTTTCCAGTGAGGATAGTATAACACCAATCGGAGAAACGGTTGTCCTATGCTTGCTAGTTCCATAGCATCATCTTTAATATTACCGGCAACGCCTATCAATAAACATCCCTAACCACCTATTCCATACAACAACAAAGTATCTATCCATCTATGCATGAACCACAGGTATCACGATCACGATCACGATCACCAGTCCAAATTAAATAACCTCCCTCCAGAGAGTAGAGTACTCCGCTCCACAAATCCAACCCCTAATCCCTAATTCCTAATTCCTCCCTCTGACCCTCCTCCCAACCATCCAAGCAACAACCCCCATCCCCACAACCCCCAAACCCACCTCCTCCACCCCTTCCCTTTACTTCCTCCCTCTCCCTCCCCAACAACCTCATGCACCAACTTCCCCTGCACCCACACCATCCTCACATTCCGATCATCCCCATTCCACACCCACTTATGCACCTTTTCAGTCCAACTCTCATCCCCAAACACATCGACCACGGAATTGACACCCCCGCGCTCTCCCCATCGTCCGGCGGGAGAAAACTTCCCTAGTTTGATCATCTGTGCGTCCCAGGACATGTTTCGGTCGAAACCGCCGATTTGGTCCGCCATGTCGACGACAGAGGCTCCGCCGCGGGTTGCGAGGTAGAGGGCTTCTTCGATGGAGAGGATTTCTCTCGGGACGCTACTGGTACCGGTGGGGGTGGGGGAGTCTGTGGTGGTGGTGGATGTAGTAGAGAACTGAGGTAGGAGGCGAGAGACGAGACATGCTTGTCTCACTGTCTCAAGTACACTAGAACTATATCCGCCACTTACATCCGTTCCGAGACCGACAGTGATCCCAGCGTCGAGGGCTTTACGGACCTGACAGATTCCCGATCCAAGAGCGGAGTTTGAGGCCGGACAATGAGATATCTTTGCGTTTCGGGACGCAATGAGGCTCCGTTCCGAGTCGGAGAGATGGATTCCGTGCGCGAGGATAGTTCTCGGTGTGAGGAGACCGAAGTGGTCGTAGACGGAGGTGTAGTCCTTTGACTCTGGGAAGAGGGAATGGACGAGGGCGCATTCATCCAGGTTTTCGGAGAGGTGGGTTTGGATGTGCATTGGGGGAGAAGTGGAGGTGGCGAGTTGGGCGAGACGGGATAGGGCAGGGCGGTGCAGGAGGGGCGAAGCGCGGGGTGATGATGGGGTGGATGAGGGAGGCGGAGGGGTCGATAGAGCGAATGTGGGCGATTGTGGATTCGGTGGCGGAGATGGAGGCCTCCGGAGAGGCGTCGCGGTAGTCGTCGGGGCATTGGGAGGAGTTGTCCATGCAGACACGGCCGATGAGGGCGCGTTGGCCGCGCGCGTGGCAGAGGGTGGAGAGGAGGTTGGTGGCGGGACGTGGATGGTTGCGAAGTATGAGGCGCAGGTGGTGCCGTTGGCGAGAGTGCGGGCGATGACTTGGTTGTACACCCGGTAGGCTTGGGGTGGGGGGATCGAGGGGAACTGAGTGCTACCGAAGGACTTTTCGATGGGGAAGGTGTAGGTTTGGAGCCAGGAGAGGAGGCCCGAGGAGCCGAAGAGGCCGCTGTTGGGGTATTGGGGGGCGTGGATGTGGGTGTCTGAGATGTTTTAGTACGAGTGTGTAAGGATGGGGGAGGGAGATGTACCGATGAAGCCGGGGAAGAAGAACTCGTTCTGGTCCTCGCGGGCAACGACGAGGGTTACTTTCACACCGAATTTGCTTTTGGTGGTGGTGGTGGTGTCGTTGATGGCGGTCCAGCCCTTGGTCTTGAGAAGGGCCTTGAGGTCCTTCTCGTTGGCAATGGACCAGTCGAAGCCTTTGATCTGGCCGTCGGTGTTGGAGACCCAGAGGGCGCCGCGGGTGATGGCCAGCTGGTGGTCCGCGCCGGTCTTGGTGCGGGGGAGCTGGATGAAGGTCCCCACGAAGAGGGTATAGGCGGGAGACATGGTGATGGGCGAGTGTTTAATCAGAGTCCGATGGGAGTAAATATAGACGAGTAGAGAGAAGGTTGGACTGCCAGCTAGGGGCAGTAAATGCAATGTCTGTGTTGCGGTCAGTATCTGGTGGAATGTGGGTAGATGGTGCACGTACGTGATCTCAATGCAGGTTCTTTACTCAGGGTGAATCAGCCATACGACTGCAGCGGTAATCGACCGTACTCCGTCCACTCGTTGAGGAAAGTGGGCGCTGCGATGGAGGACGCCTGAGGTCTTATACGGCGCGGCCAATGATGGCGCCCCGTTCGGTTCCGGGAGTGGCCCGGCCGGCTCCGATCCTGAATCCAGCCTAGCGTCTCGATAAGATATGGATTGCCTATCCGGGAAGCCAAGAGTTTGATCTGTTTGTGTGCATTTCCACTATTCCAGACAGCCAGTCAAGCTCTTATAGGAAGCTGACAAGGTACATCCTTGCCTTTAAATATGGCACTATAACATACAGCCATGGTGGTGCAGTACTCAGTAACCGCGCTTGATTTTATTGGTCATCGCCATAGCAGTACCGCAGTCTGCAGTCTGCAGCAATACTTTCATGCTAGATCCTGCACTAATCGCAGACACTAAAAATAGACTATCTCACGACCTTAACTAGATAGTATACCGGAAATCCGGGGACCCCTCAAGCACGCGCTCTCCACGATCGGCTTGCTTGTTCGCATAGCGGAACCACGCGCTCAGAACCGCTACGGTGAGTAAAGTGAAGAGGTTGCATCTGAATGACATTAGCTGAATGAAATAGAACTGGTCATCAAGAGACTCACGCAATCGTCGTCCATATGCCCGGTCGGTATTCCGGCGCATCCTTGGTCTGGAACACCAAACTGCTCACGATGCCACCAATGGCGCCAATGCCAATCAGCGTGGCGCTGCAGAAAGCACGCGTCCATTGGCCACGGATGTTGTTAGCTTGATACGCCATCACCGCGGGGATATTTCCATTTGACCCCGCCACCACCAGAAACACGCCCACGTATCGCACAGCATTGCCCTTGGCAAACCCCATCAGGGGCAGCCCGGCGATGCAAACCAACGAGTTGAAGGCCACAATCGGACCACGGATCCGATACCGATCACTCACCCACGCGGTCGCATACATAAAAATGCCCGCGAACCCATAAGGGGGCGCCACCAAACATTGAGCAGCCCCAGTGCTAAAGCCCATGCCATCCTGCAGGATGATGGGGAGAAAGTACGCGATCGCATATGCCACGGTTGTGGTGCATCTGCTGATGGTTAGCCTATGTGAGTATAGACGACATGAAGGAAACTGACAAGCAAATCAATGCATATGCCCAGATCTTCAGGTCAAGGGCTGGAGTCACAAAGCGCTTCAGATTGAATGGCTCCCCGTTACCATCAGCACGATCTCGGTTGATGCGTCGAACAATGAACGCACTTTCCCTCTCGCTCAGGAATTTCCAGGATTTGTGTGCTTTCTCCGGAAAGTCAACCATGAAGATAAAGGTCAGAACTCCGATGACACCGGTGATCTAGAATATCATCAATATCATGTCGCATTCAAGGAAGGGAATACATACCACGCCCTCCATGATGAAGATCCATCTCCAACCCGCCAGGCCCTGAAGGCCTCCCATCTGCATGAGCCCAAAGGCGAGTATACCAGCCAACGCAGATGCTACACAGCCGATCAGGTAGAAGACCGAGTATCGCTTTTGGATGTCATCTGGATGTCGTCAGTCAGGGCCAGTGAAAACGGGCCAGGGTAGCTTACACCGGACGTACCAACTTGACAGAAGGTACACGCAACCAGGAAAGTAGCCTGCAAAAGTCAATCGATGTAGTCCAAAGTATCAAGATCAGGTCAGACTCACCTGCTTCCAGTGCGCCAAGGAGAACGCGGATCGCGACCATTTGTTTCCAATTTTTGACAAACCCCATTCCCTAAGTAGATGTCAGGCCCTCGGATTCAGCGCAGGCTTAATAAGTTGAGCGAACTTACAACGAGTATTGCTCCCCACGATATGACGAGGCAGCCCAGAAACAACGTGGGGCCCACCTTTCGAATAATGACCGTCATCGGGGGTTGGAAGAGCACGTAGGGTATGAAGAAAACAAGGATCACGACGGACTAATCCTTATCAGCATATGCAACGCTTAACGCAGAAGGTGGAGAACACACATAGCGAGTCCCGACTCCAAGCTGAAGATCGTGGGTCATACTGCTCAGAGTCAATGACCAACTCGGCACAGCAGGGATAAAAGGGGGTTTACCCTGCAACTGCAGCCATGCTAAGATTTGTCCTGTCCATGAGAGAAATGCAGTATGCCAGACCCGCCATGGTCACCAAGCGGCGGTCAACACGATGGATGATCTTGCGCTGCTCGGCAGGCGTGAATTCCTCATCATAGTCCACATCATTGGTTGCGGGTTTGCCAATGTCTTCGATTCGCTCCACGCTGGGAGGCTTTTCGAGGTCTGCAGTCGACATGGTGAAGATCACGAACTATACCCGACGCGTACAAAATTAAATTGGCCAAGTGGGAGGAATCAGGAAAGGGGCGACTTGAGCTGGCGACCACGGATCATTATATGCTGCGTCGCACCCGCCATGGCGATACGTATCGCTGGACGAGCCCAGAGGCCTTTCCCCCGCGGTGCGTGGCGGACCTCAGCTGATGGACTGTTCGGCAATTGGGGGGATTTACCGAGCATCAGGAATACGGACGGGGTGATGATGGCCAACCATCTTGGCTGGAAACAAAGAGAAAAGAGGCATGATGAAAGACAATGATACGTGTTCTCCACAATTTCCCCAGGTTCAGGGATCCTTAAGGCAGATGCGGGGCGAGCTGTGATCGGATGCGGGGGAAAACCCACTCGGTCGGATGACTCCAGCTACTTCTTTCTCCTGCCTGATCCTCGACATCCCCTCGGCGCGCCGTCGGGGCGCAATCGGCGCGCAATCGGTCTGCGATGGGTCTTCTTACATACTGTCAGGACAATGATGTTCTCCATCTGCTTGTCTAGAAAGATTTAATCCTCGTATTTGGGCGCGTGGAGAACAGACAGCACTTCGCCAGGCCACTTGGCAATTTCGGCGCGAGCGTCTATGCGACCGGCAAGCCCGTACTGCTGGTCAATGAGCGACGTGGGATAGAGGCCGAAGTAGGGCCGCGATGATCGCATGATGGTCTGACCGGATTGGCGACAACACGGAAGCTTGTTTCGCACTCGTGGAGCGGAGATAAGGACGCGAACGAGGTTGGATACGAGTTTAAATGAGAGTTTCCACGGGGCTTTCAGTGGCCAGCCCAACGCCGTTCTGGGCCAGTCAGGAACGGGCTCCTCGTCGGGCCGGGCATTCCCCAGAGGCAGAGGCGATTTGCTCGACTTTCTTTGTTCTCAGCCCCCTAAATCCCCCGGACCCCAGAGCTAATGTGCGCTATTTTCCTGTTCCTCGGGTGGCTGGTATCTAGATAGACCATTCGCTGGTCTGTTTGGTCCAGCTGTTGCCTGCGCTGGCCAAGTGGACATCGCGTCCTGTCTCGCCCCGTATTTCGCGAGTATCCTGTACTTTTGATATCCGTTCCCAGGCATCATTGCTTCGATTGGGCCAGCGTATGACGCGAGAAACGCGAGGGAAAACGCCGCCTGGCTGGAATTGTCGGTGTAGGTGTCCCAGCATTGATGGATCAGGGCGCGATTGGTTGAGGAGTATGCACCATCCCAGGTGATTGGTGCGTTCAGGGAATCGGAAATTTGTCAATCGTGGAATAATGCGGTCCATGCGGGGTGTCTAAGCTTTGGCATCGACATGGTGGCAAGCACAAATCTGTTGAGACGGTTGGACCTCTGCTTGACTCGAGGCAGGTCGATCACCTGACGGCCCGGTGTATATTGCATCTTCCTGCACGATATCATCATCCCCTACCGGACAATTGACGTGCTATCTTGAAGATCTACAACGTCTTTCAGGCCTTTCAAGGCTAAATCCCCTCATAGTAGCTTTCAAACCTGATTCCCTGATGAAATCACACCAGTGGTGTTGAAGATAGTCTCAATTTGATGAATCTTGATGAGGTCATCGAGGTTTCGGTGGACTCTCCTTTGACAAGATATCTCTGCGTCCCAAAGATGTTGCTAAGGCAACCATTCCTGAAGAGCGAACACACATTATTCTCAAAAAGGACTCCCTCGAGCACCATGATCTAAATACCTTTCCGCGCCTTGGCGGTTTTAGGTCTTCCTTCAAGGCCAGGAAAAGTTTCAAAGCTGATGATAGCATCTATTTATAGTTCGTTCATCGAGTGCGGCCTCAACGCTGTTTATCTGCTTAGTCGGCTGTGCTGGGTAATCTGAGAGGTATATAACTCTGTTCGCTACACAGTAGCTATCAAGTAACCTGGAAGTGCCCCTCCAGCTTCGGTAGTGGTACGGCAGACTGCCACCCAGCGATAGTGGGCGACTTTTCCACCAAGTCAGCCCAGTTGGCAACACGAATGCCAGTAATATGGTGAAAACGGTCAGGCAGCTTATCGAAACCCAGTAGGTCTACCATGCTACATCGCTCGGAACCTGGTTCATACCATAACAGCCCTGTTCTCAATTAGTGCTGTAGAGTCACCTAACTAGCGCAACTGACCGTGATGAGTGTCACTGGAAGGTAAATCTAGACTGGTCAGTGCCCATAACCTGCTTTTGCAAGACCGCGATCAGCCCACAACTTACAATCGTAATATAAGTTAGTATTTCAATATTATTGCCTTGACGTGTCGCGGTCATGCTCTCTGAGAGTGCCGATGCATTTACCAACTGATATAGTCAGATTAGACATTTTACTTGGAGACAACAGACCTACGGCATCGGACATCTTCTCAACGGACTCAATCCGTTGCTCAAATGTCATGTGCAGTGCCCGCAGCTCTGCTATTTTCCCCCGCATCAGGGAGAACTTCTCCCGAAATTTGTCTGCTAGGGCGCCAGGCAGATCTAGGTCAAAACACGAGCTCTGTTCCGTATCAAAAGCATGCCACGCTGCGATCAGCTTGGCCAAAGAATTACGCAGGCATCGTAGGATGCACAATGTCCATGTACGTTGCTTGGTTTGCTCAAGCCCAGGGTCTTTCTCTATGAACGTGGGCAAGGAATCTCCATCGATTTCGCTCTAAACCTCAGGTTAGCAGGTTCCTCAATCTGCTTTCAGAATTGTGGCGCAATAGAGCTCACATATGGATCCAAATCCTTCTCTAACGCTTGCACTAGAGCTGTCCACTCCATCGTTACTTGGCTTAGACGGACAGAGAATACTGTCAGAAAGTAGTACCGTGGCTCCCAAATGGGAGCTTCCCGTGCCACAGAACCACCTGATGGTGCATCCAGGTTATTCTGCAAGTAACGGTCAATCGATTCCTGGTAGCTGCCATACGCATCCAAGAAACAATAGGCTTTCCAAAAGAATTCATTGCTGCCAAAAACTCCAAATGATATCTGTGCTTCGAAGATACATGTTCGAGGACCACTCCTTAGACTCGGGGGTTAAATACAGCGGCATTTGCGCAACCCTCTCGGGTCATCTCTGGCCATCGGATCTATACGGAGTACAAAATAAGGAAGCTGAAACTCAAGTACAAAACCACGGGACTGATAAAGTCAGTGTGACTTCTCCCTTGGGCTCAAAAAGGAAATCAGACCTGTAGAACGTTGATATATGGATTAAAATCAATGTACCTAGCAAAAAAAGACCGGACTTCGGGTAGGTGCGTGTATGTGGCATTTTTGATCACGGACAAGGCTGTTGATGAAGTTATATTGATAGCAAATCTGTATCGACAGAGTTAATTCATCTTCAAGAACTAATAGGGTTTTTAGGGGTAACTCGGGAGCCACAAACAGTATTCTTCTCTCTGCTTTCCCTACTCTCTACAAACCCCGATTGTCAGTAGAGGGAATGAAGAGAGAATAAAGGAAGGTTAAAAGGAGGGATAAGGTCAATTCAAATGACAAAAAGTGGATCAGGGCCTCACATCCTGCTTTAGATGGTTATAGAGATCGCCAACTTTGAGCGCTTGAACATTGACATGAAGCCCTGGGGGGGGGGGGGGTTGTTCAAATATTGAGCAGATTCCCATGCTCGTCCGTAGTGAATCTTTCTATGCCCTGACATTGCGACAATAGGCGTGGGTCACAACGATCGTCAACAATCGCGACGTCTTCAACAGCTGACGAGACTGGAAACAACTTTTTTGCATTTTCTAGAAATGCCCGGAGGACACGATAACGCCCCGGAGGTTCCAAGTCCAACTTTCCATATTCCAGGAAGGCATCGATTTCCGATTTATTGGGTGCAATTCGTAGCCGCTGGTCTTCATCCGGGTAAAGCTCTGGTTGGCGTAGCAAGAACTTCTTATTCCATCGAAAATTATTATGTACTGCTGGCTGGGTTGCTGATAGCCACAATTGTTCCATATTGGCATTTAATCATTAAACTGACGAACACAATAAGATCGGGGCGATGAATGTTTTTTTCTTCGAAGAGCCGGCCCGCGATAGATACTGAGCCAGTCAGCCTAAGCGCCTGCCACGTCGCGACGCCGCAAGGCTGAACGCACGATGCGCCAATAAACAGGAGGGTAGTCTAGGATCATAAGTACTAGTACTATTGGAATGATTAAGCGGCTAATGAGGAATGTGATTGGCCAAAGTTTAGACATTCTTCATAGTGCTATGATAGGCGCAACCATGGAACCGTCAACTGCCAAGCTCTGCATGTAGGTGTCAGGACTTTGTCATTGCTTAAGGATATCTGGTATCTGCTTCAGAAGGGAGAACTGATGTAGTAGGACCAAGCACATGAACGTGCTGTGATAAAAAACGATTTATTGGAATGCGAAGTGGGGAACTGGAGCATGGAGGTGTCAGGAACGGGAGCGTTGTGCGCTGGGGGGATCCAGACCACCACTGCTGCGGAGGAAGGTGTCACCCCAAATATTCCCACAGAGTCCACGGACAACCTACGCTTATCCACTTGGCACATTTGTCACCGCGTCAAAGCAAAGATAAGAAAAGGGCCCACTATTCCGCTTTACCTTGTCCAAAAACCTGGTTTTTCGCTTCCCGTTGGGTAAGGAGGTGGCGAAGGGGGTTGTAACATCCAGAAGTTTCGACTCGCGCCGGAACCACCTCTTAATTCCTCCAACCACCCACCGATCCAGCCATCCCACGACCCTGTCTTCCCCTGACAAGCCTTCCATCGGGAACGTACCATGTCTTTGGTACAGCACGTTTCTGTGATTGAGGGAGTGGATCGCGAACCCGATCCCCAGGATGACAGCACAATCGCAACCGCCGTGATGGGCGAGCCATGCGCTCTCGTCCGCCGCAAGATCAGTTACGACGTCCTCCAGCCTCAACCTGTCCCGATTGACAGTTCCGGAACCCCTGCCTATAAGGTCTCGACTGCCAAGCGAATTGGTGGGTCAATTGAGTTGATGGGAGTGTATCGTGCTTTTCTAATTTCTCACAGCTCAGGTTGTTGTCACCATTCTGGCATGCTGGTTCGCAGCAGGGATCGTGTTTGGATTCGCGGCCCTGAAACCAGTCCTAGTCGCAGAAGGTGTATATCGAGAGCTGTGCACGGAGGAGGAATTGCACAATGGTGTAGAAGTCTGTGCTGAGCAGGATCTCAGGTGTGTGTCTTGTGGTTAATTCAGCCGAACCGCCTTTAACCTCGGCAGATTGAACCTATTCTTTACCATCGGCTCCATCACCGCCAATGTGTCTGCCCTCCCGGTCGGGACTCTTCTAGATCGCTATGGGTCGCGTATATGTGGCTTTGCGGGTTGCCTGCTCCTTGCGCTTGGTAGCTCGTTGATGGCATATTCCTTTTCCCAGCCCCAATTCGATGGATATATGGCTGGGAACTTCTTACTCGCTCTGGGGGGTACTTGCATATTTGTGCCCTCTTTCCAGATCGCTTATGCCTTTCCCAAGTACGCAGGCACCATTGTTGCTCTTGTTACTGGCGCCTTTGATGCTTCTGCAGCGGTGTACTTGTTTTACCGTCTTCTTTATGAGGCGACTGATCGCTCGTTCCATCCTGGAAAGTTTTTTCTGGGGTATCTCTTAGTGCCTGGCTTCATTTTCATCGCTTTGTTTACGCTCATGCCGTCTCATGACTACCAGGGCACATATCAACTTGAAGTCAAAATTGAGAGGGCCGAGGATGCCACCCGTGATGTGCACGATTCGGACGATGAGATCGAAAGTGACACGGAGCTGCGACGAATCAGACGGCAGCGCGCTGAACGACGCCGTAAGAAGCTGTATAAAATCGCTAAAGTCTTAGGAAACAAGGGAGAGCGACAAGAACGTGAGCAACGCGAAGAGGATCGTCAGGTTGCGAGCGCCGTCTGGGGCGCGCTGCACGGCCAACCTGCGTACAAGCAGATGGCCACACCCTGGTTTATCTTGATCACCCTGATGACGGTCTTGCAGATGCTGCGTATGAACTACTTCATTGCCACGATTCGCGCCCAGTACGGGTATATGCTGGACTCGGATGCATTGGCCGTCCAGATCAACAGCTTCTTTGACATTGCTCTCCCTGTGGGAGGGATCATTTCCACGCCATTCATCGGGCTGCTGCTTGATCGCGTCAGCGTGCCCACAATACTGGCTATTATCGTGGCCCTGACAACGGTGATTGGTATTCTAAATTCGATCCCAGTCTTGTGGACGGGATATGTAACAGTGGCATTGTTTGTTCTGCTGCGGCCACTCTACTATTCCGCCATGTCGTAAGTGTCTTCCCTGTGACTGATTTGAGTAATCGTTAACTGTGTCTGTTTGATTAGAGACTATGCCACCAAGGTATTCGGGTTTGCCACCTTTGGACGCGTCTATGGAACCATCATCTGCTTTTCGGGGCTGGTGAACTTTTCACAGTATGGCCTAGATGCACTAACTCATGGTCCGTTCGGAGGGAATCCCCTTCCCATCAACATCTTCTTTGCTGGGGCCGGCTTCGTAGTGGGGACGGTGCTGGTGTCCTTTGTGTACATTGCGGGAAAGCGGATGAGGGAGCAGGAGCAAGAGATGGAAGAAGATGAAGAAAGGCAGAGATTGATTTTGGAGGGAAGCGAGGATGAAGACGATGAGTACTGACATGTAGGTTTTGTCTGTCGATGATGTTGCAAGGTGCATACGGTGTTTTTTTTTCTTTTCATCTGAGGATGATGTTTCCAAAGGCGTTTGTTTACATTGTTAATGAGGGTAGGTAGCAGTGTTGTTGATATTGATAGTCTGATAAAGATAGGTAGAAAGCCACAGCAGCATGATGAAGCAAGTAATGATAATCGTGACTATGAGGATAATGATCGGATGAAAGAACAACACGGCCTCTCTTGTAGTTGAGATCGGATCCGGGACTCCAGGTCCCGGTTCCGTCCTTCGATACTTCCCAGAGTGATCTTCTGTTCCATCTTGAATTCTACATTACTGCCAGAATATGGCCAGCACATACACAGTTATCTATTTGCTTCTTGAACCCAACAATTTCTCTTCTTTGTTTCTATACACTATGTTCTTTTCATTCTCACTACTTACTACATACACAAAGCAGATGAGTGAGGCATCTCGAGTGGTACGTAACCATCCAGGGTCCGGTCACTCTCCATGCATTCGTCCCCCGCACCACTCAGCACCCAGCACATCCACCTGCACCACCACCACCACCACCTCCAATCCCATCTGCATTAGCGGCAGAGATATCCGCCTGACCTGGATCAGCCCACGTCAGATGCATGTCTTGTCACTGTGCCGTTCCTTGTGCAGCCCTGCCCTGTCCGCAGCGTCATGATGACGTAGCCGCCCGTCATGCCCGCCGCGGCTCCACTCTCATACTAGCAATTATCTACACTCGACGCACCCGTCGCATGCTTTTTCCACTCTTGAGCCAGACCATATTCTCGCTATTCCTCTGAATAGAACCTTAATTACCTCCACAGACATGGCCTCCATATCCATAAGCGCCCCCGGCACAGGCGGGTTCATCTACAACAATGCCAACCTGGGCACGTCGCGGCTCTGCATCTCCGCCGAGACCCCGGACTTCGACACACAAACTCTCCGCGCGTGGTCGGACGAGGGCTTCGATGTGGTATATGCTCCGTTTAACAATGGGGGGAAGGAGTACGAAGCTCGATTGAAGTCTGTCAAAGATGGTTTGGGTGTAGGGGATAATTATGCAGTTGTTGGTGAGTTGATGCCACTGTTGATTGGTCATGATTGTGGAGGTTAATGAGAATGGTAGCTTTTGGTGACGCCGCGTCTTATTGTCTGGAATATTACCGTAAATCTACCAACTGCAGTCGTCTCTGCGCCCTCATCGCTTACTATCCCACCACTATCCCCGACACGCGATCGCGATTCCCGTTCTCGGTGCGAGTATTGACCCATCTGGCGGGAGACACGGTGGACGTGGTGACCATTCCCACAGTGATCGGACTGCAGGGAAAGAAACACCGCTCGACGAGACAGATCAACCCGGGAATCGGAACTGGGGAAAGGCTGCAAATCGGGTGGCCGGCGTTCACGTACGAGTCGGTACAGCCTGGATTTGCTGAACATGATCTAGAAGAGTATGATCGGTTGGCGTCGGACCTGGCGTGGAGTCGCACGTTGGGGGTGCTGCGGAAGGCGTTTGGGAAGGACCTGGATCTGGAGGCACGATGGGAGGACCTTATGGAGGGTGAGTTTATTCCTCGACTGTCAGAAGGTTGCTAATTGTTCCAGCACGCTTCTTTTCCATGAACCTTTCTTCCACCATGGAACCATACCTAACCCATCTTCACCCTACACTCACATGCACGCCCACGATGAGCGGTGCCATCGGAACCAATGCGCTGCGTCGTTTCTACGAGCAACACTTCCTGCGCAAGTTGCCTCCGTCCATGCGCTTGCGCCTGATTTCTCGGACTGCTGGAGCGGATCGCATTGTCGATGAGCTTTACGCATCGTTCGAGCATACCCAGGAGATCCCGTGGATGCTTCCCGGTGTTCCTCCCACGAATCGACGAGTAGAGGTTGTCCTGATTAGCATTATGAGTCTGCGCGCCGGCAGACTGTACTCGGAGCATATGTACTGGGACCAGGCCAGCGTGCTGGTCCAGGTGGGACTGCTGGACCCGAAACTGGTCCCCGAGGGTGCACCGGAGGGCGTGGATCGGCTGCCGGTTATTGGACGCGAGGCCGCTCGAAGAATCGTCGAGGAGGATCCTGAGGCAGAGGGCCGGGACTACCACAATCGGCTGATCCGACGGGCCAGGGCCAAGAAGGGCAAGGACAAGGCTCCGGCAGAGGAGTCAGGCACAGAACTCGCCAAGAGTGATGCCGAGAAGCCAGTGGGTGAGAGCAAGGGCAAGAATGTCCAGCGAAATGGACAACAGAATGGCAAGGATACCGACGGACTAGGCAATGATCACAACGGGGTAGGCCAGGAAGAGAAGGAAGGAGAGGAAGAGAAAGATGGAAACGGAGTCGAGCACCAGAAGGGCGAAGCAAAGACCCCGAACCCGGCGGCTGCCACAGTCGAAGACACGAAAAGCGATGATTGAATGCTTTTGCCGGTGATTTTCTATACCCTTGATATCCTTGCGATCTATATAGTGTGCCTTGCAACGTTCGTACCAGCGCCAGTATTCCATAATGACCCCTGTCTATAGCAGTATCAATCCATATCTCTATATAGTATTCATGAACTCTACCACCCCTTCCATGGCACCCACGTCTCCCTAACCACATCCTCCTCATCCACAACATAATACACAAAATGCGCCGCAGCCGTAATACACGCATGCTGACAATACAGCATCACCTTCTGACCAACCCGAAACACTTCCTCCACCTTCTCGGGTCCCTCCGTATCCTTCCCACTGAGTCCAAGAATCCCATGCTCTTGCGACATCCTCGCCACAGACCACTCCGCACGATCCACCACGCGTCCAAATCCGGGGACCTCGCTCGTCTCTTTCGACAGCGCCACCGTACCAGCATTTATCAACGCCTCGTTCCGTCCCGGATACACACTGCACACTTCTGCCAGGATGCGTAGCGCCTGCTCCTCCTCTTTGACTATCCCTGTACATACCTGCTGGAGATCATTCGAGGGGTAGTTTCCTGTATACATTACACACTCATTAGCCTTTCCAGAACAAAGGTGAAGAAAAGGAAAGGTGAAAAACAAACCAGCATGAACCTCCACCTCCACCTCCACCTCCACCTCCACCCCACCATTCAAAAACCCCCTAACCTCCCGAACCACATGCGCCGTGGGCGTAGACCCCACACTCACCACCACTTTTCTCTTCCCCTGAATAAACCTCACAGCCTCCAAAACCCCCCTAACCTCCTCCCCGAGCACCGTCTTCACCTCCTCCTCCCTCCGACACGCATACGAATGTCCCGCATGACAATAAAACCCATACAATTCCACCGCCTTCGATCCCTCAACTCGTCTGACGAGAGCAGGTAATTCATCCGAGGAAAGTTCCACGCCTGCGCGATGCGAGCCGACGTCGATTTTGATGAAGACGGGCCAGGCGGCGATATTTCTCGTGGGGTTTGCAGCGGCGTAGGATTCGAGAATGTCGATGTGTTGGGGGGAGTCGATCATGAGGAGGAGTTTTAGGGTGGGTGTTGTGGTGAGGATGTGCTGGAGGTGGGGGAGGGCGGAGGGGTAGATTGGGAGGCCGTAGAGGGCCTAGATTGATATCAGATATCTTTTTAGTAGGGGTTGGTTTGGTGAGGAGGGGAGGGGTACCTCATCGAGAATACCCTCTTTTGCGAGGGGGAGGACGCCTCGGAGTTCGCTGAGTGTGGAGGCTACGATGCGGCGGTGGGTGCCGTTGGCGAGCATGAGGCGGGTGAGTTCGAGGGACTTTTGGAGTTTGGTTTAGTTAGTGTATGGGGTTGATGTTGGGTGGAAGGAGGGAATGGGGGAAGGGAAGGGTATACTTTGAGGGTTTTCACGTGTGGACGAAATGATAAGCGCAGATCTTTCACATCTTGGAGGAGCTGGTTGATGTTTTTCTCGAGGGTCGGTTTGCTGAGGATTAGAGAGGGGGTGGGGAGGTCGGTGGCCGGACGGCCGATGAAGGACTCGTGGTGTTGAAGGGAGAAGTCCATTGTCTACTAGGTTGTCAAGTCAGGGTTCGGGGTCTAGAATAAGAGGGTTGATTGCAAGGGTGTGCCTGGGAAGGGAGGTTATATATACATAAGTATGGTCTATGACAGGCATATGGTATGTATGAGGGGCCGCGGGGATTCCCGCGGCCCCGCAAGAGATGATACGAGGTCGGATCTACTCCGTACTCCGTCACGATAAAATCACAGTAAATTCGTCTATGGATATCAAGTGCTAAATCATACTATACAGTCTCAATGTATCGCTTAAATTCCCTATAACACTGTTAGCATATGTCAATTGCGTATAAAGTGGATGCCATACCAATCAGTCACCGCCTCCCGCCAAACCCGCAATTCGTGTTCGCGCGTCGCGGTGAAAAACTCCACAAACTCGGGGTCTAGAATCTCCCGCGCAATGCTGTCCGCCGCGTTGAACCGCCGCAGCGCCTCCTCCAGCGTGTTTGGCAGCAGAGCCGCCTTGGTGTTGGTCGATTTGAGCGCGGACACCGGAGGCACCGTGATCTCCAACTTCTTCTCCACACCCCGCCAGCCAGCAGCAAGGATCACGCTAAGCGCGTAGTGGGGATGCAAGTCCGCGCCCGGGATGCGCACTTCGAACCGCGTCGCGCCCGGCTTGCACACTGGCGGTGTGATAATGCGGACCGACGCCATGCGGTCCTCTAGACCCCAGCTGATGTTGACCGGGGCCCAGAAGTTCTCCACCAGGCGCTTGTAGGAGTTGATTGTGGGGGCGAACAGCGGCATGATGTCAGGAAGCGCTTCCAGCACACCCGCGAGGAACTGGCGGCCCAGGTCCGACAGTCCTGCTGCATCGGGCCACGGGGCGTTGGTGTCGGGGGTGTCTCGTGCGAAGAGGTTCTTCCCCTCCAAGTCGCAGAGCGAGACGTGGATGTGTCCGGAGCTACCGGGCTGGCCTTGCATGGGCTTGGCCATGAAGCAGGGGGTGATGCCGTGTTCTACGCCTATCGACTTGGCCAGGAGTCTGTTTCGTTAGCTTGGTTCGAAACTGCAATGGGGTCACATACTTGAACAAGGAAACCTTGTCGGCCATCTCGCTGACGCCGCATACTTTCAGAGCCTGTCTTTATGAGCGCAGTCCATACCCTCGGTCCAGGCAACTCACCGCTTCGTATACACCCGGTCCGCCTTCAGTGTGCCACCCCTCAATGCCACAGTCAAACCGCGCGCTGGTATCGAAGATGTCGTAGAAATATTTCTTGAATGCCACCGGTCGCGTCGCGCTGTAGGAGAAGCTGCCTGCAGTCAAAGGGCGCAGCGCGCCAGGGGCGTTCTTATCGAGAAAGGCGGCGATGTCGCGGGTCTGTGAGGCGTTTGCACCGTATCCGTCTTCGGAGGGGGTCTGAAAATTCATAAACTCCAATTCCACTACAAATGTTAGCCTCACCCAAGAACAAAAGCATTGAGCTTACCTCCAGCCATTCCCTGGCAGTTATTGGCAGACAACTTGTCGCATATCGACTTCAACATGCTCCGGCCATCCGCAGAGACGGGCTTGTCATTCTGAACGAAACGGACCAGGAAGAAGGGAATGTCATCTTCCCAAGGGATGCGACGGAACGAGTTCAGGTCCGGAACGGCAAGAAAGTCCACGTATCCCGAGTCTGCCGGCGCAATCTTCGCATCCGTAGTGTAGAGCACGTCCTGCATGTCCCAACCAAAGACGGCGGAGCTGAATCCGAATCCCTTCTGCACGATGCCCAGGAACTTCTCCTTTGACATTACCTTTCCGCGGAGGATGCCATCGCAGTCGATGCCAGCGACTTTGACTTTGATGTCATTGGCGAGGAGGGTGGGGATTTCCTCTGCCGTAATATTTGAGGGTGCCATTTTGTGTGAAGTTAGAGTTGAATGAGGGTCAAAGTCAGGAAAAAGGCAAATTGCGACGAGAGACGCCTTTAAAGACAGTCAGGAGCAGGCTAGCCAACTTATCGCCATGATTATGACGGAATAGCGCCATTGCGACGATACCGACGGTCGGAGACCGATCTAATCGTAGCTAATGGAAACCGAATGAACCTCTAAAAGTGGTCGAGTTGGAGAAGCTTTGGACCGCGCTGGCGGTTCCGCCCCGGAGCGCGCTGCGGGGAACCGAAGCGCGCTTATCGATAAGACATCGAGGGGCATGAGGGGTACCCGCGATGTAGTATCAAACGACAAGGTTTCCTCCATCCGCGGTCAATTATCACAACAACCAAACAATGGGATGCCGCAGCTCGGAAAATTGTCTACGTGGCTAGGCGAGCACTAATTAGAATGTAACGTATGTTTGCCCGGGGACATATAGATAGAAAATGTGGAAAGGCATGCAGAGTTTTTGAATTATTCTGAGAAAGTTGCGTAACCGAACCCTCTGGAAGCATGCATGGTCGTTGACCTCTCTCAATAGCAAGCTATCATTGTCGATGAAGTATTATATGTTGAACTGTGGTGTTAGTTGATAGTGCTTGCAGATAATGTATGGTAGAGTGGATGAAGCCTAGAATGGTAAACCAAGATCACTTTGACTGATACCGAACGGTTTCCAGTGTTTCAATAAAAGTATTGATTAGGGACACAAATGGGCTGTGAGAACGGTCTCTTACTGTACCCGCCTTGTTGTTCACCACATAATACACGACTTGTCTCGCTACCATCTCCTCTGTTATGCGAGAAAGAAACTTCGATGCGACAAGAGGCTTGCTCAATATCAGTGAGAGATTCGCTCGTACATCACTCACCTCGGAATTTGCCTGAACGCCCATCCTATTGATTCTAGGGGGTGGCTCACGAGTCAACATCATATCACCGAGGAAACAACAATCCTTCATTTTCTGGAGCAGACGGCAATCAGTGCAAAAAGAGAATATGTGACGTATGTAAGTCGAAGGAAAGCGAGGCTGTACGATCGGACTGTCCATCTTGCATATGTATCCTTCTGACTGTAAACTCTCCTGAGTTAACTGTTTCCATGGAATACCTTAATTTCCTCGGTTACCTCTTTACCTTCCCTCCACGGGACGTGAAGCCCGTCAATGTTGGGAGTAGCGCGACTCTGACAAGGTACCCTACTTCAACCATACCTCAAAGCCTACCAAGCTATTGACTATTGAAGACTGACAAGTAAAGCCGTGAAACCGGTTAAACAAAGCCCAGGTACCCCTTGAACCCGACGGGTGTGTGACTAAACACAAGCTGCACGATTCGCGAGACCTGATCAGAAAGGGCGCTCTATTAGTCTACGATCCCCACGATTACGCAGGCGTTGACATCGGACCAAGAATTGAGATTAACGCATTGGAGAATGACAAGTGGACTTGCACTTGTACTTGTTTCCGGGTCCCCTGTCGGGCTCACTTGGGGTGGAGGCCGCCCTGAATTGGTTAATCGCGTCGGGGACCATTTGTCGGACATATTGCTGGTAGTATTTGAAGTACTCCTCAGGCAGTCAAACGCCTGTGGTGTGTGGGTGGGCTCGCTAGTCCTATTTAGATATGACACTTATTTCAGCAAGCTCGGGGAGTTATATCCGGTGAAGCGTCGAAGGCTTGATCTAGAACTTACTGACTGTGAAGGCAACAAGGAGGACTTGAACGTTCTTATGATACGTTTACTTACTCATATGCTATGAGAGATATAAGTTCTGTAGTTGCAAATTGCCATCAGGCGCCAGAATAACAATGAATCATGATATGGTCTCGGCCTCTGGGTTTTGTAGAGCAACAGGATATCAAGTCGTGTGCGGTTCGTGGCTTCTTGGGTTGTTTGGGGTGTGGATCTCAGGAAGAGAAGATTCTATAGAAAGAGGCCATGAAGGGTCTGGTGATGTGCCTGGGTATAAGTAGTGAATGCCCCCCACATAGTCTTCGATGATTTGGAGGTGTTGTCTTTAAGCAAAATTTTCCTTCCCCCATTCACTTCTTTATTTTCCCTGCCACTGCTCTGTTTCCTTCGACTTTTGTCGCCCTCCCTTTCCCAACCTTCCTCCAACAACAACAACCACCATCACCGCCACCACCATCACCTTCACCATTACCATCACCATCACCATCACCATCACCATCACCATCACCATCACCATCACCATCACCATCACCATCACCATCACCATCACCATCACCATCACCATCACCATCACCATCACCATCACCATCACCGTCATCTTCACCGTCATCTTCACCGTCATCTTCATCCTTTGCTTTCTTTCTGTCCCTCGCGTTTTAAACGCGCTATCTGACATCCTTGGTACGTTCACCTCACATCCATAAACGACCTAATTTTTGTTAACGAGAGACAAAAGACTGTCGGCACTTCTTTCACGCGGCCCCTCGTTCTTCTCCCATACCCTGGCATTTGCCTTGGGACACGGCCTCGGCTGGTTCCACTGAAGCATCTGTCTCCTTCTCCTCGTTCTTCTCCCTCACCCTAGCATTTGCCTCGGAACACGGCCTCGGCTGGTTCTGTTAAAGCATCTGTCACCCTCTCTGTGCTTTTCTCGCCAATCTTCGGTCTTTGCCAAAGGGATACGGCTTATAGCTGATTCCCTTACAACATAGCCAGAAAGGAAATGTCGCGTCTCTTCAACAAGGCAGGCTCTTTCGTGAAATTATCAGTCAAGGCCATCAAATATCATGGCTTTGATGAAGACATCGCGATGGCCAACCAAATCGTGACTGATCCTGCAATCAGTCTGTCCCTGTCTTCGTCATTCCTGAAGGTCCGCCAGGGTGTCTCTAAGAACGACGGGCGTGAATACTCTTACTAGAGTGTCACTTTTCACATTGCTCAAATGACAATCGTCTCACTTGACAAGAATAAAGACGAGCTCGTCTACACCTTCAAGTCCGACTCCGACATCAAGGGCGAAGCCGAAACTGCTAACCGGAGCGTTCTCCCAGAGCCAAGTAAGTACCCACTTGCATTGGTAAGACTGCTCAACAAGGTAATTGTTATTACCATGGGTTTGCCATACCACAAGATTTGGGGAAAGCATGCCGATCTGATTTGCCAGGCCCTGGAGGGCGGCAGACTCTCCCTTTCTCAAGGGGAAAATGAATACATCAAGCTCAACCACACAGCCATAAACGAGGAGGCCAAGGAAGAGAACAAGTGCCTGGCTGAGCGCGGATGCAAAGTAAAGGCAGTCGCAGTTGCGGACTGGATTCTCCTGGGAATTTGGCCTCAGGAAGATCGTCCGTTTCGCCTCTACCGAGGCTGCACCTTGGTTCTGCGTGGGAAGAAATTTTTCGACAAGGAACAGGCCAAGGGTTATATGATTCCCGGTGAGAAGGGGGCTCCGGAAGACTGGATGGCCTCAGTGACTGGAGAATCTCTAAAATGGAGATCCTTGATCGATGCTCCTGTGCAGGCCATTCTGAAAAACAATGTCGACACAAAGCTTGTCGATCAAATCCAGGAGGACGACGCTAAGGTCCATCCTGTGTCCAACCATGTGGTCCAGATCGCGATGCTGCAAGCGACGAGGAAGCTCTCCGAACATTGGGGCGAAGAAAACTTCGACATAATGTGTCAAGAGTTTGAAGCGCATGGCGCTACAATCCCCAGTGGAAGTAATAAAAAGCTTCCACTGGCCTCCATGTTCCTCGCCTCTACCCCGCGAGTGAACACACATGATCCTTTGATCAGCTCCCCCACGGATCTCAGTACCCTTGTGCCGACGAAAAAGTGGGGTCTCAACGAAGCACAGCTCCAGGCAACTACCCAGTTGCTTACACACTCTTTCTCCCTCGTGGTTGGACCTCCGGGTACAGGCAAAACGCGAACGATTGCAGCAGCCACAATGTTTATTACGCAGGTCCTGCGCCATGAGTCGGTTAGGAAAGGCCTTAATGGTCGTCCTAGTACCCACTCACGCAGCAGGTGCCGCTGTAATGTCTCAATTGGCCGGTGCATTTGATCATTTTAAGTATGGCCTTGAAAAGCTCATGCGTCTCCGGAGCAGAGCCGATTCCGAAGAGCGTCTTTTTGGTGGAACGACCGAACGTTATGACGATGTTGAGAAAATAATCGCTCTCGCCAAGGAAACTCCTAATAAATACCGTCAGTTCCTCCAGAGAATTGATAGCCTCAAGATTTCCGGCCGGGTGAAAAACGCCTTTGAGGAGTTCAACCAGCAACGGCGCGAGCTTATCAAAGCCGTTATGCGAGACGTTCGTGTTGTGGTCACCCTGCCACTAAATTGCAAGGAGATGCTCCGACGCGAATTCAACCCCCAATTCGTCATATTTGACGAAGCAAGTTTCTTCCGCGACCCGGAAATTTTCAGCGTCCTTGGTCAACTAAGAGCGGACGCCCGGGTGCTCTTCGTTGGTGACCACAAGCAGTTGTCACCCCCAATTTTCACTCGTCCTGGTCAGACGGCACGGGCTAAATCAGCCTTCGAGCGTCTGGTGGACAAGAAATACCATCAAACGCTCCTAAATATCTCGTACAGGTCTCACCATATCATATACCACTCGACCTCAGCGGCCTATTACAAGGGCAAAGTCCGCACAGTCCGCGACAGGCCCTCCACCAACGTTTGCCAGGAAAATCCTCTGCTGGTCACGTTGGGCAATGAAACCTGGACTCTGCCAGGCCTATCCCACTTCCTCCATCTCGCGCATGTCAGCAATGACACCAAGAAGGATTTCTCTGGATCCTTGTACCACCCGCGGGAAGCCGAGCTGGGGATCGCATTGGCTCGAAGCCTCATTGACAGAGGGTTTCGCGATGTCCTTATTATATCACCATATAAGGCCCAGGTTGCCTTGGTGAAGAAATTATGGGAGCAGAGGTATCCCAACGCAATGCCAATCCCGAGAGCCCAGACCGTTGACGCTTCCCAAGGGTCAGAAGCTCCGGCCGTGATCGTCCTGATCACGCGCAATTTTGGCTCCGCCGGCTTCCTCCAATCGACAAAGCGGACCAATCTCATGCTGTCTAGAGCTCGCACTGCCCAGTATGTTGTGGGGAATTGGGCCTGGGTTGGCGGTAAGAGCTTCAAAGATGGGGGCAAATTCCACGCCTACTCAGATGACGCGGATAAGGTCTTGGACAAGCGGACTGAATACTCCGTCTCTCCAAAATTAGTCTAGATGATGCTTTGCGCAAGTCCACCGCCATGGGTTCGGTAGGAAAGGCCTTGATGGTCATCCTAGTGCCGACCCATGCAGCAGGTAGGACGCGAGGGTTATTGGAACTGGGGGGAAGAGAGACATACAAAGTGTATTTATACATCTTCGGTGACACATTAATCAATTGTTTACAATCCTAGTTACTTCCCAATCTTGAAATTATATGTCGGCACGTCTTTTAGAGATGTCCTTGTCAATCAGTGCTCCCCTATTCACGCCATACTATTGGCGCTATGTGGGAAGATAGTATTATTGCAGGTGATACATATGTAGCTTGGATCACAGGAAGACTTGACCTGTAGAGGATGCATGTCTGCATGGTTGGATTTACTTCTTCAGTGTAAACTTACGTGTCGGTTCCTCTATTACATAGTCTGCTTCGCATTGCTCAGCCGGACATTTTCACGCACACTGGAACGACCAGATCCTACGCGGGTTTGGATAATAAAACAATTTATGGAATTCTAGATAAGTTAACACATCGGTACAAGCGACTACGGCCCCAGCGACCCTTCTAAGAAACATTGGTATTACGGCAACCCAAGATGAGAGGTGAGCTCTCTTCGCCCGCCTGCTCTTCCTTCACTAGCCGTCCCCTCTTATCCTCATGACAAACATCTTGGGGCCTGGGCAGCCTGGATAGTTTGGAGCCCGGTCGATTTCCACGGATTGGGATGTTCTCTATGGGAGTATTTTCCATACCCCGAAGTCTGAGGTCTTCCACAGTCAGTTATTCCCAAGCTTCTCCCTCTGGGGTACCCTGGGAGTCTTCTGCTTCCTCTCCCTCTTCCTCCTCATCCACTTCCATCTCGCTATCCCAGTCAGAATCCTCTTCATATAAACCAAACGCGGTAGCACGTCTGAAAGACATATATGGGTCGGGGAAAAGTTCTTCGTCAGTCGCGTAAGCGGCACCACTGAGGGCAAGGACCCGATGTAGGACCCACTGCATGTTGAGCAGCTCCATGGATGGAAGGGGGTGACCCATCGGGTCACCGGTCTTGAAGGTGAGAATGTCCCCAGAGCATAGTTTCGTGTCCGTGACATTATTGAACAGCACGGTTTTATATTGATCATTCGTGCTGGAGAGATTGCGAGGAAAAGGATCGGGGACTGCAGTTAATGGCACTTGCTTGCGGTATTTATGCTTCGGCAGCCAGAAAAATTGTACTTCGAGTTGCCTTTCATCCTCACTCAGGGACAGAGGTTTCAGGGCAAACGCTGCCTTTTCCCATAATTTATGGGCATTATTAACCATGCATATTAGATTAGAACATGTTTCTGTTCCATCTGAGCCTAAAAACCGGTTCTTCCAAGCCTTGACTTGTTGTGGGGTCCAGAAACACTGCAAACATTTCCAGAAGTCGCGGAGTCCCTCTATATTCTTGCCGAGGCTTTTGGGGAAAATATGTGCAACTTCAACTGGTATAGTGCAACCGGTGAGAATACACGTGTCATTATCTCGCTCCTTGCACTTGGTTGCATTAGTAAAAATTGACCCGATTGTGTTTTATAATTATTTAGCTTACTAGCTTTTTTGCACGACAAGCCGACTGCCTCAGTGATAGAGCAGTGGGTTCATTTGTAGGACTTGCCGTCACAGAAGACGATGCCCTAAGGCCTGCTCAGCTGTTTGCTTTCCGGCCCTTTTAGAAGCTTTTCGTAGATCTGAAGCAAGCCGGCGCTTCTTAGTTGGAGGCTCTTCTGTCTCTGTTTCTTCGTCTTCAGAAGGCTCTCCCAAGTCTTCATTGGACCCTGCAGTACGTCTAGCCCGAACTCCCCCTGGTACCGTATTAGCTTAAGCCTGTTTATATGGCCAACCGATCTACTTACAAGCTTTGATAGATTTCGCTCTCTCCTTAGTATTCGACAGAGAGCAGGATATAATACTGGAGACGGACAACGGACCCCGCTCAAAGCCTGTGACAAGCTCCTCTAGTGTAGAGAGATCTGCAAACCACAAGCAAGCCCATCCGATCGAATCAATTACTTCTATTTCCATAATGGTAGACAGCCGTGTGATCAGGTCACGTCGCCGTGGGTCAAGGAGCTCGTCTGCAGGGCCCATGGTAGCCGAATAGGCTTGATTGGAGATAGGAGAGGTAGATTGTGGGGTGGAAGAGGGTGTCGACATCACGATAATTGGCACCAGATTACGCCGTGTGCCAGCGGAGGACGACGAGATAATGACACCGGCTTACGCCGTGTGCCACAAGATGAGGCGACGATGGAATAATGACACCAGCTCACGCCGTGTGCCAGCGGGGCGAGAGTAACGAGGGGATATTAGCACCAGCCTGCGCCGTGTGCTACGGGGGAGTCCAAACGAAGATTAAACCGATAGAGGTGATCGAGAGCTGCAGTGAAACACGAGTTGGAACAGTAGGGGGGTCGTGAGAGGAGAGCAAAGCAACGAGCAGAGGAGAAGGGGAAGTTACTGCGGATAAGAACAATGCGAGCTCTGGGGGGGAGAATGTTTGCAACAGACAAGGATGGGTCAAGAAGTAGCTGTCTAAGCCCCAGGGAAAATGCAGGTCTTAAACAAGCAAAGGTGGGAGATGGTACATATTTATGAGGAATCTTTTAGGAAAGAAGCAGTCAGGACGGATGATGTGATGATAGAGTGATACTTGCCTAGGAAGTCGGTAATGGGAAGTAATGAACCATAAATAGTGACGTCGCGGAGCAGGGGCGACCACACGCCCCTTAGGGACCAGCGCTCTCCTACGACTAGGGTGAGAACCTCACATATAAGTCCTGGCCTTTTGCCAGATAGCCGAGTTGTAAACTGGTAGAACTCTATGGCTTAAAGCGCACTAAGTCGGACCCTGAAACTAGATGGGATACGCTGGCGTATACCTCTACCCGGAACAGCAGGACTCTATGGAGGAACGGCGCGCCCTACCAGGTGGTGGTAGAGCGCCCTCCTCGATGTGGCTTAGGAGATTCTAGCTAGACCACGTACTTAGTTAAGCGTAGCTAGAGACCGCGAGTATGAAAGACCCCCGAGGCCCCATAGGGCCTGAGATCCTTGGACACCTCGCAACGTTCGAATGCCACCCTACATTCACGCGAATCGCAACAGTATAGTATACTAAATAACTAGGCTGCAAGCAGTACGACTAACTGCAATAGAAAATTCACAGGTCCTCACATGACAAACTAAATTGCAACCATGTCATTACAACTCCTTCGAGTAGCCGTCCTTGAGTGTGACACCCCGATTGACCCTATCAAGGCCAAGTACGGCACATACGGAGACATCTTCGACAACCACCTCAAGGAGGGACTTGAGCGCATTGGAGATGTCGAGCTGCAGTTGACCAGGTTTGATGTGGTGCAACCATTCCCAGAATACCCCAAGCCAGATGACTTTGATGTCGTCCATCTCTCAGGCAGCAGTATGTTTTATCGCACTATATCTAGTCTGGCATCTTGCTGAGGTCACTAGAACACGACTCCTACAAAGACGAGCCATGGATCCTCACTCTCACCAGATTCGTCCAAGACTGCTATCTGATACACCATAAACCCGTCATCGGCATCTGCTTCGGGCACCAGATCATTGCGCGTGCTCTCGGGGCGCGCGTGGGTCCAAACGTGTCAGGATGGGAGGTTGCCGTGGAGCCCATGTCCCTGACTAGCGTGGGAAAACAACTTCTGAGAAAGGATACTTTTGTATGTTCGTTTTCTGGCTTCGTGACAAGTGCTGACACTCGCAGTCTCTGCATATGATGCACCGCGACATTGTGTACGAGGTCCCGCCAGGATGCGTCAACCTCGGAAGCAGCCTGATCTGCGGCATTCAAGGGATTTATATCCCCAAACGAATTCTTTGTGTTCAAGGCCATCCTGAGTACTAGGTCCTGGCCTGCGGGAAGCCCCCAGCCCAAGGCATTGCGAAGCGCCTTAGTAAGCAACATGCAACGCACTTTGACCGTATTTAAAGAGCTTCATCAAGCGCATGTAAAGGGCTACTAAAGGGCTCAGTCAAATACTTAAAAACGCAGTACTTGATTCAGACCCCCTCCGAGACCCTTGTTGGGCTGAAGCGGTAAGTACTGGCAATATAGTTTAAGTCACGTTACGAGTGAATATAACAACCAATCAGGAAGCCGAAATTGTGCAACTTGTTGGACCAATGAGAAGCCTCGGAGCTGGAAACTTCCCTAGCAGGACCGAACCTAGTATTGCTCAGCGCTAGCGCGCTTCGCAAATAACGAATTCATGGTATCCGAGCTTCTGAAGCTGCGACGGGGGATGATCGGTGAGGGGGTTTATATGGATGCGATGGCACGAGTTGGAAATTCGCACGACGGGGTACTGTTCTCTGAGACGATGTATCGATTTGCATTGGGACTGTTAGAATAGAATGTGTAGAAAGCCCACCGCGGGACCGCGGGACCGCGCCAGCACCGGCGGACCGCGGTACTTGCCTCAGGCATTCAGATACGCAGCTCTTCTTATCGGTCGGTTATAAGACCCCAAGATCCAACTTCCACTTCCCAACCATCGTCATCGAATATCTCAGTATCTCAGTTCTACAAGCACCATGTCCAACAAAATTTGTACCCTCTCCCCCTCCACCAACAAGGTCATCTTCGAACACCCTGGCATCTCCCTTGACGAGGCCCGCCAGATCGCCCAGGCATCGCAAGATGCATTCCGCACATACAAGCAGACAACGCTGGCTCAGCGCAAGGAGATCATCCTCAAAGCTCTGGACCTAATTGCTGCCAACAAAGAGACGCTGGCTGAGGAGCTGACCACACAAATGGGCCGTCCGATTGCCTTTAGCGCAAAAGAAATCGAGACCTTTCGCAAGCGCGGAGATTACCTCCTCGACATTGCGGAGGACAGCCTTAAGTCCCTCCCTGGTGCTCCTGAGAATGGCTTCAGGAGATTCCTCAAGAAGGAACCGGTTGGACCGACTTTGATCATCACCGCATGGAATGTAAGTTCCTTGCCATCGCACCGATGTCAAATCCACACACAGCCGCTAATAATATCAGTTCCCCTACCTAGTCACAATCAACGCCCTTGTCCCCGCCCTCCTCGCCGGAAACACTGTCCTCCTCCGTCCATCCCCTCAAACCCCGATCTTTGGCGAGCGCCTTCTCCAATACTTCACCGAAGCTGGTCTTCCTCCCAACGTCCTCCAGCTCGTCCACTGCGGCTCTCCGGAGGTGCTCGATCAGATCGTTCAGCTCCCCCAGATCCAACTCATCTCTTTCACTGGATCTACGGCAGGTGGATTCCGCATCCGCGAAGCGACCGCGCGCAGAATTGTCCCGGTCAACCTCGAGCTCGGAGGAAACGACCCGGCGTATGTCCGACCGGATGCAGACATTCCATATGTAGCTGCGCAGCTCGTCGATGGTGCTGTCTTCAACTCGGGTCAGAGCTGCTGTGCTGTTGAGCGGGTCTATGTGCATGCTGACGTGCACGATGCATTCGTGGAGGAGGTGAAGAAGGAGCTGGCTACGTAAGTACCCTATGTCTTGCCACGATTCATACTTACGAGACAAAAGATACAAGCTCGGTTCCCCACACGACAAGTCCACTACCACTGGCCCGGTTGTCTCCCAAGCAGCGCTCAAGAACATTCAATCGCACATCACCGACGCCGTGTCCAAGGGCGCCATCAATGCAACCCCCGAAAATGCCAGTTTTGTGAACCCCCCGGCGGAAGGAAACTACCAGCCTCCTACTGTCCTGACTAATGTCACTCATGAGATGGTGGTCATGAAAGAAGAGACCTTTGGTCCTGTCATGCCAATCATGAAGGTCTCCTCGGACGAGGAGGCGATTACTCTGATGAATGACAGTGACTATGGTCTTACGGCCAGTATTTGGACGAAGGATATCAAGAAGGGAGAGGAGCTGATTGACAGCTTGGAGGCGGGAACGGTGTATATCAACCGCTGCGATTATCCCAGTCCGGTATGTATAGCTTCCACTAATGTTTGAAGGGGTACTAATGTCTCGCAGGACCTCGCATGGATTGGGTGGAAGAACTCTGGTCTGGGATGTACCCTGGGACCCCAGGGATTCGATGCATTCTATAAGCTGAAGAGCTTCCACATCAAGGAGGCGCAGGCGTAAGCTTGATGGATGTATAGTTCTAGATGAGCCATGACGTAATGTACTTGAAAGTTATTGTTTCTTATTCTGGAGACCTGTAGTTTTGAATGATCTCCGTGGAGAGTTTCTTGAAATTAACCCGCAATAAGCGGATGAAGCCGAGATTCGCGGCAGATTCCGGCATTTCGCAGGAAGACTCCTACGCAGGTCGACAATTTGAACCACACATCGTCCCTTATAAAAAGGCCAAAGTGATCTGCGTACTTGGTCTTCAATTCACTCGTTTAAACAGTCGGTCCTTACCTTCAAACCTCATGTATTCTTATCCACGTGTCCTGTCTATGTCTACACAATTATATACAATCCTGACACACTCGAACCCGGGAAACGAACTACTACCCAAAAACTGATTCACCATCAGCATCCTCCAATTCCGAACCAGGCCAAATACCTCTGCAGCAAACCAGACAATGCTCAGTAGATGTGATGATGTTTCAATCCAGAGGGCATAATCTCTTGCATGACTATAACCACTGAAAGATGATCTGGCCGGATATCAACAGAGAACCCGAGTCAAGGCCACCACCCATAGCCCAAGGAACTAAGTTCTTGGCACATATACTGATTTCACGAAGGCTGCTCAACATCAAGAGATGTTGAGGGTGCCTAACTGGTGCTACTTTTGGCATCGTTGTGGATAATTCAACGACGCAGTCCTCATGATGTGGATTTTATCAGGGTATATGTGTCAGTTCACAGTGGATACGAGAAAGACATACGCAAGGATCTCAGTTAGCTTCTGCCTCTTCCTCCCGTTCGATCGGCGGATGGGAAAAAGCTTGTGGTAATGGAAGTGATTAATTCTTCCAGCTTCATAACATCTCGGACAGTCACCCAGATGCAATACTGTTGCTGTTCATTGGCAGTCCTGTCAATGCCAGGACAAGACAAAATAACAGGCAGGATGTACTTGATCATGCTGTGGTTCTGTCCTTTGAGATTGACACGAAGCATTCTCCGCACACAGTCTCTGAGCAGACACCGTCGATCGATACCCAGTGCCGATTACTCTTCCCTGCTATCAAGGCAGTTGGACTAATTCTTTCTGAGCAAGGGTACATCTCAGAAGTCCCCTGGCCTCCACGCTTTCCATCGAACATATATTAACCCTGATATCATCCGAAGCCCAGTCTCCATTCTTCCTACGGTACTTGTCGCGGTAGAAATTACCCATCGCTTGGAAGAAGCACTCGCTGCCTGTCAGAATTAACCAGACTACAATCGACGACAAAGACCTTCCACGTCTATTGGATCGTTCAAAAGAAGATCGGAATTTGGATTGGATGGTCAAAGAATAATTGGGCCACCATTCACCTTGGAAACCTGGTTCCTCGCGAGTATATCAATACCCGAACCCACGATTCCCTTCACTTCCGCACTCGGCCAAGTGTTCTTCCTGGCTTCGGTGTGCACTTGAGCCAAGTGACTGGACTCTGTTATGGAATTGTTCTGTGTGATCATGGTTCTCTTTGAATTCCTTTCTCGGGTCAAACTGCAAGGTCTCACCCATTTGACCAACGCCGACGTCCCTATACCCACATCTTCCGTGAATCGCATAGAGAAACTATAAAGCCGGCATCCGCTCACCCTTATACAGGGAATGGAAACGGCGAGAGGCCAAGAAGCAGAACAGAGATGACGATGGAGTGAGACCCCTCAACAACGAATGGAATATTACAATGAATTTCTAGCACGGCCGGCCATACAAAATACCTATAAGGAATGTGCGTGTTCTGCCGTGGCCCAAGAGAAGGGACATCACTTGACAACAAGAAAAGATAGTGGACTTACCCTACAACTGAACCCCTGGAATTATCGACACCTCACTCGTTTGCTTGCCAATCGCCACTATGGTTGGGAAATCTCTTTACGATGAAATCAAACAAGGCTGTATGAAGATAAGATGACTGATTGATTGGTTTGTTATTCAATCTAATGAAGCTTCTTGATATGAGGTGATGCGGCCTGCCAGGCACTAAGGCCTCTTATTAATGCCTAAATTCAGACCCAAATGAGTGGCACCTGAAAGGTATCACGAAGAGGCCTATACAGACAGACATGCATGAGTTTCCAATGTTGTTCGATGATTCACTGTGGACGAGACGCCTCTATGTCACAGTTACTCATTCATAATCTAACATACAGGGGTTGATCCTAAAGGCTAGTCCGGATTTACTATCCATACAATTAAGGCCTTTCCTGTGGTGTTCTACCATTATATCACCACAGGCTGAATTCAAGGTGCCATTCCGTTATGGTGCAGCGTTGACGGAAGAATAAGGCCGCAGGGCAGTTTCATGAGTGAGTCACATCTCCTTCTTTATTGCTTGTGAGATAGTTACATTAATATTCGATAGTCACACACCGCTCTGACTCCTCAAGCTGGTTGTTGGGTCCGTCAAGACAGCATCTTTATAGACCAACTATGTCATAACCTATAATCGCATCGCATAGCATTGCAGCGTGTCTTGGAATATAGGTCTCGGAAACTGAGGTCACAAGGACCATTCACCTCGTCGCTCGTCATTCAACAGTGTGTTGTTTTCTGTGGAGAAGTCCTCAGTATTAACGACGCAGGCAAAGGACATTCCATCTGGATTACTCCAACTACGATGCACTATCTATTGACATCCTTCGAGGCATCCTCCGAGGCATGGGTATCACCCATAAGACTGATGTTTCAACGGCCAGTGTGACATGGTTGGAAGGCCTGATAGGCCAGCCATCCACTTAGGCGCCAACCAAGGTTTCCTTATTTAATAGGTTCGTTTCATGATCACTATAATACTGTTTTGAGTAAATAAGCGTTAAATCAGATTTTCTATATACAAAAGAAAGCAATATATCAATATTGTTCGCATGACTACACTTACCATATGACTAACGTGTCAAGGTGTGTGTTGATGCCTGCTATCAAGTGACAGGAATATTCAATCTGCATAAAACAATAGCCAAGACCTCGAGAATCCGGGCCTACCATTGTTCACCGTGTTTGTCCGTGAAATTTCTGCGTCAAACAGGCAGAATCTATTGAATTCATTGACAACCAGCCTGGGACTGCATATGGCAAACCCAAGTATAAATACTCTCATCACCCAACTCCATTTCTTCCTCTTCATCCTGTCCTCCAAACACCTTTCCTCACAGTTACCTCTACCTTTTCTCAATCGCAATCTTCCTCTCATCAACACAATGGCTTCCACTACCAAGATCATCACCCTCTTCGTGACCCTGACTGCCATGGCATCCGCCAGCTGGGTCCCTCTCTTCGCTTTGATGGCCGGTTCGGCCCTCACCCACGCCTGTCCCATCCCCAGCAACAGCACCGGAGTCGATGCTATTGTCTCAGGCATGACCACCCTCGCACTCGACTACGTGGCCTTCCAGAACGGAGTCCGGCATTTCAACGGCACCCAAGATCAGTACGACAATGGTCTGTATGGGGAGATCACCGTCGAAAAGGCCATCAAATATGTCACCGAGGTGACTATTGCCTCGGATGCACTCAACGCCAATGAGAGCCAGCAGGTTCTGAATGCCATGAAGCTTCCTTATCCTACTTTTATGCAGGAGTTGCTGCACGATATAGCAACCATGGTGAGTTAGTCCGTCTCAAATATTCAAATAATGTACTAACACATGTATAGGCCCCACCCATCGCCAGACTCAACAAGACAGCAGACGTGATTGCCATCATCCAGGGCTTGAACAAAATCACCGATCAACTTACCGGGGCGGTGCAGAAGAAGGTAGTTCCAGATGTAGCAAAAAAGGTGGCTAATGGACAGATGTGGGTGGATAAGTTGTTTACGGATACCATTCGTGCATATCAAATGTGAGCATAGCTACTACCATAGCATAATAAACTTATACATCCTTCTTCGAATCTCTCCCCAAAACCCCCTCCACGACATCCAACCCCGTAACCCTCGCCCACAACCAATCACACCAACCCACCGGCAACCACCCCACCACTTTAGCAATCCAAACACTTTCTCCCCTCCAAACCACCTTCGGCGTCCTCTTCTTCTTCTTCAACAAATCCCCCACCACCTTCCCCGCCCAAACATCCCTATCCATGCCCTTCCCCCGAAACTCCTCCTGCCTCATCGCCCTCTCCACCACCTCCTTCGCCCCCTCATACACCGACCCCGATGGCAACCTCAACCCATCCCCCCTCCCCTTGCCATTCTCCCCCTCAATCAAATTCGACCTAACCAACCCAGTCCTCAACTCCACAACCCTCACCCCCAACACCCCCAATTCCATCCTCATCGTCTCACTAAAGACCGAAATCGCAGCCTTCGAGGCAGAATACGCCCCCTGAAACGGCAACACAGTGATCATCGCCAACGACGTCTGATTCACCACCATCCCCCCGGTTTCACTCTTCAGCAACAGGGGTAAACAAGCCTGCGTCATGGCGAGATAACTCCACACGTTGAGGTCGAAGAGTTCCTTTGCGGCTGGGAGGGAGAGATCGGAGATAGGCATGTGGAGGTTTGCGCCTGCGTTGTTGACGAGGATGTCGAGGGAGGGGAGTTGGGATATTGCAGCGGTGATGGAGGTGGGGGAGAGGACGTCGAGGGTTAGGGTGGTGATGCCTGCGAGTGAGCATTGGGTGAGTTTGGCGGGGTTGCGGCCTGTGGCGTAGACTTTTAGCCCGCGGGCGTGGAAGGCGAGGGCGAGGGAGGCGCCGAGGCTGTTGTTGGAACAGCCGGTTATGAGGACTGAGGTTTGGGGTGGGGACATTTTGGTGTTGGATGTGTATAGTATATGTGGGAATGGGTTTGATTGATTGATAGATGGGGTGGGCCGGGATGCAGGGGAGATATATATGTCGCTTTACTGGGTTATATACAATAAAGCTATGATACAGGAGTACTAGATGATCAGGATACCACTTCTAGAAACATTGTAGTATAATTCCCCCGTCCCCGATATACATCCAAAGTATAGAAAAAGCTACCCCGGAACAACCGTCTATCCGCTCCACAGCCAAATGCACATCACCAGCACTAAGAAACATAAGCTATGATACTTACATCTTGATTGGTCCACTGAAAACCCTAGATTCTTATGCAGGGAGTAGTTCTGCAGGGTCAAGACTAGTAAGTAATAGCATCGGGACAATAATCTCCCCGAGTCCGTCGGGGGGATTGATTGATTTCCCCCGTTCCTGCTTACTGTATCTCATCACTCAGACAATTCGAGTGAGCAAAGTTGACAAGAAGAATGAAGAATTAATTCTTATATGATTAACAAATCCTTTCATCATATACTGTATTGCGCTCTTACTTCCAGTGCTGAATCTCATCTCATCCTACCTCATAGTCTAGGCGCGATGCAAACAATCCAAACCACCACACCGTCCGTCTCTTTCCCTCCCCTCCAAACACGAACCTCTTCACATCACATACTCCATCTCCCTCAAACCAATCCCAAACTCATATACACCATCAGCATACGATAACCCCCACATGACATCTCTCAGTCTCTCAGTCTCCCAAACCATCCCCAAAAAGACAAGGGCATACACTAACCCAATGCAATGTACCGCGGTCCCGGACCGCGGGGTACGCCCCACCTCTTATCTGCGTTCTTCTTATCGCGGCGCGCTTGCAGCTGAGAGGTGAGAGGACAGCCTGGCGATCTGGGCAAGTGGGTTGGGTTGGTCCGACGCCGGCGGATGCGATGCGATGCCCGCAGCGCAGATAGCGGTGGGCCACGGCCATATTTCCGCGTTGTAAGGATTAAGGAATAGATAGCTGCGGAGTAGGGAGGACCGATCAGCTAGGTGGTAGGTTATTAGGTAATTATGGGGGGGAGGGGTAGTAAGGGGAGGGGGGTATAAATTGGGACGGTCGCTCTTTGGGTTGATTACTCGGTCGGTCACTTCACTTATTTGATTGACTTGATTTCGAGTTACAGCTACGCTACACTACTTCATACTACACGACACAATGGTTGGACGACTTGCTGGAAAGAATGCCCTCGTTACTGGTGCTGCGGGGTAGGATTTATTGTTTTATTTATTCCTTGGCTATGATTCGGATGCTAATAGGTGTTGGTGTTGGTGTTGGTGTTGGTGTAGTGGCATCGGTCTCGAAACTACCATCCTCATGCTTCGCGAAGGCGCCTCCGTTCTCATGACTGATATTAGTGCCCCCGGGCTCGAAAAGGCTCTGGCCAAGGTAAACCAGGTGGTTCCTCAGCGTGAGGGCAAGGTGGAGACTCGCGCGGTGGATGTCTCCAAGGAGGCTGAGGTTGAGGCCGCCGTGGCTCAGCTCGATGCCTGGGGTGGTTTGGATGTCATTTTCAATAATGCGGGAATCATGCATGCGAAGGATGGTGACTCGGAGGAGACCCCCGAGGCGATCTGGGATTTGACGATGAACATCAATGTCAAGGGAGTGTGGTATGGCTGCAAGCATGCAGTCAAGGCGCTCCGCCGACACGGAAAGAAGAAGGGAAGCATCATCAACACGGCCAGTATGGTGGCTTTGGTGGGTGCCGCCACGCCGCAGCTGGCCTACACCGCTAGTAAGGGAGCTGTCTTGGCGATGACGCGCGAATTGGCCATTGTGCATGCCAGAGAAGGTGAGTGCTCCGCTGGTTCTGTATGGCTGCAGCTAACGATGCAGGTTTCCGGTTCAACTCGCTGTGCCCCGCCCCGCTCAACACCCCCTTGCTGCAGGACTGGCTCGGTGACGACAAGGAGAAGCGCTTCCGTCGCGAGGTCCACTTCCCGACCGGCCGTTTTGGAGAGGCCGTCGAACAAGCCCACGCCGTCATCTTCCTGGCCAGCGACGAGAGCAGCTTCGTCAATGCCACCGATTTCGTTGTCGACGGTGGCCTGACCAAGGCGTATGTGACCCCCGAGGGCCCGGCCACCGAGGCCCCTAAGAACCTGGCTCAATAGGCAGCTGGGCGCTATGAGTGATGATTTGTATGATAGCCTGATTAGGCAAACGATATCCATATTTGATTCCGTTGCATAGCTCGGCAGATGTTCCATGGCCCTGCCTCGTCTAATGGCATCTGCCACATGTGCTCAAGTAAAAGTAGAGTCCGTTGCATGTTGCCCAGTCCAAAGGTATTGACCATGGTGGTGAGGCGTTGGCGTAGAGTATCCTGGTGTTCCGCGTCGGACAAACAAGACCCGACCACAGCAATAGGCCAGCACAGACCCGAATTTATACGCGCAGTAGCCGACAGCTGGCTTAGATATGACATGGCATCGGTGATTGCAGTATCAATCAACCCTTGATACATGCCGTTGTCAGTGCGCGAGAACCCGCCTAACGAAGTGTACAGATAAAGTAGCATCGCTTGTTGGAAAATCCGTCCCGCAAGAAACACCTCCGGAGTAGCAGAGGCATATGGCATCCACCGCATGATCTGCACTTGCAAGGAGCCGAACATGGCAATATCATCTGCAGTGGGCATGGCTGACTGCCCATCGTGCATCATCCATTGCCGACCCAGGTCGAAAATGCACGGGATCATGAGCAACAGCTCCAGCCAGCAGCCACATAAATTCCCCACATACTCTGACTGCAACAACTGTCGTGCCTTTTGTTCGAGGTCAAAGTTCAGAAAAAGCTGGGCACTAACTCGAGCATCGATTGATATCATGCTCACTGCCGCCGTGTAGGTGTAGTATTCTATAACAAAGTCCTTGAGATCTTTCGGGACGGCTGCATCACTCTGTGCGAGAAGACGGATCAAGAGAGAATTAGCAGCGGTCAAGTGGTCGAATATCGTGCCGTTCATATCGCCTTTGGCTGTCTGTATTGCATTAGCCACGCGCAGCTTCTATCACCGATGGCATTACCTCTGTAAAGCACATCACCAATGCCCCCACTGTCAGCATAAGCGCGTTTGACTCTTTCCCGTCGATAAACTCCGTAACCCCTTTTCGAAACAGCTGAAGGGCGGTGGTGTAGTGACTCTGCGCAACCTCGTCAGACTCCTTGCGAGAGCGAAATGCTCGATGGGCAGCACTCTGAGTCAGAACCAGCTGAAGGAGTAGGTCGCTACTGAAAGCAAGTGGAACAATCTGGACCAGAAAGGGGTTAATAGGAGTGGAGCCGTTGGCCATACAGTCGGCCGTAGTAGCTAGGTAGTGGCTAAGAAGCTGGTAGGAATCGGGTCCATGGCCAGGGAACATTGACAGGCTTCGAGGGAGCACATTCCCAACGGTCAAGCTCTGATTGCCGTCTATAGAAGTCGTCTGAGGAACCCTTGTCGTGACCAAAGCACCCGACGCAGACTCATGAGAAGTATCCTCCGGGGAGTCGGAATTCCGCGATATCTCCTCCAGGGAGGAGGGCGAGGTGGAAGAAGACTCCGTCGAGCTTGACGCTCCACGCTGCATCCTCGCCGGTTGGCCATCTTCCTGTGGTGGTTGGCCCTGTGGATCACCCTCCTCCGGCCTGGTGGATAGATTATTGGCCTTGGATCCGGGGATGATGGTAGGCCACTGGCAGGTGAGCTTGTTCCGCACACATCCCCCACAGACCGGCTTGGTTTCGTCACACTTCTTCTTGCGGCGTCTGCAGGCCCAGCAACCGGTGCGGACCCGGACGATGGGGTCGGTTCGCGGCCGTCTACTAGGCGGCATTGGTGTTGGAGATGAAGCGACCAGCGATTAGCGCAACAGATTGGAGAGAGATTCGAGCGGGAGAAGATGAGCGGAGGCACCGCGATAAGCCGAGTCGTTGATGCCGTTGATTGGCCGGTGGGGCCGAGCAGTGGATCTGATTCCATCGCCGTCATGACGGAGCATTCTGCAGATATCAAGTTTGCTCCAAGGTAGGACTATTAATCTACATGAGGATGAGAATTGGCCGTCTACAGATGGTTGAGCTAGTGTCAACTGTCAACTGGTCAATGTGTGTCAAGATAGTCAGTATGCAGATGAAGCCCGGTCCAGAGTTCAGGCTAAACCATGCCACCCACCCGCCCGATGGCCATTATCGCGCACCATCGAGATCATGGCAGGCTAAACTTTAACCGACTGACTGATCTCACCGAATCCCCCATTCATGGCACCCTGCATGCAGCCCCACATCCGAACATGCGGAGAGAGCAACACTTTAAGATCCGGACGTCCTTCCAACATCACCCAATTGTACAGCACAATCCATCTCGTTGGGATTGAACCGAGACTCAACATGGCCTCCACTCCCCCTCTTCGCCCCCTCGCCTCCCAATCAGATCTCCAAGCCTTCTACATCGGCAAGGATATCAGCAATGTCCCCAAGCCCGCTGTTGTTGTAGACGTGGCGATAATCAGGCGCCATTGTGCGTCTATGTTAGAGGCCGCGAACGCACTGGGTGTCGGGTTTAGAGCTCATGTTAAGACACATAAGGTATCTACGAAGAGCAACCTACCCGGAAGATAATGAGATGGAATAAATGACTCATGTAACAGACACCTCAAATTGCGCGCCTGCAGGTCGGTGAGGACGGCAAAGACGCCAACTTTGTTATTTCAACGGTTCTCGAAGGGGAGACTCTATCACCTCTGTTCAAAGAGCTTCGGGCCGCAGGAAGGAGGGTTAATGTACTCTATGGAATTCCGCTGGTTCCGTCCCAGGTCACACGCTTGGCGGAGTTGGCGAAACAGATCGGGGAGGGGAGTGTGTCGGTGATGATAGACCATCCGGATCAAGTGGAGTATTTGAACCACTTTCGAGAGGTGGCGGGATTCCCGGCCTGTATGTTTATCAAGGTGGATTCGGGATATCATCGGGCTGGACTGCCGCCGGATATGTTGAATAAGGGGGGATTGTTGGAGAGGGTCGTGCGGGAGGAGAAGGAGGGTAGGTTGGTGCTGTTGGGAGTGTATTCGCATAATAGCTTGAGCTATTCGGGGTCGACGGTGGAGGAGTTGATGGGTTTCTTGAAGGGGGAGATTGTGGGGTGTCGAGAGGCATTGAGGAGGAATCAACATCTGTTGGCAGGGGAAAGGGAAAGGGAGTTGGTGATTAGTGTTGGGGCCACGCCGCAAGTGGTTTCGGTAAAGAGGCTCTTGCAGGGGGAGTTGGGCCCAGAGGCACAGGAGTTGAAGGCGTTGTTGGATGGTTATGAGGAGGGAATTGGGCGGGTCAAGGTTGAGTTGCATGCAGGTGTCTATCCCGTGCTTGATATGCAGCAGTTGGGGACGAATGCGCATACGGGGGATGCTGGGGAGGAGATTGCCATCTCGGTGGTGGCTGAGGTTTGCAGCGTGTACAACGATGCTGAACGGTCAAAGCCAGAAGCCTTGGTTGCTGCAGGGTCACTGGCTCTGGGAAGAGAACCATGCAAGTCTTATCCTGGATGGGGGCTAGTTGGGGACTGGAAACGACAGAAAGGCCCCTCGCGGCTGATTGTCGAACGCATCAGTCAGGAACATGCCATTCTGGCTTGGGAGAAGGGGGAGAAATCGGAAATCCCTCTCCAAGTTGGCCAGGCCGTGAGGATTTTCCCCAATCATGCATGCGTGACGGGTGCGTTGTACGGATGGTATCTGGTGGTGGATTCGAGTCAGGATGGGGAGGGAACGACAATCGTGGACGTGTGGCCGAGGCCAACGGGGTGGTAATTGGACATAGCTTATTTATATATAGCTCACACGCTCAAACTCTCCCCAGCAAAAACAACTTCTGCGGTCTCATCCACTTAAAGTAATTCGGAAAAGACGATACATGTCCCTCGCGCTCAATTGATGCCTTCTTCTGAATCTCATAAAACTTCCACGACCGAAGAATGCACAAGCATGTAGCCCCCAGAATAAACATGCAAGAGATATACACCTGCGCGCTGAGGTAGCCAGAACTACCAACCATGCTGAGGGCGATCGCCTCCGCCACCGTAGTCGGCGCAACCAAAGTCAAACAGATGAGTCCAAACGTGGAGGGGAGACGATTCAACCCGACTACGTCGGTCAGGACCGGTGCGATGGTGCTCCAGAATGTTCCGCAGATCATTCCGCCCAAAAGGGCAAAGAGTAAGAGGAGAGCATATGAATGGGCCGGGATCCAGATGGCGAGACACAGCACGGCGCAGGTGGCGGTCACGGCCATGGATACGGTAATACGCCCGTAGATATCACTAATGTAGCCGACTAGAGGTCGTCTAACGGCGAGGCCAAGATTGAGGATAGCCCCAGCGACAGAGCCCTGTTGGGACGTGAGACCGATGGAGGATGCGTAGTTAGGAAGGGAGTAGATGAGCGCAATATATCCGAGATCTGTGGACATGCCCCACACACTGACCAGGAGGACTTCGAGATGACCGAGATCTCGGTGGTTGAGGGTCCGTTGGCTGCTTTGTGTGCGAGAGCGTGAACGGTCTTTGAGCAGAAGTGAGGATATAAGGTTCGAGCCTAGAGCGCAGAATGCTAGGATCCGATAGGTATTCCGCACACCCATTGTCTCAATAGCACGTCCTGCGGCCAGGTTATATGCCAGGCCGCCCAAACCGGCCCCAGAGGAAGTAAGACCGCTGGAAAAGCTACGTTTGGTGGAGAACCATTTGGGGAGGATGGAGGTGGCTGTCAGATAGGTAAAGCCCATTCCGATGCCAAAGCAAATGCCCTGGGAGAGGAAGAGATGCCACACCGCGGTAGCGTACGAGGCAGCGAACAGGGCAGCGAAGATCAAGCTTGTACCGATAAGCAATGTCAATCGTATTCCGATCCCATCGTTGGCTTTGGTGACGATGGGCCCGATCAGTAGGCACTGCGAGATGGACAGCCCGCCGATTATTGCAAAGTCCAGGTGGCTTGCCCCGGGGAAGGTGGAGTTGGAGAGATAGTAGTTGAGAACGGCTCCCCAAGCACTATTGACGCCCCAGGTGTGCACATTGATCATGAAGACGCAAAAGGTGCACACCCAGCCATATCCACCATTCGGTGGGATGTCTTCAAAGGTGCTCACGTTCTCGGGACTTTCACTGATATCGAGGTGTGGAGGCTGCAACTCGATATTGTCCCCGGTTGCGCGTGGTTGTGTGTTATGGCCACACATTTTGGAACTAGGAGGGATGTTTCTTCTGCAGACTTGTGGGTTTGTGGTAGGTGAGGGGTTGGTACATCATTGTGCGCCGGCTTAATTAGATTCGTCAGGGCTCGCCTGAGTCACGAATCATTGGCGCTGGCATGTCCAGGCTATCTGCAGCTTATTAATGTTGAGAAAGAGGATTCGCTGACCAAAGTCATCTTGAATTTGTTTGTCTGTGGACCCAAAGATAAAAATTGCACGAATATATATTACAAAAGACGCTCATGGTTTTGCATTCCAAAATTATTCCACCAAAAGGTATGTCATTAGGGCGACGGGTCAATTATTGTCAAACACCAGACTCAACTTTGCCGTTCTTCTGAGGAACCGATTAGCATGGTTGATAAAAAAAGGGGGTGGTAACATACCAAGGTCCTGCTATACTTCACGCCAACGTTGTTTCCGCTGCGCGAGTCATAGGGAAAAGGAGTGGTGTAGTTGAAGGTAGCAGTGAGGTTTTTGTAGGTCTTCTTGACAGTAGACAAGACTCCATGGCCCGCAGAGCAGCTAGCCTCTGTTGCAGGAACAGGCCAGCCAGCGTAGTACTCGCTGTATTCATCCTCGGACAGAGGCCCCCAGTGGGTCTGGTTCATGTACAAGTTGCTCGTATCGATTTCATAGTTGACATATCCAGTCTTCGCGGCCAACCAGCTGAACAAGTTCGCACCGCAGTCCCAGCGACCCAGAGAGGGAAGACCCCAGTTAGCGGACAGAGAGGCAATGACCGAGTAGTGGCTGTAGAAAGTGTCATCTTTGGTGCCGCGGAGATGTTCCGGGACCGCACCACCGAGCAAGAAAGTGAAAACGTTGTTGCCGATCTCATAAGTATCAATCTCATCAAATGTAAGCATGATCAGAGTATCCTTAGTGAAGTAGTCATTTTCCAGAAGCTCGGTCAGAAAGCGCCCAAGTCCAAGCACCGGAAACGGTTATGTTGGTGTCATGTCCATCATTCGTCATGTTCGGAGTGATGAACATGTATTGGGGAAGACGGTGGTGCTCCAGATCATCGTAGAAGCTGCTGAAATTCTTGATCTGACGGAGACGGAGAGCGTCTTGGGTATAGGAATCAAACAGGATCAGCGGATTGTGCTTGCGGACATAGTCATTGGCACCGATTTCGGGGTAGCGGTAGCCCTGGTAGCCGGGGTAGGGGATAGCTTCCTGGTATTCGCCCCAGGCGATGTTCTTCGTATCGAACAAATCGGCAATGGTAGAGACATTGGCAGGGATCTGATGGAAGTCATCGTTGTCCATGCCGAAGGTGTCTCCACTGGCGGATGCGCAATAGTTGGGTTCGGACGGGTGGGTGACAGCCCAGAAGTTGTTCAGGAGGAGACCTTTCTTGGCCAGCTCGGCCAGGTGCTCGTTATCAGCAGCCACATCAAAGTCCTGTCCGGATGAATTGCGTCAGCATACTGCCTATTCGCATATACAAGTTGTGACAAGTCAAGGGAAACCATATGGTGTTCTCCAACCAGATGTTCACGAAGCGGTTAAACGCAAGTCCCTTGACATTCGAGACTGGAGAATAAGGCAGTACCGTGGCCTGTGCAGCACCAATCTCAGCTGAGGATGGGTATTCTTCCGAAGAGGTTTGGGCTAAAGCAAAAGAAAGGCCTCCAAGAAGGGCCGCGAGGGAGTGCCTGGTCAACATGATGTTTGTGATCAGCAGATCAAGGCTAAAGGAAAGGGAGAAATCCAATGGTGTTGATCACAGAGAGGCACACGAGCAGAAAGAATCCACGGGATGCGTGGCCCCTGGGAGCATCTTTATACCTTTACTCAAGCTGGTGAAAGCTTCATACTTCCCATCATGCGAGTGTTTATTCTTCCTGCGCCGGATCTGCCCCGTGGGCAACCTAATCAGTCCCCTTCGATTGGATGAGCTTGTTAACCGAAGGGGGACGCGACCAAGCTCCCCACGGAGTCTGTGGTCGTAGGGAATTTCCTCGGCTGCGCTTTGTAGCTGACGAGGTCTGATGCACTGCACGTTGCACCTCAATGGCAGCTGACTGGCCGGCCGGGAAAGCCCGCTAATCGCCAAGTCTGGAGCAGGGGCCCAGTTGCGAGGGGGTCAGAAATTAGTGCGAGGGTGTCAGAGAATTCCTGACACCTGATGAGCTCAGTCACGTGAAAAGATGATCCAGTGTCAGGATTTGAATTCTGATACCGGATCAGCTACTCTGACACTGGATCAGCTATTATAATATTTAATTATTAAATCTAACCACATTTTTCTACGAATTTTAGGGTATTTATTAGGGTATTTAAGGTATTTAGGATATTAGTGATTTTTAGAGATTTTTTTTTAATTTTTAAGTATAATTCTTAATCACGTGCAGAGCTGATCCAGTATCAGAAATATTATGTATAAAGCTGATTCAGTGTCAGAAATATCACGTGTTTAGACTGATCTAGTATCAGACTTAAAAATATCAGGTGACTGAGCTCATCCGGTGTCAGGAATTCTCTGACACCCTCGCACTAATTTCTGACCCCCTCGCAGCTGTATCCCCGTCTGGAGCTTTGTCGGCATCATTCAGTACAGATTGCCCATTGGTCAATTCGTTTATCTTCCACAGAGTGGAGATCACGGGCTCGGCTGGCCCTGGCACGTGCCCCCAATGCCTTCAGCCAGCGGAAGTCGTGGATGAAATTCAGAGACAGGATCGCTTATGGGAGCTGTCTGTTACGTAGGCACTGCATTCGCACCAGTCCTAGATGTAGCTAGGAACAAAATACTCCGTACGGAACACTCCACAGACGGATACGGTTGAACTCCATAAATGTCGTCGCTCTCATTATTGTAGCCAACTCTATCGATCTATATACCGCACACCCGTGTAGCAAATAAATCGGGATGCATCATATACGTCTATACCCGTCGCTGCCTCTAAGCAAAGAACTTGGCCTCGCCCTCCTTCACCTTGCCAGCACCAACCAGTCTCTTGACCTCCTCGACGTACACGGTCTTGACGGCAGCACTGTCCTTACCGGCAGCAGTAAGACGCTCAGCCAGGCCAGCAAGCTCCTCGGCGTCGATCTTGCTGATGACAAGGTCGACATCGCCCAAGACGGAGTCAACCTGAGCGGCGGAGGGCTCGCCACCCTCACCGAAGTAGTTGACATCCTTGACGGAACCCTTGAGAACACGCTTGTTCTTCTTGGTGGCGTTCTTAGCAGCTTCCTTGGCCTTCTTGTTCTTCTCGCGCTCGGCCTTGGCAGCCTCCTCGGCGTCCTTCTTGGCCTGCTCCTCAGCCAGACGGGCCTTCTCCTTCTCCTCAGCAAGGCGCTTGATCTCAGCCTCCTTCTCGAGACGCTTCTTGTCCTTGTCGGCACGAGCAGCCTTGCGGAACTTCTTGATTCTCTCGTCACCGGCGGCACAGTCGTCCACGAGGTGGCGCAGGCGAGCAGTGTCCTCGGTCTTGCGCTTGCGGCGAGCGTTGGCGTTCTTCTTCTCCATGTGACGCTTCTGGTCACGGTTCTCGTTGTCATCCGGCACATCCTCGTCCAGGTACTCGAAGGTACGCCAGCTGTCGAAATCGTACCAGAAGTTGTAGAAATTCTCGACCTCCTCCTGGGTGCTGTTCTCGTCACCCAACTGGGGCACGGGCTGGATCTTGGAGAAACGACCCTCGGCCTTGAAGACGGGGCGCCAGAGCTTGAAGAAGTTGCCCTTGGCGGCTTCCTTCTTGGTCGGGGGCTCGACCTCAGCGGCCTCGTCTACGGAATCGAACTGGCGACGCTTGACGGGGTCCGAGAGCACCTCAGTAGCCTTCTGGATGCACTTGAAGAAGTTGTCGTTCTCATCGCGGTCACCCAGGGCGGCCTTCTTATCGGGGTGGTGACGGAGGACCTTCTTGCGGTGGGCGCGCTTGATCTGCTCGGGGGTGGCGCGCCAGCGGTGCTTGGACAGACCGAGAACCTGGTAGTGATCTTGTCCCTACAATAGGTGAGTGTCATTCTTGTCTCTGAAACCCTGATGTCACATACCTTCCAGTCCTTGGCCTCTCTGGCGAGGAGCATGGGGTCCTCATCCTCGGAGATATCATCATCCTCATCGTCTTCGGTGCTCTTGACATTCTGCTGGGCCTGGATTCTCTCATCCTCGGAGAAGGTGCGCTGGTGACGCTTCTGGGGGGTTGTCAGTAGTGAACAATTGTAGTGTGAAGCCGTAGTAAAAGCGTCAAAAGAGAGATCATCGTGGGGCACATACTCTGCGAGCGTGGGCCAGGAAGTGAGGGCCAACAGGCTCCAGGTTTCTCTGGGTGGCGGCGGACACAGAGCCAACGGCCTTGAAGTCCTTCTCGGCACTCCAGCCCGCAGGCAGGGAGGGGAGGGTAACGTTGATGGTCTGAACGGTAGCCATGGTGGGTTTGAGGGTGTGTGACGGGGAGAATTCCAGACGCTTGGGCTGCAAGTCAAAAGTTGCTTTTCATTTTTTTCTGCCCCGACTTCCCGCCACTCGGTGGGCCAATCAAATGGGGGTTGTTTCGGAGGTCATCGAAAGCCATGAACTGCCGCAGGAAGACGACCAGATTCTCACCTCTTGGGACATTGATTGGAGACCCTTTTTGATAATTGTCATATTCTAGCGACATCGCTAACAATACTACTGAGCCATATTCTGATTATCGAGCCGCACCGTGTGGCCACTAGAGTCTGAATAAAAACTATCCGATATCCTCGCAGCACACCATCCCCAAAGATCTAAATCTACCAGGAGCTTTTCCTCAAGACGAAGACAAGAGCGTTTACTTTTCCTTCAATTTCATTCTAAATTTATACAATGGCCTCTCAGACCGCCCTCTCAGCACGCGGTGCTTACCGTCAACTCCTCCGCGCTACCCGGGTTGCCTTCCAGGGTCAGTTTCCACCTCGAAAGCTTGTCATTCATTGCTAACGTTCTCTGCTTGAAGATGACGTCCGTGTTATGATTGCCGCCCGTCAAGAAGCCCGCCGGAATTTCGACAGTCACCGCCGCCATGGCATTGATACCCCGATGCAGATCAATCATGCGATCGAAGTGGCGAATATCCTCAAGCACAACATTGTACAGGGTGTCCGGGAAGAGGGCAAGGAGGATGCCAAGTGGGGTGAGTAATTTCCACGTTGACCATTAGGGCTAATGGAATGGTGCTAACCTTGGGTGTGATTAGAACTCCGCATCCATGACGATATTGAGCGCGGCGACAACGACTCGATCAAGATTGCAGGAAAGAAGGTCAAGGTGGATAAACCATGCTCGGCATAGTGTTCCTTAAGAAGCATATGCGTGGGTGTAAGGATGGCTGCAGACTATTGCATTTGCAGATTGTATTATAGTATACCCAAACTTTTCTCTCTCCTTCCGGCGTCTCTTTGGGGGTATTTTATGGTTTAATCAAAATGTAGAAATACACAACGCCCGCTCACGAACATACATTGAAGCCTCCTTGTTCCTGAATCCGTAGAAAACAAGTGAAATGAGTCGAAATGCAGTTTAATCACCAGACAAGCTGGAGTACTGGATCTCTCCAGCGCCCGGAGGCGGCGCGACAGTATAGTTCCGTGGTCTCTGGTCTTTTCCAAGCTCATCCCCAGCAGCTGTGATGGCTCTCTTTCCTGAATCGGCGAGCCGCGGGCCTGCCGCCTGCCGACCTTCCCGAGCATTCTTCATGCGCTCTTCGCGCTCCATGTTATCCAAAGGCTTAGGCTTGCCCCACCGAACACGCAGAGGGCAGCCCTCGATGACAGCCCTACCCTGGCAATGCTTCGCGGCTGCCTCAGCACTCTCGCGAGAAGCAAAGTTGATGAACGCGGAGTGAGCGCGGTGGGAGCAGATCAATGACCGCAATTGTCCAAACTGTGAGAAGAATGTACGCAGAGTATGTTCCGGAAGATCATCTTCAACACCGGTAACAAAGAGCGAGGTGATGTTCGGGTCCGCGGGAGGTAGGATATCTTCTGCCGATGGGGGCACCTGGGCGGCGCTGGGGAATGGACGGCCTCCACGGCCACCACGCATACCTCCTCGTCCTCTGCCAGGAAGTGGTGTTCCCCTTCTGCTGTCGCTTGTTCGGATGGGCCCTGGGCCATTTCCGTATCGGCTATGTACCACTGGCGCGTCGCTGGATGCTGAAGGCTCACCCTCTCCGTCCCCGGACGGTGCCTCAATCTGGCGGGGCTTTCTGTAGTAGGGTTCGCTGTTGGCGAGTCTTCGGAGCAGTTCCCGGGCTTTCTCATCCGTCTTCTCGTATTCTTCAACCGCACCGCGCCCCTCCTCGATTTCCTTCTCGTGACCTTGGGCGTAGTATTCGCGGTTGATAGTGCTTTCGGGGCCGGGGGCGACCATCTTCAGAGCGGCATCACGAACCACAATGGGAAGCCCGAAAGACAAATCGAGCATGCAACACTGACAACAGTTCTTCAACCGCGCGCAGGTCAGGCAGATACTGGTTCGCTTTTGGCGCGCGGTGCGGTCGGCTTTCCAGCGGAATATGGTGAAGGGACGGGTACACTGACATATGTTAGTACGCTACAGCTGAAAAAGGAGGGATAAGACTACATACGATCTTGCATTCTGCGCCATGGTCTTCCTTGAGCATCTGAACGTAAGGATTGTCTGGGAGGCAGTTCTCGCAGACGGAGGGGAAATCGGTTGTCTCCCATCCGGACCGGTTCAGGTCCTGCTTGATCTGCGGAGGAGGCATATTGTCGCTTAATCAACGTAGCCGTGCTTCTAAGCAAAATGCGAAGCCCGGCGGAGGTGGTGCGGACGAGCTGTGCGTTGTCGGAAGCAAGAACTTGGATTATCGATAGAGGGTGGCGCATTCTGTGGCTGGGCTGTGGCTAGTCATGACATGAGCTTGTTTGGTCACGTGACTCTCTCAGTTTGGTCGTATCCGCACAAGATAAACAACGATAAGGGGTAGCATAATACTACTAGTAGCCATGGCATGTGTAGTAGATATCATGGGGGCTATCCATAGATCTTTAGTCACAAGGCAAAAGTACACCCTTGCAGGTCTCAGCCGATAGTGTTGAATGTCATCTGGCCCGACATGCGTCCGGATCCTTTGATGCCTGGTGGAATACGCACTGGATACGCGATACGCGATACGGGCCTCGATACGCCCAGGAACGCTCTGATCAACAGCCTGCGGGTGCAGGCGACCATACCGTACGCGGTGTAGCGGTGTTCCACCGTCACGTTCGGAAGCAACTTTTTCCCGGCCAGAACCCCAGGAGGCCTGTTCGGGGCTAGCCCGCCCCCGTCTGGTTGGCTGGCCAGCGCGGCAGCAGTGATTGGCTGGGGAAGTGTCAAAGTCAGTCGTAATTCCGCCTCCCCTTTCTTTTGGTCGATCGGTTTGCTGCTGCGTTGGTCTCTCTCTGTTCTTCGTGTTCCTTCGTTTTCCTCTTCGTTTCGTGTCTGCCTGTCTAGCCGTCTTAATTTTATTTTTTGGATCGTGGTTGTGGATATAAAACACCCTCAATCGCCCCTTCAAGTTGCTCCCTCCGAATCTCTCGCTCCGGACACCTGTGCTTCTTGACCGATCCACCCCTTTTTATCCCACTTTAATTTCCAATTGCTGTCAACATGGCTCCCACGGCCCTTGAACAGGAGAACCATGCGCGCGATGCGGAATTCAACCGCATCCTCCATGGCAAGTCCGCTCAAGCTCAGGGTGGCTTCGCTGCCATGCGCAGCAAGGATGCCGATGCACAGAAGGCTGCTGTCGACGAGTACTTCAAGCACTGGGACAACAAGGGCCATGAGGAGGAAACTGAAGAGACCCGCGCGGTAAGCTCAGTTCTATCTGCCGAGAATCCCTCATTGTACTAATAATTTGTGACCATAGGCCCGTCGAGCGGAGTATGCGACCTTGACCAGACAGTACGTCCCCACTGAAACTCAATTCCTTGACCTTCTAAACTAACTTGACTCTCTACAGCTACTACAACCTCGCGACCGATTTCTACGAATACGGATGGGGTACTTCGTTCCATTTCTGCCGTTTCGCTGCTGGCGAGCCCTTCCACCAGGCCATCGCTCGCCACGAACACTACCTCGCTCACCAGATCGGCATCAAGAGCGGCATGAAGGTTCTCGATGTTGGCTGCGGTGTTGGCGGTCCTGCCCGTGAGATTGTCAAGTTCACCGACGCCAACGTCGTCGGCCTGAACAACAACGACTACCAGATCGAGCGCGCCACCCGGTATGCTGAGCGCGAAGGGCTGAGCCACAAGCTGAGCTTCACCAAGGGAGACTTCATGCAGATGAGCTTCGAGGACAACTCTTTCGATGCTGTTTACGCCATTGAGGCCACCTGCCACGCCCCCGAGCTGGAGGGTGTGTATTCGGAAATCTTCCGTGTCCTGAAGCCCGGCGGTGTGTTCGGTGTCTACGAATGGCTTATGACTGATGAATACGACAACGACAACGCTGAGCACCGCCGGATCCGTCTCGGCATCGAGCAGGGTGACGGTATCTCCAACATGGTCCCCATCTCGGTGGGTCTCGAGGCCATGAAGAAGGCCGGTTTTGAGCTCCTCCACAACGAGGACTTGGCTGCCCGTCCCGACAAGATCCCTTGGTACTACCCCTTGGCTGGATCCTTCAAGCACATGACCTCCCCTTGGGACTTCCTCACCATTGCTCGCATGACCTGGTGGGGCCGTGGCATTGCCCACCGCTTCGTCGGTGCCATGGAGAAGATCGGTCTTTTCCCCCAGGGCTCTCAGAAGACCGCCGACAGCTTGGCGCTGGCCGGTGACTGCCTGGTGGAGGGAGCTCAAAAGAACCTGTTCACTCCCATGTACCTCATGGTGGGCCGCAAGCCCGAGTAAACAGTTCAAAATTTGCATTATACGATAACGTCTGTACAAACAACTTCTGTGACAGCATCCTATTCCATAGACAGCACAGCGGTCTATGTTCTTTAATATCCCGGTTTTTTTTTTCCTATTTCCCTATGTTCATTTCTTGATTATCATTATATTGCATACCGCCGCGGGATGCTATGGTTTTTGTGCATTTTTCTGCTCCATCTCATGTCCTGCCCATACGGAATGGGTAGTGATGAATCACTGCTGAGTATGCGCCAATGGTGATGATTCCTTTCTGTTACTTGTCATTTGTGGATCAGAATAGATTTAATAGCGACTACCAGGAATAACGAGTTAAAATTCATATACCTATACTACTTATCATCCATCCATAGGTAACCAACTACCTCGCGACCTCAATCTCCCTAGCCTCACCCCCTTCCATCTCCTTCTCCTTCAACCGATCATCCAAAAACTCCTCCGCCACCGGATTAGCTTGACTAACCACCGCATCCTTCCCATCGAACAGCAGAGCAATCTGCTCCAAACTCGGACCTTTAGTCTGTAAGAATTCCTCATCGTCAGCAAAGCCACCCACCCACACCCCCCGAACAACCCAAATCAGGACCTGGAAAGAGGAATCATGACAAACCTCAATAAAGAAGAAATACACCACCACAAACTCCACCACAATCCACCCTACATAGAAGAAATAATACTTCCATGCAAACGCATCAATCCCTAATGGATTTACATAGGTGTTGAATGCCCCCGTAGCACCGGTGACGAGCCAGAAGAGCGCGATGCCTTTTGCGCGGATGGAGTAGGGGAGAATCTCAACCACTATTATGTATTAGGTTTAGCTCACTGGATGGGGTTCATGATTTATAGGTAGAGTATTTAGGCGCATGAGAGGGATAAACATACCGTATAGCATCATCGCACCCGTCCAACCGAGATTATGTACCCCGTTGTAGATATAAATAAACGCAACGGTAGCGTACGATGCAGACCGACTACCTGTTTCGACGAACACGCCCGTACAAGCCGTGATGAGTGCAAAGACGAGCCAGATGAGTCCCATGGACCAGAGGAGGAGGGGTCGACGACCCACTCGGCCAGGGAGAAATGCGAATGCTAGAGCGCAGGCGAAACTGAACATTTGACTTGTGGCGGTGATGAGAGTGGTGTCGACTTCGCGAGTGATTCCGGCGGATTTGAGCATGCTGCTGAGGTAGTAGCTTATGAGGCCATTGCCGGACCATTGTTTGCAGATTCCTGACTCGGGGGTGTTAGGTGGTGGTCATGGTTTGGTTGTACGGATGAGGATGAGGATGAGGATGAGGATGGGTTACTCACCACACCATATCAAGATAAAGGAGCGCCATCGGTTTCCGCGGGTGTTGATGAGTTCCTTCCAGGAGGTTTTGTTGGCGGCGATCTCCAGTTCGATGGTTTCTTTCATCTCTTGGAATTCATATCGAACTACGGTGTCGTTGGCGTCGCCGTTGCCGTGGTATTTGGCTAGGATGGCCAGGGCGGCTTGGTCGCGGCCTCGACTGATCAGCCAACGGGGAGATCTATTAATGTTAACAATGAGGTAATGTGGTGAGGTGGGAAGTATGGGAGGAGCTCACTCTGGGAGGACTACAGCTCCAACGAGCTGGATTAGGGAAGGAAGTGCTTGGAAGACGGTTGGGATGCGCCATGCCCTATCTCTGATGTTGAGATGAGGAGATACTATTGGTGTGGGTGACTTACCATGCATTTGTGAGTCGAAAAGATCCAAACGTGATCCATGCTGCAATAATCGCCCCACCACTATATGTAGTATTCGACATGGAAGTTGCTGTTGCTCGATGGTCAGGATAAGCCAACTCGCCCATCCACACAGGTCCGATCGCAGCAACAACAACGCCTCCCATGCCTAGCAGCAAACGGGCTGCAATAAAGAGGCCAGAGCTGGAGGCACCTGTAGCCATACCCGTGCCAGCAAGGCACAAAATTGCACCAAAGAAAAGACTGTATCTGCGACCAAACTTGTCGGAGATGAAGGAGATGAAGACAACGCCGACAATATTCCCTGGCATATGATTAGAGACAAGACCAGAAGAATCAATACGGTGATCTCACCTATCCAGTACATCGCACTCATGGCTCCCAGAAGACTGCCATGAGGGTGGTTGAAGTCTGCATCGCATCGTTAGTCAATCGAACCAACTGCATGGGTGATGACATGCCCTCTTGCCAGACACTCAGCTCCTGTACGTTGTTGATTAAAGACGCATCATATCCTTGAGTGAACTCGCTGAACATGAGGAAAAACAGCATCATGTTCAGCTTGCGCAGACCGGTGTCTTTCCACCATGGTCCCTGTTTGTTGCTCACCATTGTGGTGTCTTCGAGTGCTCTGCGATCGACATGTTTCCCTGTGATAACTGCCATGGCGGACGCTTATTAGAATCGATGTTTCTTGCTGATGCCAAACCCAGATGAAGAAATATATAAAAACTCCACTGAAGGAAACTCATCACATGTGGTTAGTAAAACATAGTAATCCTCCTTGAGTTAATATCCGGGGCCAAAAGCTGGGGGAACTGCGGGACTGATCGTGAAGATCCCTCCCCCAGATGACATCGATCCTCGGCATAAAGCAGTCCGAAACAATTGGATGGAGTGTGTGGACAGCTGGGGAGCTTGTGGCGATCTCACTGTTCCTCCTGTTGGTGGAAAATAGATTCCTAGCGCAGGTGACTGCGTTGCCACAAGCAAGGCTGGCATTAAATTGACTTTCAGACTGCAGGCTCCAGCTAGGCTTGTCTCTACGCATGGTAACGCGCTCAAATGCTTTAAAGAGCTCTCTCATGTTCACGTGCTCCTCGTCATGCGAGTTCACTGAGGTCAAACTGTAGCACAACGACCTTCCTTCTTCCCTCCTCGATGTCCTTCAAGATGAAAATCGAGAGGATTCCAAATTGAGCAAATGCCTCTTTGTCGACCAGTGGCTCCCCGGTGTATCCAATGTCCCTCCACACTACATGAAGCTTTTGGCTTGTATCACCCATGCTCCGCCGTGTAATTATCAGTTCATGCTCCGTATTCGATGGAAGAATAAAGAAGACAGTATCGAGCTTCTCGCTGTGGATGACCTTGCCGCGAGGTCCGGTAGGGGTTGGATAAAGACCAGGTAGCGCGAAGGAGGCCCATTGGTCGCTTAATGAGGAGCGGTAGTAGTGCATCCACGTTTCATTTCCATTGACATTTTCCCGGTTCAGCACATGAACTCCTCCGTTAGCATCAACATGCTGTGCCTCCTGGTTCATAATGCCACTATTCCGAGGGATATCTTTCGCTCGCAGTCGACCATCCTGGGAATCGAGTCCGGTCCCTGGACGCGATGACAGTATAGCCACTGGCTGGTGGTCTGAACCATACCACGAAACTCCATTGTCTCTACTGTACGCATGGTATAAGCCTTCGTTATTCTCTGGGCCATTGGGGCCAGCCTGCGCTTTGTGAGCTGTCGAGGCACCATCGTTCGCCCCCTCGTAGTCGATAAAGTGACGGTTGGTCCAAGTAACGTGCAAGCTGCTAGTGGGTGGGTGGTATGAAAGTCCGTTCGGGTATGGATTGCACTGCCTTCCCACTAGATAGGCTCCCAGATAAGCAAACTGTGCGGTGTCGGGATAATAGCAGTACAGGATATCGGAACCGGCACCTGCTCTATGGCTAGTCGTCAGATTCTGATACTAATGGGCTTTACATCCTCACTTACTTTCCGATGCGGCACTCGAAATAAATCTGCTTGCCCGCAGGTATGAATCGGGGATATGTTACATCCACCAAGCTATCACATCCGGGTAAATGATCCAAAATTGAACTGAAACTGGTTGCTGTCCAACTCGATCTACTTGGGTCGTTGGCCAGGCCTGGTCGTGAAATGCGATATTTCAGCATGTCACAGTGGTGGTCAAAAGACACATGAACCGTTCCATCACCAGCACAGATCCCGATAGATATTGTGTTATGTCCGTCGTCGGTTGTTTGTTCGTAGTCCTCAAAGGTCAGATATTGCCAATCGGAAGAAGTGTCCTTGATGTCATGACGCGCAATGGTAACTCTTCTGCCTTCCGATGCTTCATACGAAGTATAGAAAGCGACATACTGAATGCTGTCGAAGGTCGTGATGGCCGACTGCTGGTAAGCACAGGCGTTAAGGCGGTGCGTGGTATTGGGGTCATCACCCAGATCCGTTGTGAAGAGAAGGGCCATGAGGAATCCCACGATAGCATCAGGCAGTTTCTTGACACCCTGTCGTCTCGATGTGAAATGCACGATCGAAGGTCAGCTTCCATCCGAGAGACCGAGCGGCTTTGAAGGCACGTGAAGCAGCCACTCCGTCTTGCCCCTCTCCCCTCCCATCTCCCACCTCAACTTCTCAACTTCTCTTTCTTCTCCTCGACCCTTTCTCCTCCGAAGCAATGCTCCGCCGCTGAACGGTCTGGGAGCCAACTGATGTTTGGTGGAAGATCTCCAGGTCCATTCATCCACCCCCGCATGCAAAGTGTCATCCCCGCCGCGCCAGTCGATCTCCGCCGGCAATGGCCAGCCATTCACCGATCGTCTTCAGCAAACTCACCCGGCATTGAATCGACCCATCGTCTTAATTTACCCGAGGTGGACCCATGATGACGATACTTCCTTGCGGAAAATAACCGATGGAACGAATGATAGATGTATGAGTTCCAGGAGAACAATGCGGTTGGCTACAATGATTGAAATAGTGGCCGTGAAGACACTTGGAAAATTGTCTCCTATTGAAAACACCGACAGGGTTATTGTTACGGCTTGATTCGAACCCTAGCTATGGCTGGTATAAGACTGAATGCTCTCATTGTTCCCGCTCTTCTGCTGGTTGCTGGAAGTGTGGTCAATGGCCTCAGCTTTGAAATTCCATCGTCAGCTCCAGCAAATGCTAGTGGTCAGTTAGATGCTACTCCTGTCGGCCTCTCGTAAGCATTGCTATTCTTGTGGGACAAGGTATATGCTGATGATGACAGCTTCGAGTTCTTCGCCTTTCCGGAGTATTTTCAGCAGCTACCGTTAACGAATTCATGCTTGGGACAATTGCACGATGCAGCCGGGGCGTATTCTCCTATTCGGATTGGTGGTACAACACAGTAAGCTATCCATTGTTTCTCCCACCATATCCCCACCCTCCTAAGTCATATCCAGGGATCGCGCCACATACAATGCCTCCTTATTGTCGGCTGTGTCGTACAGCGTCGACTCACCTGATGATGCGCCCGAAACGCTCACGTTCGGTGATTCTTTCATGGACATAGCCGCTGCCTACGAAGGGACGGTTACACTCGGTATAACATAAATTACAACTACTTCTTCGACAAATACTGAACTGTCTAGGGCTTAACAGACGACTGGACAATGTCAGCAATACCATCGCGGCAGCGAAGATCGCCAAATCTAGAATCGCTAATTTGTATGCTATTGAGCTCGGAAATGAGCCAAACTGTATGTCGTTTCTATGCTTCTGCTTTCAAGATGGACACGCTAATAAGACTCGAGTCTTTACTTCGAGCGATCCGATTGCGGACGGTCATGCTTGGACAGCCGCCGCTGATGCAGCATCTCAGGTCTCATGGCAAGCGTCCGTAAGCGCTGGCTTAGATGATGAGACGTCTTTCGCCCAAGCCGGGGTCTTCTTCGGTTTGGGTTCATTCGACGTCAGCAATCTCGCGGAGAAAGAGGAAGATACTGATTCGACTCAATACGTGCGCTCTTTCTGCCACCATTACTATCCACAGTCAGCCTCTACGGCAGACCTAGACGGACTGATGAGCCACACAGAGATAGTAGAGGGGTTGGCAGAGTTTCAGGCCCAAGTAGTAACCGCACAGGATCTCAACAAAGATTTTGTCTTTGGGGAAACGAACTCCGGTATGTTTTGCTTGGCGCATGCTATGTCCAGCCGCTAACATGAAGCCAGCTACTGGGGGAGGTGGCGGGATTAGCCCTACTTTCGGTGCCGGGCTTTGGATTCTAGACTATGTCATGCAAGCGACCATCTTAGGAGTTAAGGTAAGCCGGCACTCCAATATAGATCCAGCATTCTAATCTAACTTTGGCAGCAATTGTTTTTCCACCAAGGGACCATCGGGAACTGTACGTGTTTTGTGTTTCTATATGTTAGGCCAATAGTTAACCATGAATCCTAGGTCCATACTGCTGGTGGGATGAGTCGGTAAATGCACCGTTCTACGGTGCCTATACAGCCGCACTTGCACTCTCCGGTGCCTCCAAAATCGCAGAGCTTGACACTGGAGATGGTCGATTCGCTGCATACGTCTTTTACGATAGCGATGACCAGCCCATCCGTGTGTTGTTGTATAACTCTGAGTATTACACCTCAGGGACACGCAGCAGTGTGAACGTGACCCTAAGCAGCATTCCCTCGACATCCTCGTCTGTGTCCGCAATACGGTTGACTGGAGACGCCGCGACAACGATCGTCGGCGAGGGGGCGATCACCATCGCCGGCCAGACCTTTGCAAACGGGACATGTGAGTTGCAGGGAACCAAGGACACGGAGAAGATCGGCACAACCGCAGGGGTAGCAACATTCGCAGTACAGGCATCTGAGGCGTTGCTTATTTACGTGTAACTTCAGCCCAGAAAGGCGATTAGAGGGTGTCAAATCAGATTAGACTACACCCCATACGGACAAAGCAAGATATCTCGAACCAGGAACTTCCCTGCACTTGCACTTGCTGGTCGGTGTTCTTATAAATAAAGCCGGATAACCGGGCGGGTTTAACCAATCCCAAAGCAACCATTCGCATTCGGGCTCCGAAAGGCCCGAGTTTTTTCGCGAATGCGCGAGTCAGTCTGGACCCCGGAGTTAAGCGCAATCCTTGCCCTTTCCGGCCAATTCTCCGATTCTTCTTGGCCATACAAACAAATGAGCCACCGATGGAAAAGGCTACGTTTTGGCCACCCAGGGCAGCGCACATCCATTTTAAAGCTGTCCGTCGTTCCCTAACTGCCTTTCGAGCGTCTCCCACACATCAAACTTAGTCCCTATACCTGGGCCTAAGGATGAGCACCGATAAGGTTCAGATGGCCGAGGCCGGCGACAAGGTGGAGTCACCTCCTACTGCCGTCTCGTTCTTCGATCCTGCACTCAAGGCAGCCCGTCGCAGTGTGTTCTTTCAATGGGGTCGAACAGGTGAGTGTTCCACTATTTTACCCTTGCTGATCGCTGTTCGTGTGCTAATTTCTTTGCTATCCAGTCTTGGTGCTCTGCGTCTTCATTCTGTGTATTTTATCTTTGTTCTGGGCTGTTGAGTTCCACACGGAGTCCAGGTTCCCCAAACTGACAGTCTGGGTTGTCGACTTTGATGCCCAGCTGGAGCCCTATCGAAATGAGACTCCCATCGTGGGCCCAGCCGTGACCGAGGTGGTAAATCAGATCCTTACCTCGAGTAGCGAGCACCTCGGTTACACAATCAAGTCCCCGGCCGACTTCAACAATGACCCCTGGGCCGTGCGTCAAGGAGTGTACGATGAGCACGCATATGCCGCCGTCATCGTCAATGCCAACGCCACTGCTCTTCTTCGTGACGCTGTCGTCAACAGCAACTCGTCCTACGACCCTTTGGGCGCAGCTGAGTTTGTCATTATCAGTGCCCGCGATGAATCTACCTATTACAATTACATCATGCCCTTCCTATCTCAATTCGACCTCGCCGTTCGGTCGTACTTCGGACCTCGCTGGATACAGACCGTCGCTCAGGAGGGATACAACATCACTCAAGTGCCACAAGCCATTAACCCGGCAATTGGGTTTACCACAATCGATCTGCGCATGTTTGGGCCAGCCGTCATCACTCCGTCCGTGAGCATCGGCTTGATTTACCTCATCATCCTTGCCTTTTTCAACACCCCATTCATGATGCCCATCCACATTCAATTCATCAAGGGCAAGCATCCCCCATTGAAGATCCCACAGTGGCTCGTGTGGCGCATTTTGTCCAACATCGGCACATACTTCTTTCTCTCGCTTTTCTACTCGTTTGTGTCATTGGCCTTCCAGATCCCTTTTACGAATTCCCCTGCACCAGACACTCAGCCAGCTGCCAACCCCAATGGCTACGGCCATGGTACCTTTGTCGTATACTGGATGCTTAACTGGGTGGGCATGTGTGCGCTGGGTTTCCCATGCGAAAACATGGCAATGATCATCGGTCTGCCTTGGAGTGCGCTCTTCCTCATCTTCTGGGTTATAACCAACGTGGCTACCGGTTTCTATGCTCTGGACCTCGCACCAAGCTTCTTTAGATGGGGTTACGCCTGGCCTCTTCACCGAAGTAAGCCTCCTCCTCCCTTGATATAACTCAGATAACCAAACTAACATGCGACAGTCGTCGAGGCACTACGCACGATTCTTTTTGACACTCACTCTCGGATCGGTCTCGACTTTGGTATCCTTTTCTGCTGGATCGCATTTTCGATTGCTCTCTTCCCGCTCGCTGCAGCCTTTATGCAGTGGAAGATTAAGCGGGGCTGGGCATGAGTATTTTTCTTGCCTCGGGCTACAAAAGAACTAGACTTTTTTCCTCCCTAGAACTCGGTTTTCGACCTGTTGATGCTCGATCGAAGGACCTTTTTTTTCCTGCTTATTATACCAACTTATATCATTTAGAATGTTGCATGCATTGGTGTTTATATTCTTCTTCTTGCACATATTTGTCGTCTTTCACAATTCCAGACATTCCAGGGGACACTGCTTGCTGTTGTGTTGTAGTTTGGAGCAAATTGTACCTCGATCACTCAATACCACCAATGGATTAGTTTGAGTTGTTACTACTATCATGGGTTGAAAGATCTCTGACAATTAAATATAGTAGTCTCATTCCTCAAGCTTGCAACGCCCAACCAACCGCTATGTTAAAACAGCACAGGATAAAATCCCACCACAGCCCATCCCAAGTAAACTCGAGTCCCCGTCCCGACGATATAGTAACTGCCATTTCCCAATCCAATTATTGACAACTGGTAGCAACTGGACCCCCACAACGTGACGATATCTACTGCTTAGACGTCAACAATCATTCTTTCAACCCAGTTGACAAGAGAAAAAAAAAAGATAGGTATGCAACCGACCCAGTCAACAACCGATCACGTGAGCGATCAAAAAAACACCGGGAGAAAAAAGAAATGTCCCGAGGGAGGTTCGAACTCCCGGCCTTGGGATCGCATGGAAGTTGCTCTTCCACGTCATACTTTAGTATGAGACCCACGTGATAACCAACTACACCATCGAGACAAGTTGTTGAAAAGCACAAAGAATATGTGGCTTGTATTCCATGTGTGTTTTAACTGTCGTGTACTTGGTGGTCTGCGCTCATGGTGGGGTCATCTACTGGGGCTTGGGATAGTTGCTTTATATCTTGGATAAAGGGGTTGGTTCTATGTATTTTTGCGCTTGTAATTGGCTTGGTTTGGTTTTCTGGGGGAAGGGGTGGGATCATAATGCCGTGGCACGGATTTATATATTCGTGGTTACTAATATCGATAGGGGATGTGACGGTGTTGTAGTAACGGATGGTTTCATGTTGCAAGACAGGGACTGCCATCCCACTGTGGCGCATTTAAATTGTATTAATGGAACAAGAACGCCTAGACTCTAGAGGTGGTTGTAATTGTACTCATAAACAATGACAATGTTTGGCCAGTCAACCATGATTGTTGATTATCCTGCATGCATTAGCGAGAACGAAAAGAGGGTCGACCCACGGGAAAGCGACGACGAGATAAGGGGGAGTTTACCACTACTACCTACAACATTTTCGAGTTACACATCTACTGGGCCACGAATAAGGCATTTTGGTGGAAACAAAATACCTGCAATTTGCAGCAGGGTCCGTATTCTCATTCACCCCATCAGCTCGGTTGTTTCTCCTCTATTTCCCATGAGGCTACGATGAAGCCGATCAGCAGCGAGCTACTGAGTGCCGAGCCACCAACTGGGAATCAAATCCGAAGCTAGGCGGGGCCCAGGTGTGATGCTTGCCCTTCGAGACTTTCCCCCGACCTGTCACAAACCGAGAGATCTCTCGCCAACCGGTGTGCTGCCACGCTAGGAACGCTACATAAATATAATCTCACCCCTGGATTCCCGGGATCTCCGGCCAACATGTCCTAGAGTCCTTCGATCACTGGGAACAGACCCCTCAATTTCACCTTACCCATAGCGCACCCCGCCCTGATGCGAACATGGCGGACGGTACTCATCACATAAACAGTCACCCAGTCAGATATGACATTGTCATTGTGGGGGCCGGATTCTCGGGAATTTTCTTGCTGTACCATCTCCGCAAGCTTGGCTACTCGTGTCGCATCTATGATTCAGGAAGCGACCTGGGAGGAACATGGGCACAACAAACCTACCCCGGTTTGCGGGTGGACTCGGAAAGCTGGGTCTATCAATTCTCCATACCAGAGGTGTGGGAGGATTGGTCATGGAGTGAACTGTACCCTTCAGGCCAGGAACTCCGCCGGTACTTTGCCCATGTCGAGAAAAAACTGCACATCAAGCAGGACGTGGAGTTCCAAACCAGGGTGGTGAATGCCCAATTCTATCGCGAAACGAGCCGGTGGCGTATCGAAACACAGGACGGACGAATCATCGAGTCGCAATTCCTCCTGCCTTGTGTCGGAATTGCAGCAAAGCGCTACACACCCGATTTCCCCGGAGTGGAACATTTCCAAGGGGCCATCTATCATTCCGCACACTGGCCGCGAGAGGGCGTCAACGTTCAAGGGAAAAAGGTGGCAGTGCTAGGCACCGGCTCAACGGGGGTTCAAATCATCCAGGAGTGGGCCCGAGAAGCGGACACTTTGACGGTGTTTCAGAGAACGCCTAACCTGGCTTTGCCAATGCGACAGATTCAGCTTCCCCGAGATCAAGGGTTCATGGAGACTTTGTACCCGCACGTCTTCCGGGACCGCGAGAAAACCTTGGCCGGCATCGGAATAGAGGCAGTACCCAAACGGACCTTGGATGCCTCCCCCGAGGAGCGGGAGGCGCTGTACGAAGTCAACTGGAGAAAGGGCGGGTTCAATTTAATAATCGGAAGCTATATTGACAGCTTGTTGGATCCACAGGCGAATCGATTGCTTTACGACTTCTGGGCTAACAAGACCCGCCCGAGGATCCACGACCCCAAGAAACGGGATCTCCTGGCGCCGTTAATTCCACCACATCCATTCGGGGCCAAACGGGGCTCCCTGGAAGTGGTTTATTTTGAAGCATTCAACCAGCCAAACGTTCATCTGGTTAACCTGCGCGAGGAGCACATCGTCGAGTTCAAGCCCCATGGGATCGTGACTAGCAGTGGCGCCTACCACGAGCTTGACGCAGTCGCATTTGCGACAGGATTTGATGGTGTGACTGGACCTCTGATTAGCCTAGGACTTCGCAACACCGAGGGAGTATCCTTAGAGGATGAATGGAAGAGCGGTGCAAAAACATATCTCGGGATGACGATTAACGGGTACCCGAACATGTTTTACATGTATGGCGTCCACGCTCCGGCTGCGTTGTCCAACGGGCCCACGGGAATTGAGATGCAGGGTCGAATGATCATCGACGTTATACAGAGAATGAGGGCTAACCGACTCTCCTCCATCGAAGCTACACCAGAAGCTGCAGATGCGTGGACCAAACGGGTGGACGAGATCAGCAACGCGACGCTGTTTTCTAAGGCGGACTCCTGGTACATGGGAGCAAATATCCCCGGGAAAGCGCGCCAGATGCTCAATTTCTGTGGGGGGTTGCCGGCATACGAGCAAGCATGTACTCAAGCTTTGTCGAATTGGGAGGGGTTCAGGACGATACAACAAGCCCATCTCAGCTGAGTTGCAGCATATGCAGTCTAGAATGCACTATCCTACCGCTTTCTTCAGCAGCTGGTACAGGTAAGGGTACTCTGACTCTGTTCTGATGCTCTAAGTTGGCCTTTTAGATGCCATCATACCTCCTGGATCTTCAAGCGACTTTGCTGCTGAACATGCTTATACATTCATTCGCCCACCAAAGCCTATTAGACCACAGGATGGGTAGAATAAGGCCTTTATTACTCACCTATACCTAAAATAACACAGATTTAATTTTCGAGAAAGATACCAGTACCACCTTCACCAGAGCATTCCTTTTGACTCTGCCAATACCCCCATGCCTGTTCTCTTCCCCTCCATATGAAATCCCCAACCGTTGAAATTACCCCCACCACATTACCCTACCTACCTCATACTTGGAGAATTCACACTTGATAATTCATCCTGAAGGGCTTAACTCAGGCCCTTTTTATCCACTCATCAAACAGACATGTCCCCAGATACTCCCCAATATACAGCATCTGACAATCTTGTGGTTGCTTACTGATCCAGAACGAATCAAGGTGTGAATATTGTAGATTAGTCCGGAATTAGTTAATTTACAGATGTTGTATGTTCACAAACAGATGGTTGAGAGATAGTCAGGGAGTAGAATGAGATTGCTTGTATCTCTCCCTACTGAGTCTTAGTCTCGTGCTTAGAGAGGGTATAAATACTACACTTATCAAGATAAATAATGCCACTACAACAGATGTGTGTCGAGTCTTTATTGCTAAGTAGTCAAATACAGATCTAATCCCTTTACGTAAATGGACTGTGAGGCAGGGGCAAAAAAACTGAAAAATCCAAATATCATTGCAATGTTGATAGTCAGACTAAAGACATACTATGCTCTCCCGATCTCCAACATCAAGTGCCATGCGTACAGGATTTCTGTAGCATGGAATGACATATAGCCCCTTTATACCATCAGTGTAGCCGAACTTTCCTGAATCCCTCATTCGTATAGCCATAAATCTGCAGGTCTTGAAGAAAAGGGCTACCAATGACCGAGTATGCTGTTTGTTCACAACAAGGCCGAAAGATAAAAGGAATCGATGACCCACGGGGAACCCAAATCCCATCACCTTTTGTAGCATCTTCGGGAGCCAGGCCGATCCATCCTTTTTCAGTCTTGATCATTCTCCTTCTCCACAGACAGACAATGAAATGATATGCGAGGCCCGGGGTATGTTTCAAAGCGGCGTCTTTCAGGTCGTTGCTCAACTCGGAGATGTTTCCGCTCAGTTTTATGATATCATCATAATCTTGCTGAGTGGGCGGTCGATACCCATCACCACAAGGTATACAATTGTTTATGAGTGCTCTCCAGACCTTGTCACCGATTTCACCGCCGAGTTTTGTGACGTCAGTCGGCCATTGATGAAGCAACCCCACCGTCTTACTGATCCAATCAAGGAGAACGCCCGGAGCCTTTGACTGCTCGTAAAGGAGGTCGCATACCGCCCAAGCCTCGCTAATCGTGTCAACCTTGACTGCAACTAAAATAAGTGTTCCATGACCTAGCAAGCGCGATTCAGGACTCGGCGGGCATCCTTTCCTCGACTGATCACCAAGGGATTTGATGATTTTGAAGCGCTGTCCTTCGCCCCATGCGAGTCTGGAGGGTGTTGCCTGGACATGGTAATCAGGCAGCCACGATGGATCGCCGCTCATGAAGTTATTTCTCCTTCTCATACCAAAGAGAAAACTGAAATCACCACTCTCCTTGATGCAGCACACAACGGCCTCTCTGATAGCTTGCATTGCAGGAATCTTATAATTTGGTTTGAGAGGGGGTTCCTTTTCCCAGTGAGCCATACCCAGGAGTCCATAGAAGAGATCCTGCTTCCTTGATGCGTCGGAAGCAGCAAACCGTTGCCGTAGTAGGGGCAGAGTCAGTATCTGTCTGCTTTCCTTCCCTCCGTGATATGCCTGTCGGGTTATGATCATGGGCGTCACGACTTCTTCAAACTTCATGAGTGGATCAAAGCCTTCTCCCCATAGAAGATTTCGAATCTCCTGATTTTTGGACCTCTCCGTGATCAATGCATCATTCACCTTTTCCAGAAACCTGTAATCAAAGTCTTGGTTTCCATAGAGAAATTGGATATTTTGCGGCAGAACATATTCCTGAATGACCCAGATTCGTCCCCACCAAGAAGCATTGACCAGTCTTCTAAGCGCGTGAACTTCGGCTCGGACTCAGGTTTAACTCGGAATTGTTCCCCAGTCTGGGAGAAATGATGCCCCAGCCCCATGTGCTGGTCGTTGTTGAACTCCCTCAAGAGGGTAATTGCTGTGTTGGCGAAATCACCTCCAGAGTTCCCTAGCCAGATCACTCCCTTTTGACTTTGTGCGTAAATCCTTCCCATCAAACTGACCTGCCTCCATTTCTCTTCTTTGATCCGTCTCTCTCTCTCTTTTTTGTCCTCCTCATTCTCACCCTCTTCGTCCCAACCCTGGTCGATACAGAGTAGATCAACCCATATGTTCACGGGACACTTGAAAAATTCGCGGAGGCGTTCGAGCAAGCAATAGGCACTTTCAACGATTTCAAATGGCTTGTCATTCAAGGTGATTTTGTGTGTTTTTGGGCTGAGAAGGGACCCCAGCAGTGGGAAATGGATATGTAATTATCCCGAGGATTCCTTTTGGTCTTTTCGGCCTCTTTGGTCTCTTTGGACTCTTTGTTGTCTTCGTCGTTTTTGTCGAGCAGCGCCTCTGTGACCTCACATCGAATTGTACTATCGCCTTCTTTCTCTGGGAAGAGGGTAGCAGTGCGAAACGCACTTGGTTTGCTGCTCAATCTTTCGTGTTTGAAGAAGTCTTGGCGCACCATTGTAGTTCGGGAATGAGAAATATCAAAACTAAACAAAAGAAGTGTGCTGAATAGCAGAGTAGAAAGAAAAGGAACCACTCTGCCGTTTCTTTGAGATGCATATATACCTATTCGCCTCTCAAGGCAAATAGTATTCTCACATGAGGGGGTCTGTAAATGCATGTTCCATAGCCCACGTCATACCGAGAGGCTTGCATGCATTTAAAAGAACAGCTGATGCTGTAAATTGGTATATTGCAGGATTATCATCCTATCGGTCATCCGGATCCAGGACTCTCTGCCGTCCATGTCGACAACACATGGATCGTTGGCACTTATGATCAAAGCTTTCAACGTGGACTGAACCTAATGGCGTCTCATTGTCGTAGACAGAGGGGTAGATGTCTGTGTATGCACAAACTGGACACCTGATTACGCAGAGACGCCTAACCTGGGATCGAGCTTATTGCCTAAGCTAGTCATAAACGCAAATGAGGGATATTTCTCTCAATATTAACAGAAGTCGTTATGTGATACGGCGACCGTCAATTGGGATGGCCGAGGATGGTTCTAATTGGTAGAGTCTGGCTCTATCAGATTTTGCCAAGTTATATTATCGCTGATAGAATACATGTAGGGCGGGAAGCAGCCACATCACACAGACCTCTTATGCACGCCATCTGCATGCTGCCTAGTAGTTAGATGGTCCAAGCCATGAGGAAATGGTTTCCAGAGGTTTTGAAAAGTTTTGATACCATCAATGTTGGATCGGCGATTCCTTGAGGTTATTGATGATATGTTTAGATTCATACAAGCTAGCCGTTGCCGGACCATCATGTTTTGTAACCCGCACTCCTGGTCCACGTTATGCCAATGATTTACCCGCCACCCCCCGATAATACAAAGTACGAACATTTAACCATCCCGTCTAGAGTACTTGCAGGGAATGGGATGTGGGGTAAACAGCGGCTAGTGGCTAGTGACTACAGCCAATCAGCCATAGGGGATGGTGAGCTCCCCAAGGTACCGTGGTAACCCCACCTACTTTTTTATTTCCTCTTGATACTACAATTCGCACATGCTAACCGGAGAAACTTATGCGGTGCCCATAAAAAATTGAAGTAAAAGTGTTCAGACTTCTGGCATCGAAATGGCCCTTTCCTCTCAAAAAGGAAAGCGGGGGGTCTGGGATGGTGGGGGGTTAGCGAGCGTGGTGTGGCTGTACTGCTCCCCCAGACCATGTTCGGGCACAAATGCATGCATTTGTTCAGCATCTTGGCCCTCATTAGAGGGGCATGCATTTCCGAAACCCATCCCCGCTTTGACTACATGATTCGGAGATATGGCAGATCTCAGTTAGGCGCGAGGGTCCTACATTTTGGTAATTCCGCGGGATTGTCCACTCCGATGGATGCACAAGTGGTTTGGATTTCTAAGTGAGATGAAGGCATATCTTTATGGCGGAGTCGATTCGTGATGCTCATTTGTTGGACTTTTTTCGAAGCTGCGGGCGATCTTCCCTAGTCCTAGTTCACTGATGATTACCTTCAGATAAACCATTGGTCCAGCGTGCCTATTGTGAGTAACAATCCTTTGTTGTGAACTTTCTACTAGAGGAAGTCAAGGCGCGCAAAGAAATTGTGATAGGTTCAAGCTGAGAGAAATTGGCAGTGATGGCAAACCAACTAATCAGCGATCTGCTTTCGTGGCCATATATCACTTCAGATAAAAGATATCTACGTAAACAGTAAGTAGATGCACGATGAGGATTAAATGACTTTCAGCTGCTGGGACTGACAGCTGCGGGGATCATATGGGAAAAGCCGATTTCACAATGGGCTTATGATTGAGATCTGTTATGTCATCGGGTTAGGGACTGGGTTCTCGAAGTGGTGTAAACCAGAGCACTCTAGTATCATATCTAGCACGAGAAATATTCATCACTTTCTACCAGACCGATGCGAATTATTGCAGAGTTGCTGGTATTTATGCAGTGGGCCTTTTCTTAGTGCCTCAGGCATTCATCTTTCACATAGCGATGGTCCTCCTCGTCTTATAACATAGCGCCCCCACCTCTTTGCAATGAATTGAGGGTGGGCGGGGATCAGTAACAATTGACTTTTCCAACCATGCCGTAGCCGTGTGCTTAGAGAAGGCAACAGTATTACGGGGCAAAAAACATCTTCCTGCTTGTGGCCTCAGGTTCTGCAGGTCTCCAAATCCCGTGTGGGGCTGCGAGGCTGCCAAGGACCCCGGGCTTCGCAGATGATCTCCCACCATCCGCCTTGTCCATTCTCACCACGATCGTCTTCTGTTGTGCAAGATATACCAATCCCGGAGACTCCGGTCAGAAGCAGAGCAGCTGCAATGGGCTATCGATTGGCTGGGGCATCCCGTGATTTACCGGTAAGCTACGTCCATGCTTCATGCAAGCTTTCCAGAAATCAAGGCCGGGCTTACTGACCGGTTGCTACCCAGCTAGCCACATCACGGCGCCGAATGCCATATCTACGAGACCATGGAAGGCTTACCTTTGCGCAACCAAGTTTTGAATTGATTTGCTGGGCTCACATATCACTCGCTAGCTCGAATGGAAGTGATTTCCGACCGATATCTGATGGTGTCGGACTGGTTCGGCCGAACGCCCACAAAAAGTAATATGGCACCAACAATCTCGTATCCGATCGATCCTGAAGCATCCCGAGTATAGGCGACATTATATACTTGCTTCTTTCAAGAAACACGCTAACCTATTGTAAACATGTTCCCGACACGATGATACATTTCCAACAAGCTTCCATGCAAAGTATCCCATAACGTGGCTATCCATTAGCCTTGAAGTTGGAAAGCCAAAATCACGCACAATGGGAGGCCTTAGTACTACGCAAGTGTTGCAGCACGCTAGACGCGATCTATTGACTAAGTCCACTCGAACTTGTTTTCTGCTTCTCGGGCTTTGAACAAACGGACTATTGAAACACTTATGCAGTCGCTCTGAACCTCAGCTGCGGTGTGCAATCACTTGTGGATGCAGATCATTGCCAAGGCTCTCATCCACTACTTCATCTGAAACGGCAGCTGAGTCTCACTTCAGCCTGGTGTTCCATACGGAGTTCTCCGCAATCCATCACGCGGTAGCCGCTGTGTTACTTATCCTAGTGATCATGGCCAGCGATAGGCATCACATATATGCAAAGATACAACCAGACAATACTTTCAGCCGGTGAACTTTACCCACAGTAGCCCAAAACTGAAACTATGCCCTTCAAAGTATGTGCGCTGAAAGGATTCTACTATACAGTATCTATGAAGCAGGTCTTTAGAACCTTTTAGCTTCACCGCTACCGCAAGTTCAGCCATATTCCTGGGCCCGAGCGCACTGATTCCATCTTCTATTGGCAAGATGTCACAATGCGCCTACTGATTTCACCCGGTCTCCATAAAGAGTAGTCAACTTCCTAGGATCCTTCCTCGACCATCTGCATGATAATGACGCATACCCGGCTTTTCTACACGTGGAATAACCGGATACCTCAACTACTAGCCTCATAATTGCGAGGCGCCCTATATCTTGGAGCATGGATGCAGTAATCATCTCATGGCTAAACTGACATCATCCAGTAGTAGCCGGTTCTTTTTCAGTGTTGAAAACCCAGTGTCTCGGACCACCAGGTGGATTCATTTATTTATATAACATCTGGCCCTCTTCTGTTCTGCACCCTTGGGGTTACACACAACTATGTCCAGCCCTTCCAACGAACAGACCATATCCCGCAATCGCCCTGGCTCTGCATGTGCAGAATGCCGCCGTCGAAAGATGCGCTGTGATGGGAAGCATCCCGCATGCGATAACTGTTCAACTGCGGGTATAGAATGCATATTCGGCCCCCAGACTTCACGCCGGGGTCCCAAAAAAGGTCACATGAAGAGTCTGCAAATGCGCATCGGTAAGTACTTAGTAAGCATAAAGACAAATACTAAGCCATGATAGAATACCTCGAGAGCAGACTGATACACGGGCATCCGTACCCTACGGAGTTTGCCACGGACAATAACATTGTGTCTGTGGGACCTGGCTGTACTGGGGAATCCCAATGGAAAGCACTTATCGACGAGTTCAACGTTCTGGGGACAGCCCCTTTACCGCCATCTATAGGGGCGGTTCCCATCTCGGAATTACTACATGCCGAACTGTAGGTCCCATGCGTGGAGCCATGGCTGCTCTTGTACAGTTGCGCTGAATCAACTAGTGACCAGTTGTACTTCGATCGCGCACATGCTTTTATCCCAATTGTAAATAGATGTCGCTACCTATCCTGGACCAGAAACATCGACAAATCTGCATCAAAGAGGTGCCTGCAGTACGCCATGTGGACGATGACGGCGTCCATGTCCTCCCAGCTGGACCACCTGTGCGATGTGCTTTACCGGACTACACGGATGCTATTAGGGTTCTCACGATTGACAGATGATATAGCGTTCTATGAGATTGAACACGTGCAAGCATGGTTGCTCCTTGCTGTTTACGAGTTCACCCACCACCAATTTCGTCGTGGGTGGATGAGCGCTGGGCAGGGAATTCGACTCGTGCAGTTGATGAACTTGCATAGAATAGATGTCGATGAGAATAGCCTAGGCTTTCGCAGGATATGTGGAATGGACGAACTCATTTGTGAAGAGGAGAAGCGCCGTGTGTTTTGGATGGCATACATCCTAGACCGATTTGTTTCCCTGCGCCTGGAGAACCCGTTGACTTTCGATGACAGGATTGTATGTTATTAGCTTTGTTTGTATGCTGAGATGACTGACTGTGCTACAGATTGCGACACGCTTACCTGCTACAGAGGAGGCCTTCCAGACAGGTCAACTGAGCCAGTCGATGGGCTACCTTTCGGAATCAATGACTGCAGCTGATTCGACACCCCAAACAGAGCTGACGGACCTGATTGTACTGGCGGCTTTGTGTGGACAAAGCATGTCTCACCGGCAGAAGACAACCGCTGAACAAGTCCACTGCGGCATACCCAACAGTTTTTGGGAGCGACATAGGTGGCTAGATGCTATTCTTGTCCAGAAGGCTCAGGGCATTTTAGCACGTCGGCCAGTATTGCTAATGATACCCGTCGATCCGATGTCAATTTTTCTCAATCTCGTGGCGCAGTCGGTTCTTCTCTCCCATTGTACGGCGATGGAGTTAGTTAGTGTGGCTGAAAGCAATGAGATGGCCCTGTGTCGACAGAGGGCGTTGATTGCTGCGCAGGAGATTGTCCGACTGACAGGGATGGTATCACAGCTGAATTATTTTGAGGTGGGTTCTTTCCTTTTGTCGTGACCAATACTTAGATGTGATAGATCCATCCGTTTACGCCGCTGCCCGTCATTCTCTGTGCCGGGTTTTTGATGCATCAGAGCATGGATGCCTCATGTGCATTGCAGCTGCAGGAAATACTCGGTACAGTGCAGCACTTGGCAAGCACCAACTATCTGTGTCGGGAGTGGGCTATTCAGCACTCTTGTATGTTTGCTCCTGACAACAGCAACGCTTGATGCCGGAATCGTAGTAGTGCACATCATTTTCACCATGAATTCTGTACAGTCCGAGTGACTGGGCTATTCAAGGGCTACTGATGTTGCATCATGTATATTGTCGCTGCATCTACGAGTCCTCAGCGAGGTACTGCCAAGGCAGTTGAGTCGTGAGTACTGCCGAAGCAGGCCAGGACTCGATCGCCGGTTTGGAAACAGAGCTCACTGGCTGAAAAAGGTGATCAGGCGGCCTCTTCCGCCTATAATATACTTGGTATACCCAGTCGGCAGGGCGGTAGATGGAGCTAGAAGACTGCCGATGGGAGAAAGTTTAGCCGCGGGAACGAGACTCGGTAATGCGTGCCTTATCAGATCAACCTTAATAAGGCTGGTGGGATCTACCTTGCGCTGCTATCTTCGCAGTCAAGCATTATGGCAGATAAGATAGAGGTGGAGTTGTCCGACCGTGGAGGGCCGATGATCGAGCGAGATGCCCGGGGATCCTTGCCGAAGGATGATGAGTCTTCCCCAAGCAAGAACAATGACCCCGTCCCTGAGCCGGTTTATTCGCAATGGTAAGACCGAAGATACCATAGGAGTCTTCGCTAACCATCAAAGGCACTATGTATCGGTGGTTGCAGCTGGGTTCGTCGTCATGATTACGACCTGCGCTTTTGTCTTCTCCTTTGGTGTTTATCAGTCCCTCTACGAGGAGATGGCCCGCGAACCGAATACCCCGTTTACTGGCAGTACCACCGCGCTCATCGACTTGATTGGTACACTTGCTATCGCTCTCATGTCTATGGCTGGACCATTTGCGATGTCCTGGGCGAAGCTCTTTTCGCCGCAAGCCGTGATAATCGCCGGCGGCTGGGTCTTTGGCATCGCCTATATCCTCGCTAGTTTTAGCAAGGAACTGTGGCACTTTGCCCTGACTCAGGGCCTGCTTCTGGGCATCGGAACCTGCATGGCCTATGTGCCCACCATGGCTGTCGCCCCGACATGGTTCAGCAAGCGTCGCGGACTCGCCATGGGTGTCATCATCTCAGGGACCGGGGTGGGAGGAATGATCTGGCCGCCTGCGCTGCGGGCCATGATCTCCCACGTTGGATTCCGTAATGCGTTGCGCATATCAGGATGCATCTCGTTGACCACGGTGACGGCTGCGGGAGCGATCCTTCGATGGGAGCCCAAGTTTCACGAACAAGTCAAGCTCCAGGCAGCTGGATCCAGCACACGATCCAAGCCTAAATGGACTCGACTGTTCTCCGTCCCGCTGGTCAACTGGCGCGTCGCCCGGTCTAAACGATTTGTTGCGCAAGCATTGGGATGTTTCTTGCAATCGGCTGGCTATTCGACGCCGCTGTTCTTCTACGCTGCATACGCCCAAGCTCTCGGGTACAGCGCCACGACGGCCGCCAACTTTATCACGCTGAGCAACGCATCCAACTTTGTTTCGAGGATCGTCATCGGGTATGCGGCGGACAAGCTGGGCCGGATCAACGCGCTCGCCGTGACGACAATGCTGAGTGCTGTGGCTGTCTTCGCTTTCTGGCTGCCCTCATCGCTGGTATCGAGTGCTGCAGCTCATGGGCTATTCATTGTGTTCACCATCCTTTATGGTGCATTTGCCAGCGCGTACATCTCGCTCTTCCCCGCATCGCTGGTGGAGCTCTTTGGGGTACAGCACTTTACTAGCGTGAATGGGGCATTGTATCTCGTGCGGGGGATCGGGGCGTTGCTTGGCACGCCGTTGACGGGGCTGCTGATTCCACGAGGGACAGCTCTGACCGAGTCAGGGACGTACGAACGAGCTGCCATCACAGTGGGGGTGTTGTTATTTGCCGCCACGGTGGCGAGTTTCTGGGTGCGAGCAGAGGTCCGGGGGAAGTGGAGGGTGTAGCTGATACGATTAACTGAGAAAAAATATAAGCAACATGTAGTCATTAATATAATACAGCATAACATCCGAAAGACCCAGCCCCAGCCCCAGCCCCAGCACCATCACCTCCAACCATATCACCATCCATCCCATCCATCCCCCATCCCTTATCCCCAGTTCAACCAATCCCTAAACCACCCCCCCAAAAACCAACCCCGAAACCACGAGCCCCAAAACCCCCACTCCCCATTTACTAACCCTCACCTCCCTTACCGCACCCCCCGTATGCGTCCCACTCGCCGCACTCCCCGTACTCGTCCCCGTCTTACTCCCCGTACTCGTCGAACTCGAGATCGACGCCGTCGCCGTCGCAGACATATTCCCCGAGCAGAACGGTTCCGTGACCGCCCCGTTACTCTGGATGCAGTTGAGCAGATCCCTGACGGATTGGTCTTGGGCGAGACAGTAGATCCCGCAATCGTTGTCGTAGGTTGTGGGTGAGGCGGGGGAACAGCACTTGGACATGATGGAGGAGGCGTTGCCGGTGTTGGGGAGGGCGCAGGCGGCGTCTTGGATGGGGAGGATGTAGATGTTGGCTGTTGTGCAGTTTGTGGTTGTTGTGGGGGAGGAGGTGGTGGTTAGTGAGGGGGGGAGGGAGGTTGTTGTTGTTGTGGTGGACATTTTTGTGGTTGTTTTTCCTTTTTTTTTTTTGTGAGGAGGTAGGGGGATAGATACACTTAGTGACTGTGTATGATAACGAGTGTCTTGTTTTGTTTTGTCTTGTAGGTAAGGGAAGTGAAGTGAAGTAGACAAACGATTGAATGTGGACTGTAGCAGATGAGAATGAGGAGACGGAGGAGGAAGAGAAAGAAAGAAAGAAAGGAGAAACAATAAATAGGACTCCTGCATCAGCCTACCTACCCTACCTATTCACTCTCATCAATCCACGGCAGACCCTTGGCAATTTGACCCACTCCTCTAAATTTAACCCACTTCTCAGCTGCCCCAGGGTCCTGATTGGTGATCAGATCGGCGGGTTTCAGGGTTGCTCCAATCAGAGTGGGGCCGGGACGGGATCGGAGGCTGGGGTTACTGGTTTGGGCATTCCTTTGGGCTTTGTCGGGTGACGTGGAGGGATTGGCTGATTAGTGAATGGGTGAATGAATCGGTGTGGCTGGGATGATTCTCATTATTGATTGGATTTATTACAGTGTGTTGGGATGGAGGGTGGGTTGTGGAATGTACATGTCAGTCAGATGTGGCAAAAGTAGTAGCAGCACTACCTAGATAGCACTATCCTGCTAATGCATCCCGGAGCATAGCGTATGCATTATGCATACTCAGCCCTATCCATCCCATCCCATCATCATCATCCTATACCTATGCTCTCACCACATCACCCCATATCATCTCCCACATCACTGCGTATGATCCTCCACCCCATCACCAGTAATAAAATCTAAATACCTCCTCTCCCACATATTCATCCCCATCCCCATT